TAAACCCAAGTTTTGTAATTCGGCTGCTTGTACTTTGGCTCACAGTAGCACATCTGAAATAGCTGAGTGCTAAGTGCTAAGAGATTCAATGCTGTTGTGTGTTTGATGTGAGCACAGGATACAGAGAAAGGAAAGTTTGGTTCGGTTCAACAATTCTAACAACAGATGGAGAGTTGACAATATAGAATGGAGGCCTGGCAGGTGCCCATGCTGATTTGGAACTTGCAGATGGCGATCCCGATGCTTAATTAGTACACCACACAAAGTACATCACACAAACTACAAGTACATGTACACACACGAAAATTCAAGATGATTGACGCAGACATTTCTGCAAACACACTGACGATGTTGTAAAGCACTGTTTCTCTGAAAGATTTCTCCAAGGGGGGTGCACAGGGGAGATAGAGGTCATGCGTGAAGGTTCGTGGTGGGGGTCATCTGCTCTTCTTCTCTAGTTTTCGCATCTTCTTGTCTCTCCGTGCCTTCTCTCGTCCTCGGACACTCGTTGCAAGTCTGTAGACTACAAACCCTGAAGAGGAAAGAACAGAGATCTAATGTAATACATGTACATGTAGCATAGATACATGTGTTTTTGTAAATGAATGAGGTGTTTCATGGTAATATGCGCCATCTTGCCGACGGTTACACGTGTTGCTCTGTATGCATTGACAATGGAAAACTTTGGCGCTTCCAAGTCATCATGCGGTCATTCCAAAATGCGCACGCGTCTAGCAACGCGTGTTCTTTTTGCCCCATGGACAAGATGGCGCTTATTGCAGTGAAACACCTTATTCAACATGGCCATGGAGAAGTTACACGTTCATGAAGATCGCTTTCGATTGACTAGTGCACGTGCACACAGACAGGTTTGGACTTAAAATTGGGGAAACAGTGTAAATCTTAGTGCGCTCTGATTGGGCGCCGTAAAGGTGCCGAATCGAGGAGCCCAATCAGGGAGCACTGTTATTGGCCCGTCTGATGCTTGCCATGCGCGCACACGCACAAATCAATCGCAAGCGATCTTCCCATGAAGGTGTATTTCTCCATGTTGCTCAGTACGGAATGCAAATTTTTTTCATCATATTTTGCTCAGACTGGGACCGAATCCACCCGTCTTTGTTTGGTGCATTTATATACGTGAGTATGTCAAGAAGTACCATACGGAGATTAGAGGCAAACTGTGCAGCAGTTTTCTGGAAAATGGGCTGCATTTTGATGTTCATTTTTGTACTTCATGTTTGTTTCGTAGTAGTCAACAAAGCTGTTGGTGATTCGTCTAGTTCTAGGGGTACCCGTTAATATGTGTGTAATCGATTGCCAAAAAAATGCGGACTTACTAAATATGGTAAACTGGGGGGCAGTATTTGAAAAAAAGCTGTTGTTTCCCAACACTGGTCGGTCCACCTCAAACATGGCTGGTGAAATACCGAGGACCGTTTCCACACAAGCAAGGTGTCTTTACCTCATGAAAATTTGGGAGAATTTTGTCGGCTAAAGCGTGAGTAACGTTGGCCTCATTTTGTTTTGAATATTTTTCTGCAGTCAAGGTCGCAGTCTGGCCTGGACTTCATTCGTTATCATACATATGTACGCATGGACTCCGGAATGGCACAATTGCAGAATACCCCGCCACTCACCTATCCCACCTCGTATCTGGATACGCAGATACAGAGTCACGCTTGGATGCTCAACCAAACCACACGCGTGCACGTCCGCTAAAGTCCACCCCGTATCCCTGTATCCGCGTATCCACTTCCCGGCACCTACTTTGGACTTGGACATTTTTCCCCTACTCCCCATTCAACTCACGTTGTCTCTGCCTTTGTTATTTTCCAACATGGATATGGATGCTTCGTTCTCAAAAATATTTTCCTCCGCTAAAGATAAAGTCCACCCCGTATCCCCGTATCCATGTATCCACTTCCTGGCACCTACTTTGGACTTAGATTTATTTACCCCCTGCTCCCCATTCAATTCACGTTGTCCCTGCTAGCCGCATTTCTTATTACAGGGAAATAGCGCCCTCTTTAGACCCTCCAGTGCTCAACTCCACCCGTATTGTATTGTATCCGCGTATCCACTTCCCGACATCTACATCATGTAGTTTGGACATTTCTGCAACATTTTCCGACTGCGTAGCCATTTATTTTTAGGGGGTAATTTTCGCGAAGCGGGGTATTCTGCAATTACTCCCATGGAATTCCTTCCTCTATGATGTGCTGCTGCTAGCTGTTTAGCGTACACATGCATGACATGATGTACATGTACGTACCTCCATGCGTATACGTATACTGCAGAGCAGTCATGGCAGTTGACCCACCTGTCACGAAGAAAATAACATAAACACGTCACACTGCACGTACGTACACGATCCATAGTCTAGACTTACCAATAAGAGACACAATAATAATTGCCGGTATGATAAAAACACGGTTGTCGAATCCCTCCTGGACTGGCGAGTTTGGATCTTTGAACTCAACCATTCTGCTGAAATATGGATGAAAAGTAATCCACAACTTGCACAAGACGGGCCGGAGTACCGAGGCCTACCTAGCTGACCTTATGACATGTACAGGGCATGACACCGTTTTGACACGTGTACTTTGTGTACACTGATAGAGACCAGTGATGTGCGCAGTCAAAACAAACATGGTCCTTGGTGGCGGGGTACCAGCTTTGAGTTTACAGCTGACCTGGGTGGGCGGAGCAACATTGAATGTTGTGGGGGAGCATAATTATAGCTATTTTTTCCGGATGCATACAATAAAAGAGAAAGGAAGTCCTATATTTGCGAAAAGTGCAGTGTTTTTAAGGAGTAATAGACTGTATATTTTCTATCTGGAGAGGGAGAGCAAATATTATGATTGGAATCAATGCAGAGCACTGGTGGAGTGTTGGGGGTGGGGGGGGGGGGGGGGGGTCCAAGGTGCGAGTTGTCCAAGGTACGAGTTGACGGACTCGAAAGCGTGTTATGAGGCCTGAGGAAGAGGTTGCAGATAATGTAAGTGACCGATGCATGCGCAAGTAGGTATTACAGGAACCCTTTGAATATGTGCTTATTAAATGACTGTTTTTTTGTGAGTTTTTGTGAGGTTATATTTCGCAAGTTTTTATATTTTGATCGTTTTTTTGGGGGGGGGGGGGGGGGGGGGGGGCATGGCCCCCGTTGCGCCCCCCCCTCCGAATCCGCCTTCGATACACCATATCACTTCCAAACAATCGGGAAAAGTACTCACGGCTATATATGCCAGGGGTGCAAAACATGATTTGTTTTTCTCAGTCTATATCGTCTTGGAATTAATTGATTTAACTGTCCATGTGGGGGAATCCGATACTGGGAATTTCATTTTTACTGTACACCGTAGCCACGCGCTCGCGCTGTCAACCTCCGGCTTGTACATAATATAATTACGTAGACCCACAGGCCCGTACGCTGGGGGGGGGGGGGGGATTCGAGCGACCCCCCCCCCCCCCGGCCGTGACGAGTTCAGATCAGAAATTAAAAAAAAATATTACGATGACCCATCACCCCCATACCCCAAAACTCTCGCCTTCTTTCAAGTTGTAAACACGAGCAAATCTGATTTAAAGAGTAAGAAAGTGGCCAGGAAATGCCTTAGATCAGAGTTGTAATGACTCAAGTCATTGACTCGACTCGAGTCCGACTCGAGTCACAATTTTGGGTGACACAACTCGACTCGAGTCACTGCGGGCAAATGACTCGCCTCGACTCGAGTCCCCATCAAAATGACTCGAATCGACTCGAGGAAGGCTAATGAGACTCAAGCCCCAAAAATACAAGCAAAACTTTGCGAAAAATATTTGCAATGGCTTACGCCGGTGCCGGTTTTTGTTCACGTCACGTTAGAATGTTCGCGAATAATGTATACCTATACATACGTGGTTTGATCAGTGTCCCAGTTAGTTGAATGACACTCAGCTGGCACCCCCTTTTTATTTTCATTGAGAGGCAAATGTGGTGTCGCCACATGCAGTAGCCCGAATGTAAAATTCAAAGAGCCAAAAAAAAATGACTTTCTCTCAAGTGTTTATTTATTGTATAGTGTTGAAATATTTGTGACTCGAATTGACTCGAGCTAAATACTTGACTCGACTCGACTCGACTCGACTACATTCTGTGACTCGACTCGACTCGACTCGACCGTCTTGACCTAATGACTCGACTCGACTCGAGTCACTTCTTTAACATGACTGGACTCGACTTGAGTCACAAAACTCAGTGACTCTGCCTCAGATTTTCCAAGAAATCAATGGGTCATTCGATAGAAGGCCATTAAAGAAGGCCACTAAAGAAGGTAAAAACTAATAAAGCCAAGGGTCTAGATGGAGTCTCCGGTAAATTCTTAGCTGCCACAAACTTGAACTGTCGCCCTGATGAGTGTCCCGCGTATGGTCACTGGATTCACATCGGATTCCAAAGCTGTGGAAATCGCCACAGTGTTGTTCTGCAGTACAAATAGCCAACTTGACCATCTGTTTTGAACTATTATCGACCAGTTGCTCTCAAAGTCTCACAGCTGGTGTTAGTGAAGTGTTACTGTCATCAAAGATCCTCTCCTGCTACAAGTGCACGCCAACATGTTTGCTGATCCTATATTTGCATGGGTTGCGCCAAGCGAGCGGTGCTGATGACGCAAGCAGTTGCCACACTTCTATGTCCGACCGGACCATCTGGACAAACCAGGAACTTATGTGAGAACATAATTTATCGACTTTTTGTCGGCATATATTTCAATGCAGCCCCACATTCTTCTAAAGGACGTAAATTTGGCCATTTCTGTATCTCTGTGGATTATAGAAACTTTTTTGTTGGCCAGATCCTATTTGTAGAAGATACCGACGGCGGCGGCTGTGCTACAAATAATTTGTAGCACAGCCGCCGCCGTCGGTATCTTCTACAGTTTAATGACTTTGTTGGCAGGGACTCCTGCTCGTAGTTGGTTCTTTGCACGTATCTTATTACAGCAAGTTCTGCTTCATCCATCTCTGCTGCGGTCAGTCGATTTCCACTCCATATGGATCGAGATCTGTGTTAAATCAACCACTTCTTGTAACGCAGGACCCACGCCACAGCCTTCTTTAGACGGTTTCAAATACTTGCTGATAAGTCTTGCCACAGGATCAGCTGTCACTGCGCCTCCCGTAGCTCGTGACACTGCTACTTTCTTCACTTCCCGGTCCGTCTCGAGAAGATTTGGAGCTTGAGGAGTTACTGGCCAACTCTTCTCATCCTGCCAGAGGAATTCTGGTCCCTTTCTCCACCTTTCTTTGGAGATCATGGTGTGCGCATCCAGGCCTCTCGATGCGTCATCAGCAGGATTTCGATCCGTATTTACATATCGCCACTTGTCAACAGATGAACCATCATGTATGACAGCCACCCTGTTGGCTACAAACGTGTGTAAGCGCTTTGATGTGTTCTTGATGTACTGCAGCACAAGCATGCTGTCAGTCCAGAACGTGGACCCGCAGACGTTCAGTTTCAGCTCCATTCGTAGCATCTGCTCCATCTTTACAGCTACTACTGCTGCAAAAAGCTCCAGTCTGGGTATCGTCATCGTCTTCAAAGGTGCCAGGCGTGATTTTCCTATCAGGAAACTACAGTGGACTTCTCCTGCAGAATTGACCAAACGAGCATAAGATACACTCCCATACGCATCTTGAGAGGCATCTGAAAAGTGATGCAAACGGCATTCACTTATCTCTCCGAAGTTGCTTGGCACGAGGCATCTTTCAACAGCAAACTCGTTCAAAAGAGGAAGCTCATCTAACCACTTCGCCCAGTGATCCTGAGTTTCGGACTTTAAGGGATCATCCCAGCTCTTGCCAACGATTCGGCACTCGTTCTGAAAGAGGAGTTTCGCCCGAAGGACGTACGGGCAAACAAACCCCAATGGGTCATACACTGAGCAGATGACGCTCAGTAAGCCTCTTCTTGTCTGACTACCATGTTTTGACTTGATCTTCATTCTGAGTAAGTCGCGATCGTGCTCATCAGTATCCCAATGGACTACCAACGCTCTCTCAACAGGTAGCTCTTCTTGACTAAGATCAAGGTTCTTGACACCCTTGGCTCTCTCTTCCGGCGGCACAGATTCAATTACTCTTCTCCTATTGCTCATCCACTTTGTCAGGCGGGAACCTCCCTTCGCCAGTATGTCAGTCAACTGCTTCACCGTTTCAACTGCTTCACCCTCGGATGAAAAGTAATCCACAACACAAGACGGGCCGGAGTACCGAGGCCTACCTAGCTGACCTTATGACATTTACAGGGCATGTGTATGACACCGTTTTGACACGTGTACTTTGTGTACACTGATAGAGACCAGTGATGTGCGCAGTCAAAACAAACATGGTCTTTGGTGGCGGGGTACCAGCTTTGAGTTTACAGCTGACCTGGGTGGGCGGAGCAACATTGAATGTTGTGGGGGAACATAATTATAGCTATTTTTTCCGGATGCATAAAATAAAAGAGAAAGGAAGTCCTATATTTGCGAAAAGCAGTGTTTTTAAGGAGTAATAGACTGTTTATTTTCTATCTGGAGAGGGAGAGCAAATCTTATGATTGGAATCAATGCAGAGCACTGGTGGAGTGTTGGGGTGGGGGGGGGGGGGGTCCAAGGTGCGAGTTGTCCAAGGTACGAGTTGACGGACTCGAAAGCGTGTTATGAGGCCTGAGGAAGAGGTTGCAGATAATGTAAGTGACCGATGCATGCGCAAGTAGGTATTACAGGAACCCTTTGAATAAGTGCTTATTAAATGACTGTTTTGTGAGTTTTTGTGAGGTTATATTTCGCAAGTTTTTATATTTTGATCGGTTTTTTTTTTTTGGGGGGGGGGGCATGGCCCCCGTTGCGCCACCCCCCCCCCCGAATCCGCCTTCGATACACCATATCACTTCCAAACAATCGGGAAAAGTACTCACGGCTATATATGCCAGGGGTGCAAAACATGATTTGTTTTTCTCAGTCTATATCGTCTTGGAATTAATTGATTTAACTGTCCATGTGGGGGAATCCGATACTGGGAATTTCATTTTCACTGTACACCGTAGCCACGCGCTCGCGCTGTCAACCTCCGGCTTGTACATAATATAATTACGTAGACCCACAGGCCCGTACGCTGGGGAAGGGGGGGGATTCGAGCGACCCCCCCCCCCCCCCCCCCCCCGGCCGTGACGAGTTCAGATCAGAAATTAAAAAAAACTAGAGGTTCGCGTTTGTTGAGTTACAAACGCAGAGTGGTCGGGCTGGCATATTTTCTTGTGTTTACAGTGACTTAATCATAATTGAACTGCACATTACCCCTCCAATTACCCTGCATCCATTACCCTGTGATTTTCACAAAGAAAATCACAAAACCTGCAGTTGAACTTGTTGCTTTACCTCGACAAGACTTGTAGGCCTATCAGGAAGCGAACATCTGGTGCTGCATGCATGGGCGTCGCCAGAATTTTTTCTAGAGGGGGGCAAAACAATTTTTTGCCAAAAAATGCTTGTATTTCTCAACACATTCTCGATTTATCAGTTTTAGAGGGGGGCAGGGACATTTTGCCCCCCTCCCAACTCATTAAATTTACACCACTTTGTCTTCGCGCCTCTTTTTCTTTTTTTCTTTTTTTCTTTTCTTTTTCTTCCTTTTTTTTTTTTTTTTTTTTGCTTTTCCAGGGGGGGGGGGGGGGCAAGTGCCCCCCTTGCCCTCCCCTCGCGACGCCCATGGCTGCATGGATGGCTACTCAAGCATACAACCAGTTGGGACTATTGGTAGAGTTAACGAAGCCTCTAACGTCGTTAGAGTTTATGCGACAGAATTATGCTAATCTTAAAATAAAATGGCTTTTTTGTTTTATTTTGTTTTTGTCTTTTGCATGGGCATAATAAAATTCTGCACTAAGGTTACGACATTGGTAGAATTGACAGAGCGTCTCACGTCGTTAAAGTTTATGAAACATAATTATGCTAATTTTAAGATAAAATGGCTTTTATATTGTTTTTTGTTGTTGGTCTTTTGCATGGGTATAATAAAATTCTGCACTGAATTTATGACAACGGTAGACTTGACGGAGCCTCTAACGTCGTTGGAGTTTATGCAACATATGCTAATTTTATCATAAAATGGCTTTTATGTTATTTTTTTCTTTTGCATGGGCATAATAAAATTCTGCACTGAATTTACGACAGAAAAGTTTGTGGCTACACGCTGTAGAAATATTAATTTTCAGCATTCAGATATGAGAGGAAAACTGGCGAAGCGCGATTTCAATCGGTTGCCGCGAAAAATATCAGAAAATGGACGAGAATATTAGAATTGAATTCATGGTCAGAATTGGAATCGGACAATCGGTAGACTTGAGGGAGCCTCTATGACGTGTTTGGAGCTTAATATATGCAACATTTGATTATCTCAATATCAAAAATAAAATGGCTTATGTCTTTTGCATGCATGGGCTTCCTAAAATTCTGCTAGTTATCCTCGCATATCTGAATGCTGAAAATTAATATTTCCACAGCGTGTAACCACACCTTTTCTGTCGTAAAGTCAGTGCAGAATTTTATTATCCCCATGCAAAAGAAAAAAACCCATCAAAGCCATTTTATGATATGATTAGCATATGTGTCATGAACGTCAACGACGTTAGAGGCTCTGGCAAGTCTACCAATAGTCTCAACTGGTTGTATGCTTGAGTAGCCATCCATGCAGCACCACATGTGCGCTTCCCACGGACCTTCAAGTCTTGTCGAGGTAAAGCAACAAGTTCAACTGCAGGTTGTGTGATTTTCTTTGTGAAAAGCAAAGAGTAATGGATGCAGGGTAATGGGAGGGGTAATGTTCAGTTCAATTATGATTAAGTCACTGTAAACACAAGAACATATGCCAGCCCGACCACTCTGCGTTTGTAACTCAACAAACGCGAACCTCTAGTTAAGTTATGAATATGTTGATGTTTTTAGAACAAAGCATCACGAAATTAAATCCTTACCATCACAATAAATTATTTTGTTTAAAAATGCATCTTTAACGGTGTGATAAATTTCCATAAACATTTTAAGTACACATACGAGTTATTTCTGGCTTGATGACGTTATTATTAAAAATCGGGAAGTGAATACTGATTTAGTTCGGAGTGGATAAATGAATATTGTAAAGTTAGATAACGTATGGAAATATGGAAAATGTAATTGTATGCATTTATACCATCTAACTTCCGGTTTCATGACGTCCCTAGTATTTGAAAGCAAAAGGTTAACATTGTTATGGATATCGTTATTTGGGCTACGAAGATATACGACATGGATCAAATGATAGAATATGATTGTTTTCATCTTCCGGTCTGATGACGTCATGAATTTGAAACCTTGCCAAGTCATCTGTGGTTAATCAAAGAATATCAAGGAGCGATTTGGTAAAATTAGAACCGATGGTCTTCAGATTAAAGAAAACAAACACTATTTTATGTGCCGCTAGGGGGCGCCCTTTCGGATGATGACGTCATCACACTGTTTTTTTGTGTGACTTGCATTTCTCACTAAACACTTGCATGATATATGTCTGTAGTAAAATGCTTCCGCTTTTGAGTTATATCCAGTTTTTATTGCACTTCCGGTAACACAGGAAGTAAAGGTCAAGCAGTTTTGTGTCCGGGAACAAGAAATGTTACTCACGACATAGTTTATACAACCTCACGAAAAAACGAACACGATAATCTTTTTAGTTCAAAAGATATAGCGTAAACTATTATGTCAAAATTTGGCCTTAAATCACTTGTAATTTGATACCCATGACGACATGCTGACGTAACAAAATGTATAACATCTTCGTATAAACATGGTACAAGTTCACAAAGGTTTTGTGATTGTACCGTAAACTGTTCGGAAGAAATTTTGCTTTGTTTTTATTTCAGGCTAACGTCTTCATTTTGAATTCATCTAACTTTGACTTTCCAGTAGACCCGGAAGTAAAGGTCAAGCGAGTTTACGTACACGACAAAAAATGTTGAGCAATTAATGGTCTATCTCATTACAGAATACAAACATCATTGATTATTTCGTTCAAGAATTATAAGTGAAAGTAATTGGTCACTTTTCCACTTAAAATCACTTGTAATTTGACACCTGATGACGTAATCATGACGTCAGAGTAACATGCACCACTTCGGATGAGGGTCGATATATCGGAAAGTTACAAGTTCATACCATATACCGTTTGAGAGAAAACCCGCGGAGAAGTATTGTCCGGAAAAAAAAAAAAAAAAAAGAAAGAAAGAAAGATTAATCGTAACAGATCCAAAGAGTGGTCGGGTTGTGCCCGACCACTCAAAAATATTACGATGTCCCATCACCCCCATACCCCAAACTCTCGCCTTCTTTCAAGTTGTAGACACGAGCAAATCTGATTCAAAGAGTAAGAAAGTGGCCAGGAAATGCCTCAGATCAGAGTTGTAATGACTCGAGTCATTGACTCGACTCGAGTCCGACTCGAGTCACAATTTTTGGTGACACGACTCGACTCGAGTCACTGCGGGCAAATGATTCGCCTCGACTCGAGTCCCCATCAAGATGACTCGAATCGACTCGAGGAAGGCTAATGAGACTCGAGCCCAAAAAATACAAGCAAAACTTTGCGAAAAATATTTGCAATAGCTTACGCCGGTGCCGGTTTTTGTTCACGTCACGTTAGAATGTTCGCGAATAATGTATACCTATACACACGTGGTTTGATCAGTGTCCCAGTTAGTTGAATGACACTCAGCTGGCACCCCCTTTTTATTTTCATTAAGAGGCAAATGTGGTGTCGCCACATGCAGTAGCCCGAATGTAAAATTTAAAAAGCCAAAAAAAATGACTTTCTCTCAAGTGTTTATTTATTGTATAGTGTTGAAATATTTGTGAATCGAATTGACTCGAGCTAAATACTTGACTCGACTCGACTCGACTCGACTACACACTGTGACTCAACTCGACTCGACTCGACCGTCTTGACCTAATGACTCGACTCGACTCACTTCTTTAAAATGACTGGACTCGACTTGAGTCACAAAACTCAGTGACTCTGCCTCAGATTTTTCAAGAAATCAATGGGTCATTCGAAAGAAGGCCATTAAAGAAGGCCACTAAAGAAGGTAAAAACTAATTGAATTGAATTGAATTTACCAACACCCCCCCCCGAAAAAAATAATAATATGTGCATAATTGCCCTAAAGGGTGCAGTCCATCCAGCAAGTAGATGATTCGTCCGCCGAGCTCATGAATAAATGTTGTACATTCAAATTATTATATTAGAGAGTTCTGAGAGCCATGGAATCGTGGGATTGAAGAATTCATAATGGCACTGTACCTTTGGCCTGGACTCTTGCACCGTGGGTCCTAGGGTGGTTCAAAAGTGGCGCTATTTAGCCTGCTACTTTGTGGTTGTGGAGTGGTCCTTCTACTTTTCCAGGACGGTCATCTTTGGCTGAGAATTTCTACAAAAGTCATTGATCAACCCACCAACTTTGTAAGGAAAATGATCAACCCACCAACTTTGTAAGGAAAATGAACGACGACATGCATGATCGTCATTTTTCTATGCAGCCTGAACACCTGTTAGAGTTTTTGAGGGGTTTTTTTGTACAAAAATTTTGATGTATGGGGATTTATCACTGTTGTCTTTTTTGGGAATGTTGGGTTGCACCCAGAAACTTGCCCACCCGCCAAATTCTTAGTCTGAGTATCACCCGGAGTCTCCTGTACAACGTCTAATATGTCTAGACATGCAGATATATGCAAGCCGCGCGCCAGCCAATCGGAGTCGACTTTACTAAATAGTGACGTCATTTCATTCCCAAATCAGGACTTAATGGTTTGATTGGTCACTTCGAATGCAGTGTTTGGAATACAACAACAGCAGGGCGCATTATCGCGTAACATGATACAGAGCGCGCATGTTTTTTTTTATCCAATGACCGAAGACCCGATATAGAAAGCACCCGCTGATTGGTCCCAATCTAGAGGTCAAGAGCGGTTGTCTTGCCTAATTAATCAGCGAAGAGTCTGCTCACATCCACGGCGACTTCCCCGGCCCAACTAAAAGTTGCTCACCTTCATGTAGTCATTGCGTCCTTAAATTATACAAATTGCGCCATCTAGTGACAAAGGTGTGCCGAAAGTGCGAAAGTGGTTCGTTGTTTTTAGGAGTGCGCCACACAGCGGTAAAAAAAAAAAATTTGTCTGTGACCCTGACTGCCTTTGTTCACTTGGTACGTGAGTTAATAGTGGAGTACATACTAATAATACTAATAGTAATATCAATTTTGCTGTGATCTGATATGATTCAGTGTAGTGCATAGTGTGCAGAAATGAATAACAAACTACTTCCTTGCTTGGTCTTCTTGGTGTAAACTACTCATCTCTATATCCGTGCGTGGATCCAGACGTGGTAAGATGGGATTTACACTTTAAAACTTTAAGCTGAAGTTTGTTGCTGACCAAACATGATGATAAAGTGAAGGTCCCTATATAGTATATCCCGGCTGCAGCTGTAGGGCGTGTATAATATAGGCAGTGTATATATTGCCGGAGACGGCAAACCTTTAGTAAACGTTAGTTTGCCGGATAGCGTAATTTTTTTTCCTAGGAGGGTTAGGGGCAATGTCATGAATAATTCAGTTTTTCCTTTGAATCATTGCAAGACTTAGGTTCCCGTTCTATTTTCCCCTTAATTTAAAATTATCTCAGTGATAAATTTGGAGAAGAAAAATAGCTGATGAAAATGAGCAGCGACGACTTGGATTCTTTTTTTTAAAATTTTTTTTAAAATGTGGTGCGGTCGGATTCGAACGCGAGTCATCTCGCTTACTAGAGCCTTTGCTTAACCACTACACCAAACGAGCTACACAACTTTTGGTGGGAATTTAATACATCTTATAATTCAGCCCTATTTTAAAGAGTACAGCGCCCTCTGTTGATATAGATTGCCGCCGGCAAACCTTTAGTAATCGTTAGTTTGCCGTCATTACCTCCGGCAAAATATCCACTATCTATAATATACTACCTGACTACATCAAGTACATGTATAGTCCGAGTAACTTGGACCCAACTTATCGCCTTTTTTAACATTTTGGACATGGTCTGGCGATAGTGGGGTCCAAGCTAATACCGCGACCTGGACAACATCATCCTGTCACTGTCCCAAACCAAAATTTTCCAACAAAAAACATCAGATTTCACCTTCAAAACGGCCTCTAAATTACTAGATATGCCACCTGAGGTACAAGTAGACATCGATAATTAAGATGGTTGTACTGAAGTTTACTTACGATCCGGAAAAAAAGTGAAATTTTCCGTTCATTTCGGAGAGCTCCCCTCGCGATCTTGAACACGTTAAATTCCCGATCGTGTTTAATGTTTGAACGACGCGATTTCTTCTACATGCCCAGCGTACATTCGATGGTCCCTGTATCCCGAGTGCGATTCCGTTACCGAGCGCGCGCGATGCATCGATTATGATAATGAGTAGACTGGATCACGTTTGTAAACACATGTGCATTTCAAACGATAGGGAGTCGGGAACTAGCACAGCTTTTATGGCGGATACCAGTTCAAGCTGGTTCCCGATTCCCTTTTACAGTTCGAAATGCACATGTATGTGTTTACAAACGTGACTCATTATCATAATCGATGCATCGCGCGCGCTCGGTAACGGAATCGCACTCGGGATACGGGGACCATCGAATGTACGCTGGGCATGTAGAAGAAATCGCGTCGTTCAAACATTAAACACGATCGGGAATTTAACGTGTTCAAGATCGCGAGGGGAGCTCTCCGAAATGAACGGAAAATTTCACTTTTTTTCCGGATCGGTAGTGTATAGGTAGAATTTACAATTTTCCTGCATGGTTTGTGTCTTGCGATTTGCTCACGGTGCATCGCACGTTGTTTCGCCATCTTTATTTTTGGGTTGCGTATTGTTGCCGCGCTGTCATCGACATTTTACCCCCAAATTTCCCTCAAAAAAACTAAACCCTGCCATCTGAGTATGACATACCTGTTTATTGAGAATGTTGCCAACTAGTTTGGTCGGTATAATAATTTTAAAGTTGATTTTTCCCCTATAACTAAGAAACCGGGCCCTAGTACATGATCGCCGATACACGTACATTGTTAGCTGGAGTTAGTTACCCAGCCCTAAATTTTATCATTGGGTTGTCATTTAGGGCTGGAGGAAGTTTTTCATTTGGATCTTCAGCATTGGCAGGTCAAAAAAAATTTTTAGATGTGCAATTTTGTCCCCATAACACACTACTTTTTGGGGGTTAGGTTGACTCTTGTCAGCACGATAACTTGAGAAATGCGTTACTTAGGAACTTGAAATTTGGTTTGTGGATTGTTCTTCATAGTCTTAAGAAGCCTATAGATTTTGGGCCCGACAGGTCAAAGGTCAAGGTCACTATTGCTAAAACAATAGAAATGATCCATTTTGGTTTATAGGGACACTGACTTTATAACAAAAAACTGCCAGCATGCCAGGGGGATTGCACAACTGTTACTTACAGTATTTTTGATAAAGTTATGTCAAAAACAGTTACAATTTATCAAGTAGATATTAATGTTTACACGGTGTTTTAAATAAAAGTGCCGACTCACACGGTAATGATTGGTACAATCTGTCGATATGGCAAGCTCGAGTTGAGGATTCGTTTTTTCCCATCCAAATGAATGCAAAGTTCTGAATAAATGTTTTTGATAATAGGAGTCGGTATTCCTCTTGGTATCAGGATACTTTTTGTAATTTAGAGTATTTGTAATTTAGTATTTTAGTTGATACTTATAAGCACGGTTTGAAATTGACTAATTTTGCGTGTTTATACGGCCCCAAACCACTGGACTCCCTATTAGTCATCACTAATTTTCCCTTCAGCATGTTCAGTGATGCATGACCTTGGCACAGGGTGACAAGTGATGGCCAGATATGGGATATGGGAATCTTTCCAGTTTTCCATACTGAATACTTTTAATCATTTGAGTCAACATGGTCCAGACAGAAACATGATTTTTTTTTTAATGCCAGATTTTGTGTTTTGAATATAAGGAACAAGTCCATTCATTTGTGTCTGAAATTTTGATGGCGATTTTGTCTGTTTTCCTTTGCAGGTTTGTGTTCATTCATGGAGTTGGGAAAACGTTTGTTTCATTGTATACATTTGATGGGTATTCATCAGTTCGTAGAACGGTTAATAATCATTGGTGGACAGCTGAATTTTGTGATCTTTTTATTGAAATAGTCATAACTTGGGAATAGCGTATGCAAATTAAGTGACAGTTTCACAGTTACTATTCAATAACATGTACTTTTTTTAGGCAATTGAGCAAGCCACATATTTTTTAGAAATATTTTTTCTATTTCAGTCACTTTCTTTGGATTCACCCTGTAAAGGATTTTTTTCCTGATCTTTGCCAACGCACGCCATGAGACCTGAATCGTGAGATTAGCTTTCAAATCGTTCGTTGTTTTTGTTGAACAGCAGCAGCACTAAGGAGCAACCATGGCGCAACCCAGGACTTACCCAAAGATAGTTCAGGATATCACAGGTAAGAAAACATTTCAAATTAAACCATGTACATGTACACTCCCCCCCCCCCCCCCCCCCAAAAAAAATCCACTTTAGGCCAAAAAAAAAATGTTCGGTCTCTGGTCAGAGACCACGCAGCTTTTTTTTTTTTTTTTTGCTTTTTTTTTTTTTTTCTTGCTTTTTTTTTTTTTCTTCAAGCTTGGATTGTACAGACAAGGTGGGTACTATTTTACTTTTTTGGGTGTCCTCATGTATATTGGTGTCCTCCATAATTTGCCTTGGTGCTTTCGATCATTTGCCTTGGTGCAATTTCCCATTCCTTGGTGCTCTTTGGTAAAAAAATTTGAGGAGGTCCGGAAATAGAGGGCGCTGTTGGAGCTACCACGGAACATTTTGGGAAAAAAACAGATCGACACGCATGCTTAAAATCGACGTGCGCGCTGACCAGAGACCGACTTATTTTTTTTTTGGCCTTATAGAGGCTTTCAAGGGTTTTGTGCAGGGTTCAAGATAGTCTCTGTCCAAGACCTCAGTCATGTCGGTGATCAATAGCGATAGTAGCAATGTTCTGTAGCGCCCTTTCAGAATTGTTTTTTTTACGTTCTCTCACTAACGTCTTGGTCATTTCGTAGCAATGGGGGCATGGCCCTTTCATGTAAATAGGACGGTCTGTATAAATTTGAACAAAACAGCAGTTCCCATTCACCGCACGTATGGCGCGAATGTTTACAACCGTACGTCGGGCGAGCCATTGAATCATTTTCTCGATCACTGATTGGTTCCCTAGGAAAGCGATGATGCTAGGTCACCGCACTTCCGCACTTCAGTGTATAGATCAGTGGTGTACAACCATCTGGCGAGCCATGTAATCATTTTCTCGATCGCTGATTGATTCCATAGGAAAGCCTGCAGAGAAAATTTAAACCGCTGATACAAAATGGCAAAGACGTTAGTACGAATGGGCCCACTGGTCTAATTGTTGTGCCATTAGAGGGCGCACTATGCACCTTCCACTATCGATCAGTAGCGTTCAAGACTAGGTTCAAGAACGCAAAGCATAGCAGAACTGTTTTCTTGTTTGGAGATTGATTGATGCCCACAGAAATTAAAAGTACAAAAACCGACCCATTCTTTCCTCCGCAACGGAGATTTAAAAAGTTTCCAAGCAAAAATGCTTCAGGGGTTATGGTTAAAGACTAAAGTTATAACAGTGGACATTAACTACATGTAGTTCACGCCGGGAATATTTTGACAAGAACGGAACGAGGCGCGGGATTACTTTTCACTCATCCTCAATCCAGGCGGGTTGAAGCCATCACCCTCGGGCAGCACACTCATATTTTCGGCCTCGCTCGCTGCAAGCGGGTCGCTGACAGATATTTCTGGCCTCGCTCCATGAGCGTTTGTCGGTCGTCTGTTCCGAATCCCGCAAAACCTTTGCGTGTATACACTCATCTGGCGCGAACTGGTTAACCCTAAAGGAGCCGGGGGGGGGGTGGAATCCGCCCCCCCCCTCAACATTTTCCGTGATAGCCTCTAAAAAAAATTTTTTCGCGACCCGAGCTGTTATGACTTTTTAGCCTCGAGCTTTGCGCATCTTTTGATACCAAAATCATAAAAATCAGACCACGGGTTGCCGCGTAGCTAAAAATTTTCCGGCGCTACGCGCCGTGAAAACTGAATTTTCGCATATACGTCGTGTACACAGAGCAGAATTGCCATTCGTACATATGAATAATTAATTAGCCATAATTCCAAAACCCTTTGACCTATAGTCATGAAATTTCTTGGGTATGTTTAGGAAGAGTTGCTCTATGCATGTGCTGAGTTTCAAAATTTTTCGTCACTTGATGGCCGAGATCTTAAGGGGGGGCGGAATTCCCCCCCCCTCCCCCCCTCCCCCCCCCCCCCCCCCCCCCCCCCCCCCCCCCCCCCCCCCCCCCCCCCCCCCCCCCCCCCCCCCCCCCCCCCCCCCCCCCCCCCCCCCCCCCCGGCTGAGAGATGGTCAAAATAACCCGGCCCCTTTAGGGTTAAACAGATGTGACATTTTATGCTTTGTATTCACCTATGGATACAGTTATTGATAAGTTATTTGATAACCGCTGATGTTAGGAACCAATTCCAGATTATGGAATCGAGTACCCATAATATACTCACATGTAACTTAGTAAATTCTCAGACAATGAAGAAAAAAGATTTTGAATGACATTTGTGGGGAATTTTCAAAATGAAAAGCAGGCTACATGGAAAATAAAACAGATTCACATTTATGACGCTTTACACCGTAAAGCTTCAGAGCTCACTGTACACACTTGTATTTTTCTGTATTCACGCACCATTGTGGAAGTATTATCGTGTGGACTTTTATGAACAATGTGAACAGCAACTTTTGAGATTTAAATCTTGGGGTTGGGTGTCTTTAACGGGTACCCGTGTTGGTTTTTTGGTCAATCAAGTACCCGATTCCTGTATTACCCGTAAATGCACATCCCTAGGTATTGACGAAAATTATGGATGACATGGGTCATTGTTTTTTTATGATAATCTTCCATGTAGGATGTATTCAAGACTTGAAGAGAGACTACACGGACAACAAGCAACCAATCACTGATGATTCTCTGGTGTTGCACAAGTTTTGTGCTAAGCTTGAATACTTGCTCCAAATTGAAATGAAAGGTGGGTGCATAGGATAATGAGGGATAGCCTTCTGGGGCCATTTCACAGTGCTGCTAAGCACACAAATTTGCTGAGCACCAAAAAAGTCTGGCTTATAAAAGCAGTTATCAGCCAAAACTCCATGTGATTTTCATGCTAAGCAAAACAACAGCTGAATACTAATCACGAGCAATATACATCACGTGGAGTTTTGGCTGGTAACCTGATTTTATTAGCCAGACTTTTTTGGTGCTAAGCAAATGTTTGTGCTTGGCAGCGCCGTGAAATTGGCCCCTGTTTAAAACCCTAACACCAACTCTCCCGTACTCCTCTCCCTCCCCCCCCCCTTTTCCCCCTCAAGGTTCAGTGATAATTTCACAGAGTTGTGTTGAAGATGGCATGGTTAGGACTTGTATCAATTAAATTAGAAGCACATGACACAGTGCAGATTTACACACAAAAAACCCTAAACTACAGGTTGGTGAGTGACAATTGTTTTGCTGAGACAATTTTTTGAAAAAAATATGCAGACAAAATCAGGCCAGTGCTACCCACAGTTGATTAAAAAAAATTTTCTTTACAAAATCAATCATCCAAAGACAACTGTCTAGCTCATGCAAAACCAATTTTGCATTCTTAATTCAACTCTTTTACCGAATTGATTGACAGAATCAAAGTTTGCACGTAGTCCATCATTTGACTTGCGAATTTCTTTTTCCACTTTTTGTTTTTCGTTCTCGTGATGCAGGTCGTACCAGCATTCTTGGTGGGCGTCGTGATTACTGGGAATACTTCTATAAATGCCTGAGCAAAGTCAAAGGCTTGAACGACGGATTGCGATTCGTGCGAGCAATGGCAGAGGTACATGTGTATGCTGAAACAAATCTAGACCATCAAATAATTGTTGACAAAGTTTTAAGTGGTGTACTTAATACAGTACTTACAACTTCTTTTTTTTGGATGTTACTACTTCTTGTTTGGATGTCATTCTTAATTCTTATTCTTGTATGGTCTTTCTATTGAAATTAACCCTAAAGCCCGTTCATACTCGGCGCGAAAGCGAACGCGAATTGGTGACGTCATAGTAAGTATTCGCACTGCGAAGTCGTAAAAGTTGAACACATTTCAACTCGGGCGAATTTCGCAGCGAACGTTTCTTGACGTCAAATTCGCTTTGCATTCGCATTCGCGCCAAGTATGAACCGGGCTTAACTCCCTAGCATGATTTACTAGGAACCATACCGATCAAATTCCAACACCATATGGAAAACTGCACACACATATTTCTGACTTTGATTCTGATTTTACCCAGTGTAAAAGACTGTCAGGTTCGGGGTACTGTACCCATCCTGGCAGATTCCAACAAAACACGCCGTTGGGGTTTGATGGTGGGGTTATAAGGGTCAAAAGTGCAACAATGTTCCTGTCCTTCTTACCTGTAAACTTTGTAATTTGCCATTCAAATGTCCTAAAAAATATGACTTCAAACTAATTTTTATTTGTTTGGTAGGTCATTTGCTTCACATAATCAGTCTTGGAGGAAGAAAAGATAAAAAGAGTGCATCCAAAAAGTAAAAACTCACAGGTGTCAGATGTAACAGGGACGGAAAAAAGTTGATCCCCAATTTATAGAATGACCCATATTCATTCCACCATGCGAAGCTTTGGGGCGAGAGGTGCTAAACTTAATTCATCTTTTCGGTGAATGTTACACCCTGCCGCCCCTCTCCCCCCCCCCCCAGTTCCGCCGTCTATGCCATGGCAACTTAATTTTTTGCTGATGACCTTTTTCTTATAATCACAGGTGAAAAGTTCACTGGGACGTGGTCGTGCTTTCATTCGTTACAGTCTGGTTCACCATAGGTTGGGTGACAGCATGCAGCAGTGTGTTTCCAATGTGAAGGTTACAAGGTACATGTATATAAAAAACCCTCATAAATCAAGAATTATGGTTGACCTTTTATGGATTTGCATTGATCTTTTGTTAATTTAATTAAAAACTAGAAAGCATTCAGAGAGCGCAAACCTCCGCCAAAGCTAAACACTTCTTTGCCGTATTGCCAGTACACCCCAAAACAAATACTCGCATAAATGGTGAAGAATTCTCTAAAAGATCCTGAATCCAGACCCAGATCCGGATCACTTCCAAAATCTAATCGATTTGTACTTGTACCGAGGACCACCCCTGAAAGAATTTTCATGCAAATCCATCCATAACTTTTTTAGTTATCTTGTTAAACAGACCAACCAACCAACAAACAAACTAACCAAATGCTAGTCGGCCGACCACCGTTGGGAAAAACCTAACTATTTTTCAACTGCTGCTCCAAATTTACCTTTTTTTCAGTCCAAATTTTGTTTGCTATTGGTTACATGTTCATGAACGGGTGCAGGCCAGCTAGACTCGTTCCCTTACCTTACAATTTTCTGGCAACTATAAATTGATCCATTTTATCTTTAGTGGAGTCAGGGAACCAGACTACTTGAACATTCTTGTTTTTCTTGGTTTTTCCAGCATTTCCGAACACAAAACTTCAAACATGTCAGTGTTACAATATTTGATCGATTACTAACCCCCCCAAATAGTTCATTTCGGAAAATTACAGCAAAAACCAATGATGTACACTCCCTTTAAACTCGTGATGGTTTGACTAATCAACTATTTGGACCCAGCCTGCTGAAGTTTTAGTATTACATTTTTGTCAAGAATATATCCACACATCCAAAACACACTGTAACAAGTACATGTATGACCATTAGGAGTTATGCTCAGTGCCAACCGAGTGTACCATCACAAGCTTGCACGCTGTGTACTGCTTTTCGGAAACTATTGATAGATTAATGTAAAGTCTCCTTCAAAAGGACACAAATAGAACCTTTCACTTTTGCCATTGTTTGAACCCAGTTGATCAGTGCATGGCTGGAGAAATGTGAGCTAAACCCACTGTATCCACGAGTGTTTCTTTTCAAATGTAAGAAAAAAACAGTTAAATTTGAGAAAATTCATTTTAAAATTTTGTTTCCTGCTTAATATACTAGCGACTGGTATAGCCAAATGGGTGTACTTCTGAACACCGTCCATAGCTCCACTGTCATCAATGCCCTGTATGAACTCAATGATATCCAGTTTGACCTTTCGCCTACCGGTTACGACCTAGACACCGCCTGGCCAACGTTTGCCCGTAAGAGCTTCGGTGCATCGGGTCTGTTTCTCTGGCAACCTCCGAGTAGATCCACTAGTACCAGCAGCGTCAATTCACAGGTACAAATACATAGCTGCCAACTATTACGGAAAAATCATAAATACTACGAATTAAGGGGAAAAAATACAACTTCACTTTTAAAAGTTACGAATTTCAAATTTTCTGCCCCAAACTTTGCCCCAACCAAATGCAGAAATAATGCATAGCATTCGGATTTGGATCAATACTTTTTTTCTCAGGTACTTTTGTATTTCATGGTAAACAAAACTGAAACACCGAAAAATCTGTTAGTATACATGTAGTATCAATGTACTTGCATGTATATTACATTGTTTCCATTGCCAACAAAACCAAAACGACGAAAAAAATTGGTTAGTATAGCATTGATGTTATTGCAGGGCATTAAAATGAACAGTTTGACGTGATTCTATATTTACAGCAAAGTACAAGCGACTCATACCCTAACAGTCCCATGATCGAATCACGACCTTCGATTCTGGAGGACCAACTCACCCGCCTCCAGAGGGAATTCGAAGAATGCGAGCAGGTGAATCGGCAGCTGCGACAACGAATCGACCAGCTGGAACAGGACAATGAAGAGCTCCACCAGATGGCCCAGGAGACGGAGGAACGCATGACAGCCTTCAGGAACAACTCAGAGAGAGAGACGGCCGAACTTCAGGATCAGATCGAGAGACTTGAAGAAGGAGTGAACTCAAAGGAGGAGGAGTTGTTTGGACTAGAAGCCAAGTGGAAAGACAAAGTCCAAGAAGCTGAGAAGACGGCATCGGATCTGTACACTCGCATCGAGGTGCTGAACAAGCAGCATGAGAGTAGAGACAGGATGCTGACGGAGTCCGAGAGAGACCTCAGAGAGAAGCTTCAAGTCTCTGAGAGCTCGGTGAGCGAGTTAAAACAGCAGTTGATTGCTCATCAAGCTGACTTGGTGACCAGGACTGCATCTGAGACGAGCGCCAAAGAGAAGGTCTTGGAACTGGAGAGCAAACTTGCCGATGCTGAAAACAGAAACCTGGAGCTGATTGGGAGGATGGACAGTATGGTTCAAAACAAAGATAGGACAGTCTCCAGTCACTTTGAATCAGCCAGCAAGGTCCATGAGCTTCTGACGAGACTTGAAGGAGCAGAGACAGAGAAGCTGCAGCTTCAGGGTATAAGAGAGGAACTGATTCGTAAACTGGAGCTCCTTGAGATGCGGCAAACATCTGAAAAGGAATCAAATGGTGAGAGTGTTTCAGAAAAACAGTCAACACCACACCTTGAGGGATATCTTCAACAGATTGAAGAACTTGAGAGTGCAAAACAGAAACTGGAGTCCCAGAATTCAGAACTAAGTAAAAAAGTTCACAGTCTCGAGGTGGCCGTGCAGAAAAGCATGACGGAAAAAATAACCTCCGAGAAACAGATGAATGAATTGAAGAGAACATTGTCGAATTTGGAGGAAAGCGATTGGTTGTTGAGAGAAGAAAAGGAAGAATTGCAAAGAAACATTTCACTTGTTGAACAAGAAAGGGACGAGGCAGTTAAACAAGCAGCGTTTCTTGAAGATGGAAACAGGAAACTTGTGGAGCTGGAAAATCATCTCAGAAAAAGTCAAGAACAAGTGGAGGCTTTGAAACAGGAAAATTCAAAACTGTTGGAATTGGAATCAAGGCTCAGCCAGTTGATGAAGGACCTGGAGAATCAAGAGGAACCATCGAGATTACCTGAGCCAATAACTGATCCACAAGTTTGTTCCGAAGCTTATCAAACATCCGCTTCGGATACCAGAGTATCAGCAGAATTACCTGTGGATGGATCCCTTGTTCATTCCTTTCAACGTAAAATAAATAACATTCTGGCTGACAAGGCAACAGGGTCTAGTAGTCTTCAGGTTGCTCAGAGAGAAGTCGCCGATTTGAAAATGCAAAATGACGAGTTACTCAAGCAGCTGAGAAAAGTGAACGAAAAGCAGCAACAGGACGGTAAAGAGGTTTCTGGCCTGTGTGAGACCATCACACGTCTCCAGGGTGAACTGGCCGATGCCGGCTTCAGATCTGAATCGCAGAACCAAGTATTAACGGGGAGAGATGGAGAGCTGAAAAGCCTTGGTGAGCAGATGAGCAGCTTACAGCACAGGGTTGCAGATCTTAAAGAGAGTGTCGTGCAAAAGTCCTTGGAACTAGAAACCCACAAGCAGAAACTTGACCGAGCGAGTAACCATGTAACGTCTTTGAAAGTGTCACTCGAGAAGACAAGGAGTGACAAAGAAGCTCTTGAGTGCAAGCTGGGTTCCACTGAGACTTCTTTTGAAAGTCTAAAGCACGAGCACGCGGCACTGCTCAGTGACAAACAGGAATTGGAAAAATACAATCAAGAGAGCTCTGAAAACTTAGAGAGGCAAAAGCAGATCAACAAAGACCTGGAGAACATGCTGGAAGACACAAGGAGGTCGATGGAAGAGAACGTATCACTGGAGCAAGTCTTCGAAGACCGGAAGCAAAAAATGATCAAAGAGCACGAGGACAAGGTGGAGTTCCTGACGCACCAGTTCAACACGATCCAAGAGGAGATGGAGAAGGCTAATGCTGAGAAGTCCAAATTTGAGGAGGAGCACAAGGTGATGTCAGCAGAGTTCCAGGAAATGAAAGAGAAGCTGGAACTGATGGAGACAGAGCGAAATGAGATCAAAAAGACAAACGACACATTGAATGCAGAGATAGCTCGAGTGAACGAAGAATCCGATCTTGCCCACACTCAAAAGGAGGAGGCGTCTCTGAAACTAGAACAGCTGAGGTCAGAGATGTTTGAAGCCCTGGAAGCAAACACGAGTAGGATGCTGCGCTTGGAGAATGCGCTACACGATGCCCAGGCGGAGCGAGATAAGGCTAAGGAACACGTCACTGTCCTGGAGACTGAGTTGACTGCAGCAGAGGAGAGTTTGTTACAGGCTAAGCAGAAGTAAGTATTGAAAACATAGTTTCTTCCTGGAATTTCTCAAGCAATTACGGCAAGGCCTTTGAAACCCTTGCAGGTGCCATAATCTTAACCAGTTCACTGTAGTGGAAAGCCCAGGATCTAGTTTTTGGTATGAAGAATTGTTAGCTCATTCCAAATAAGAAAAAAAATACATGTGTACGTGGGCTCATGGGTATGCTTTTGACTTTTCATGACGTTTAAACTTCACATCTTGAAAGTTTCACATTGGGGAAGCTCTCTCTAATCATGATTTTGTAGCTGTAAGTGGTTATATCTTAAAACAAGCACAACAATAAGGATCTCAAGCAAGGACAGTGCAAATTTTGTAGGTGTTTGCTTGTGTTCTCTGTCTGTCATAGAAGGTGGATATAAATTGCGTCACATCGACTTCAGGACTCTGCACAATATTGGCTTAAACTATTTTAATAACATAACCCCATGCAAACATACATTCTGTGCCAAGTCCGTGCAGTCAAAATCAATCAAGTGACTGTTTTCAACCCGTAAGAATTCCCAACCCACATAAAGCAGGATGGGCTGCCTTGCACTGCTTAAGTAGCTTGATACAGCTATGCTTTGACTCCGGGTGAGTGATAAAACAGCTGTGACCACGACTTGCCTGCTTTGTCTGTTGACCCAGTTTGACTAGTCACAGTGCTTGCTTGACATGTGATCTGACTGCTGGTGACTAGCCTTTGTTAAAAGTGTAGCAGGGGAAGTGGAAGTGAATTTTGATGTATCACTTGTGTCCAGTGGTATACTATTCAAAATGCCTTACCCACTCTGCAAAATATACACACGTACCCAACTCTTGCATCTATCCGACGTTTTGAGTTTGGTCCTTTTCATACATGTGCCCTAGCACGGTCTTTTAAAATAAATTTGTCGTCACTTTGTTTTGGATGACCCGTCATGTTCTTTCATCTTAGATGTGAGGAGAGCTCCCAGCAGCTGAAAAGCTTAGAGTGCGTCATGCAGCAGGAGGTGTCTGCTCTCAAGTTCCAGCTGAGCTCAGAGGCCATGGAGTACCAACAGGCCATTCAGGTATGTTGCCCCTCGCCGGAACCAGGCTATGCGTTAGATTAGGACAAAGGTGTGGGAACTTTTGAGTGTCCTCATCACAACGTTTCTTGGTCAGAAAGGTAATTAGCAAGGCATTGGCGCTTGATGCATGTCGGACTGCTTCCCACCCATTGTTCCAACATCTGAAATACTGTATGAACCTTTTTACTTAAAGCCACGTACATGTTGGAACATTTGCAATTAATACCGAAAAGTTACGATTGAAGAACAGAAACCTTGCTCAAATTGAATACAGGACTGGTGTCAAATACCCCTGTGAAACTATCCCGTCAGAAATGGTATACATGTACATGTACAGGGTGAGTCAACCAAGGCCAAGTTCGGGCAAGGACCATTAGTCGACTAGTGGTTGATTTGTGACGTACCTTACGCCTGCGCACTGATAGCAACGTGCGAACGTCTCTAGTCAAATGCTGGTCAAAATGTCATCGCAAAACTTCTGGATCCTGGCTCTCTGCTAGCATTATGAATGCGCGCGGCCATTGGTTACCAGCGAAGCAACCAACCCAAGTAGGCTGGTTCCAAATAGTCGACTAGCGTAGTCAACCACCGTTGACTAGACAGAGTTCGGGCAAACGTTAGTTAACCATTGGTCAACTACAGTCCTTGCGCGAACTTGGCCTTAGTGGTCATACCACCAAAGTGAGGAAAATTTTCAACAGCATCTGAAATCAAACCGCTAGAAAAATATTGATGCAATATATATATGTTAATGTTTTGAAACATACTGTTGACCAATTATATGTAAAAAAATAATTGGCTATTGTTAACGGATACACTTGCTGCGTTACCTCCTTAGACTGATTCAAGCTATTTTTGAGGAATGAAACTTTACCAATTTGTCGAAATATGCTATCATGAAACATCCCAAATATGAAAATAACAAAATGTTCAGACTAATTTAAAAGAGAAGAGGACCAAACCATTGAAACAATTGTACTGAACTTCTCGATTTCCAATTTATGAACTGTCAGGGTTACAAGCATAAGGAAGAAAATCTTCAAGGATTGCAGGATCGATGCAACGAGCAAGAAGAGATAGTGGAGAGTCTGCAGACAGAACTGAACCTGGCAAGGGCACAGCTTGAACAACAACTGAAACAGGTATTCAACATTAACCCCCACAGGCTCAATCCTCCAAAGTCCTTGGGCAGTTTTGGAGGATTTTGGAGGATTGAGGATGAATGCAATTAACATACAATTTTGGAGGATTGTGGAGGGTTGAGGGCACATGGACATTCACTATTGGTTGATTTTGGAGGATTGAGGATGAATGGTGTTTGAAGAAGAGGAGGATTTTGGAGGATTGAAGTGAATGGTGTTTGAAGAGGAGGAGGATTTTGGAGGATTGAGGCTTAATGCATTTTGAGAGGCAGGGCTGTCGGAGGATTTTGAAGGATTGAGGCAGTGGGTATCCTTCATTTGAACATAAGTGCAAAATTTAGGAGGATTTTGGAGGATTGAGGATGGTTCCTATCAAAAAGGCCCTAGGGGTTAGCGTAAATGTTCTAAGAAAATCTTAATTTTCCTTTGCTTGTCAGATGGACATGAGTCATTCTACATGTATAAATTTGGAGCATACGTTTTTTCCTGTCCCTGTTACATCTGACATCTATGATTTTTTAATTCTGATACACTCCTTAATGCAGAGTCCTCCAGACTGATTATGAATAGCAAAAATAAAATACCTACCCAACAAATAGAAAATCATTTGAAGTCAGTCTTAATGGTACTTGGTAGGCAAATTACAAAGTACCAAGGTAACAAGGACAGGAAAAATGTCACACGTTGGACACTTAATGTGTAGAATGACCGGCCGTATACACATTTTCTCAAATGAATATTGACACGTTTTGGAGGGTGTAAATAGAGTAAGCGTTAAAGCAGATTATGGAACTAAAAAGCTGACAGGTATATAAAAAATGGAGAGGAAGTGAGGGAGCGTCTCAAAAGTCGGAACGGTTGGAACATTCCGCTGGGCACACTGGCCATTCGACTGGACCGTTCCATACTTTTCCTGGCATATGTGCCCGGCTAATGGAACGTTCTGCCGGAACGGTCTGCTAGAGGAAATATACTCGCCGAAGTGCGGATATGACGGTTTCCAACCAAGCGAGCTGGTACTCGTCAACATTGGTTATCGTACATCGTTGTGAGGGTGTGTGTCTACGTGTATACTAACATGTACGACATGCTACGTATACAGCTGGGACGTGCAGTGTCAATGTGTGAATGCGTGTACATGTACTGTTCATGCGCGCGTACATGTCCTTCCCACGAAAATGACTGAAAAAGGCTCCAGTTGCAGTCGCGCGCGAATCTTGCGGTTACTGAATATGTGTCACAGAAGCAAACTTTTTCCTGTTTGGGTCTCATGTTTTATTGAATGGAACCCCAGATTACTGTAAACTTTTTTTCACTGCAAATTTATAACGTTAGGCCTAACTTATCTATTTCAACAACTTACCTCATCGTCATCACAAACGAAAGAAAATATTTTAAGACGGGTGCATGATACCCAATTACGGATATCCCATCTGGACCGTTCAGACGGGTACACAGATCGTTCCAACGGAACGCTGGAACGGTCCGATGGAATGGTCCAACGGAACGTTCCCGTTCCAACTTTTGAGACGCTCCCTTATTTCTGGAAAAGAAACCAACATTTCTTCAAAAGCGCACTAAGCACTGTAGCTCGCAAGCCTGAAGAAACCTGTGGAGAGGAGACAATGAGAAGAAATGACAGTTTTAGAAGTGGGAGGAAAACCCAAAAAGAATATTCATGGGGAAACCCACGTAAACAGGGACTGAAGACCCAATCCACATAGGAACCTTGGCGGGAATCGAACCCAGGTCATCCCGGTGGAATACGAGGAAGGAACCACTGTGCCAACCTGACTCGCAGGTTGTGCTGGATCCCGGCCATGTGCCTTTCATCTGATACTATTAAAGCAATTATTGCATTCTTATGTCCTCACATACAGCAATGTGTGAAATTATCATTTTTTTATACTGATCACCATAATAACATCAACTTTTCATTTGATTTTCCACCCAATCCTAGTCCAAAGAAGCAGAGGAAACTGCTACCGAGAAACAGCTGGAGAACGTGGCCCTCCATGAGGCTATTGAGGAGGTAACATAAGACATGCTTTTGTTTGTGTCAAATTCTGTATTACATGTACGTCTCAGCTGTATATTAAGCCTGTTCTCGTGAAATTTTGAGTTCAGTTGCCCTGCTGTATAAAAGAAGTTTCAAATTGCCCACAGGAAGGACTTTCAAACTTTTGACGGCGTAGTTGATTTTCAGAGTTTGTGTGATTTGGATGCTTCATTTCGTACTTGTTTTCATCCAACCATGCCTGCAGGTCCCTAAATGTAATCACATCAGACAGTTGTCAGGGTTCACTGTTATTAAGCTGAAACTATTTTGCAATAACTAAAAACCGGGACACCGGCCAAAATATCACAAAAACTAATTGTAACTGGTTCACAACTGCATTTGCAAAGAATGTACAATTCCTTCTTGAACCCTCCTGCTGTTTGAACAGTCACAGACAGTCAAAAAATCAATCCCCTTCCCCTGCCATACCTTTTACAGAGGCTAGTCACCAACAGTCAGATCATATTTCAAGCAAGCACTGTGACTAGTCAAATTCAGTCAACAGACAAAAGCAGGCAAGAAGTATGCACAGCTGGCTTGTCAATCACCTGCAGTCAAAGCATAGCTGTGTCAAGTTACATAAACAGTCACAGCCAGTCAATCCCGCTTTATGTAGGCTGGGAGCTCTTAACTGTTGAAAACAGTCGCTTGATTGATTTTGAGTGAAAGGACAACTTGGCACAGAATGCATGTTTGCATAGGAGGGTTAAAGGCAGTTTCTGACTTCAGTGTTGTTTCCTTTCTTATCTTTGAAATTCTCAGAACAATTTAGAAGTGTGGGATTAGCACTTACAGACTTTGTTTTGGGGTTTCTTTTTTTTTCCAGATGTCCAAAAATATGGAAGACCTACAAGTTCACAAGTTGAACTCTGAAGTAAGTAAACTCAAAAAGCATCAATTTCATGTTGTGATTTGCCAGTCATTTTCAACACCTTAAAGGGAGGGTCCCATGCTTTTTTGGGGGTGTGGCACCCTTAAAAATAGATTTTAAAATTAAATTCATCATTTTTTTAGCATTACAAAATACTTTCCAATAAGACATTGAACGAAATCAGTCCACGCTAAGTTATCCATTTTTTTCAATTCAGCTTTTGAATTAATAGCGCGATGTTCCCATTTCAGCGTAGACTTGACTCAAGTTGATATCTGTAACACACACTGTCATCACAACTTGGTCCGGAATTCCATCATCAATGTCGTGCCCAAATTGTAGCGAGTGCCATTTTAACATGTCACCACTTCAGTGTGTGTACATGTATGCATACTGGCAATACTGAGCTGGTACACGACACCCTGTGGAGACATGTGCACAATAGGGAACAAAAGATTGTATACGTCTCCACAGAGCAATTTCTATAGGTGAATACGTCTCCACAAGGTTATCACGAAATAGATATATGGATTTTACTCAAAAACTAGGAATTTCCAAGGTGTGTTGATTGTCGCAAATTGAACTATTTTATGTAAGGGATATTAAGTTCTGGTTAAAATAGGAGCATTTTGAAAGTACACTTTTAGACTCGGAAACTTTAGTACACAAGAACAAAGAAATGACTCCACAAGAATACAAATTCCAGTATCAAAGCACAGACTGTGTGTAAAATCCGACTCAGGCCAAGTCTAAATTAAGCTCAAGCACTAAACAACTGGAACATCGTATTCTTTGAAAATTGGTTTGGAAAAATATTAAACATTTGAAACGGGTATACTAACTTTAATGTTATGCCAGATTTTCACCATTGATAAATGCTGAATTTTATGATATTCTTTCCAATAAATCTTTGAAGTGGTAATGTTAATCTGTGGCGTGAGTTGATATAAACACTTAAATCATGTTCTTTTGACTGTAGGAGGAGCTAACAAAATTAAGGCTGCACAGCCAAGGCAAGAAGACGTCGCTGGAAAGCAAGATGGCTCAGTTAGAGAGTGACAACGTGGAACTCAAGAAACAGATTATCAAGCTCATCAAGTAAGGCACTTGGTATCATTTATTTTAGCCATCTAGACAGGTGCAAGTGTAATTTTTTTTCCTTCAGATTTTTTTTTTTTCCGACCAACCAACCCAACTTCAGAGGCAAAAAAAAAAAAATAATAGAAATAAAAAGGGACATCCTAAGCAAAATTAAACATAGTTTTTGTAAATTTTTCTATATTTTTATTTTTACTATTTTAATTTTTTTTTATCACAAGGCCCTTAAGGGCCACTTGGGGTGAGGGAGACACAAAGTTCTTGTCAAAATAATGCCGGCGTGAACTGGTTAAAAAGAATTGGTTATATGTCAGTGTCGGTAATACTTCAAGTGAAAAACACACATATTTTGATAAATCGTAGTGTTTTGTTAATTTTCAGAGATAAAGACACGCTCTGGCAGTGGACTGACAAGCTTGATCATCAGCGCAAGGTGAAAGCATCAGAGAGATGGATTGAAGATAGCGAGGTAATTCAAACAAACTGCCAGATCTGATAGTTTTGGTGGGGGGGGATGGGTGATGAAGAGTCACTCATGTGACTTTTAGCCCAAGCAATGTTGGGAACATGGTGCGTGCCAGTGAGTAAAGTGCCAGTTATTACAGGACGCAAAGGACCAGCCAACTGTCCTCTGACCGACTGAGTTACTGACTGAGTCACTGAACGACAGAAATAAGGTCCCAAAACTGAGACTTTCAAGTTTAACTAAACCAGTCAAGCCTCAATGAAGATATTTGTCCAAGAATGTGATTCAGTCCTCAAGAGCTGAGTTCTAATAATTGGTGCGGTATTAAGTTGATCACAGCCTATGAGTATTGGACTTCCAATTTATACAGCTTGTTGAAATTCGGGCGATTCACAATGCAGTGCGCCACTAAGAGTTTGCCACGGAGAGTTCATTTTTCCCAGTGCATTGTGGGAGATGGTCGACAAATTCGCAGCGCAGGACATTTGAAATTGTTCGTTTTTCCTGTTAGTAGTGTCGTAAGCGTATGATTCAAGTTTCTGTTTGCCCTTTTCTTTTCTTTTTATCAATATGGTGTTTTTTGTAAGGCGGCAGAATGCTATGCTACAGTCTATAACAGATAAGCTCAAGTTGTCGACTGACACTCATTCAAATGTTTTGTCGACCATAAACTTGAAAAATGGATTGGATTCTCCATGGCAAACTCTTGGTGGCGCACTGCATTGTGAATCGCCCAGTTTCAGTGCTACAGGGAGTAACAGGCAGGGCTGTTTGGGTGCTACAGTGACTAATAGGTTAAATAACTTTTACGTTTTTTGTGACGACAAAGGAACCTTGTATTTGATTTGTATTCTATTCCATTTTGTATCCCCTAATGCTAGGCCACATATTGCATGCAGTGTCGTGTGGAGTTTTCTCTGATGGTCCGACGTCACCACTGTCGCTTGTGCGGTCGTATCTTCTGCGGCAAGTGTGCCAACTGCTACGTGTCTGCTGCACACAGCCGGTAGGTCCAGTGTTTTTAAAGGCACGTAGGAACATTGGTTATTACCTGGAAAGGGAACTGCTGATTTAATGAGGGAAGCCTTGCTCAAAGTGAAGATAAGGCTTGCCCTAGATTCACTGTGAAATCGTCATGACGGATCCAGCTCTTTAGGAGCCGACCCGACCAAACCTACCAACTGGTCGGGTCCTCACGCATACTTTTGGAGCTTTTCTGAAGGGAGAGTGCATGTGTGCCCCAGGGGATTAAGATTGTTATCACCACTAATCCTATAATGAGTGTGATAAGAGATCCTGCCTGAACGATTCAGCTTACAATTTTGTAACTAAATACCTTGATATAAATTCATATAAATATCTTATTATTTACGTGTGTGAAATGTTATTTTGTTTTCTTTTTTGAACGGTTAAATTCCATAAAGTAATGACAGAGAACGATTATTACATACAGATGCACATACAGTGTATGTACATACATGTACATGTACTTCCAACACTCACCCAGCCAGCTGTGTTGTCCACAGGAGGTTGTTTATTTAAGTGATTAGGGGGATTATCTTGCTGGACATGGGTGAAGTGTGTTTACTCAAGGACTCCCCACTGGGGTTGAAAAGTATGTGTGAATCCATCTAGGTTTTCTAAAGGGCTGTTCACGTAATGTTCCACCAGAAATAGTTTCATTTGAAAGAAAACAATCGTTGATGGTGATTTTTTTTTAAAAGTGTGTCCGCCGGCACACTTTTTGTGAAACATGCGTCTTTTGAACAGGTTTTGATGTCCGTTCATTTTCCAGTAAGAAGTCGCGCGTCTGCGAGCAGTGCTTTGTCATCCACCAGCACGCCAACGAGGCCGAGCAAGCGTCCAGTCCGAGCACGCTCAAACTGGACAGCGACGACGATGATGACGAAACAGAACGCGAGAACTTCGCCAGAGGTGGCAGGGCTGTCATCAGTGGCTCCGACAGCCAGCTCAGCGAAGATACGCTATCCACGCCCACCACGGAGGCGGCGCCGTCTTCGTTCGAGGGCGCTGCATCGGCAGACACGTCCCCGGAGCATCAGGGTGCAGCAGCAGCAGTGAAAGACGATGACTCCGCTTCGGTTGGGAAAGCGTCGCCAAGTGCTGGTCAAAAGTTGAAGCAAGCAGCCGGCCGTAGGAAAGGGGACGGCATCCAAATTGCTGGAAGCGAATCCAGGTAAAAGAATCAGTATTTACAGTAAGCTTTATTTAGCTTAGCTGTGTACATTTGTAGTTACATATGGGTCAAATTCTATACATTTGGTTTCACTTTTTGTCCTGTCCCTGTTACATCTGACATCCATGATTTTATCACTCTGATACACCCCTTCATGCAAGAGTCCTCTTATAAAAAAAGGTCATTTGAAGTCATTTTTTAAAGATACTTGAATTGCAAATTACAAAGTATCAGTGTAACAAGAGCAAGAAAAAAATTCACACTTTGGACCCTAAAGTTATAGAATGACCCCATAGATATCTAATTTCAAATATTGTTTCTTGTTTTTTTCAAATTTGATCGGAATTTACTTTATTTCTCCTTCATAAAATGGTATCTTCAATTAATTTCTGGATTTGGGCCCATTTTTACTTGCATACGATGTTGGATTTTGAAAGTGGAGAAGCCTATGTGAAAATGAAATGAAAGGGTATTATCGTAATTATCAGAATGTACATGTTCATTTTGAAAATTAAACCGATTGGCTTTTGAAACTTGAGTTGCTTTTATGAAACTGAATTCAAATATTATTATATTGTAAATTTTAAAATGTACAATTGAAATGCACTTACTGATGATCAACAAACTGCCTAAATAATATCAATCGACAAACTGACAAAATGATGAAAAGCTCAATTTGTATAAAAACGAATCCTTGAGTACGGTAAAATACAAATTACAAACTTTGCTTCGCCCTATCATAAAATTGAGAAGAAACAAAAGAAAATCATAATCATTGCATGCTTCATACATGAACCATGAATGTACATGTAAGTGCATGTAACTACATTTCTCGCATACATGTACTTGTTATTACTTTACATCTCATGCTGTTGGTGTAATAAGCCACTAAACCCCTATTTACCTCTCTCCACCCACGAGTATAAATGGGTATCGGCATGAGCTGGGGAGTAAGTAGGGAGAATATAGCTATTTTCAGTGTTTCATGCCTATCAAACTGGAGATGAGGGCATGTGTGGTCTAGCGGTGGAGCACAGGATTCATGATCGTGAGGTTGAGTGTTCGAGCCCCGCCGTGGCCATGCGTGTTGTGCCCTTGAGTAAGGCGCTTTACCTCAATTACTCCTCTCAACCCAGGTGTTAAATGGGTACCGGCATTATTCAATGCTGGGAAGGTAACAGACTCGCTGTGGAGGAGGTGTGGCGATCCCCCCCCCCCCCCCCACAGCAGCATATGAGTCTGGCCCAATCGCTAAACGAAAGAGAGATGGGCACTCCGTTCCTGTGAACACAGGTTGGTCCCTTTACCCTTTTTTTTTTAAACTGTAGATAAATGCTGGCATGATGGGCCATACTGGCTCGTGACAGACTTGACTTTACTTACTTCCATTCACATACAAACACACACTCAAAAGCCCTGCCTCAATTCACGTAGCTACTACTCAGAAACCGACCAGCCTGAGAATCCAGTGATTGTCTTGGACAGCCCACTGCCGCCGCGTCGTCGCACCCACCAGTCCGGTAGCGACGGGGATGAACCGGACTTTGACCTGATCAGCGAGGAAGAGATCGTGGCCGCGAGGAACGAACCGGCACCCTCGGAGAGCCCCAGTAATGGGGCGACGAGAGGTCAACGCGGGCTCGCTGAGAAAAGGTGGGCAGAGAGTGGTGGGAGGTTGGTGGTGGAGATGGTCTGGGGGTAGTGAAGTTTGAATACCAGCACGATATGTGACAGAGGATTAACACCCCCCCCCCCATCTCCCTATACCTTATACACACCCTTGACTATTGTTACCTAACACATCCCCCCCCCCTAGATTTCTCAAAAGAATTCATGAGATTCTGGTAACACAATGACCAACACAAAAGAGGGAGGTTCCCTCTGTCACATATCGTGCTACATAAAATGAGTTTGGATGGTCGGCTAACATTATGGACATTAAATCAACTATGTACATGTAGTTAGTTATTAGTTAATGATCAATTTAAATGTCTGTGGGATTGAAGTTGTTCACTCAGGTGTATTGTGGACTCGGTGCACAAATGGAACACAATGTTGTGTGGCCACTCATAGGCTCGTGCTCGTTACACACTAAGGACCATTAGAATTAATACATGTACGGAATACCCGGTACGTATGCGGCTCGGAAGTAGTTGTCTGTTAAATCACCATTTTGCATGGTCATGGGCAATGCACATTTCTCATCGATGTAAATATTGTAATGTAAACATTAAGATGTAAAAATGTGGGTTTGGTGAAATATCCACACAAAATGGTATTATAACCAGCTAGTTTTTCCCAGCTGCATACGTATTCCCAAGCAGGTACCATTTCTAAGGCCCCCCAAAAAAGTCTCCGGTTTCTGGTATGGAGCTTGCCCCAAATGTGGTGCGGCGACGCGGGTTTTTTTTTTTTTTTTTTTTTCGCCTGCTCTTTTTTCTTCTTCAAATGTCGGTTGATGTTGCAGATGACGCTTCGATCCCCTTAAAACTCTCCAAAATATCCTTCAGAGTGGAGCTTGAGGTGACCTCAAAGGCCATAAAGCTTATACTCCATCGTAACCCGATCTAAAGACACGTTAAAATTGTGCAGCAGCAGCATTCCAGTCAAACCAGTGAGTTTGGCTGTTTTGAGACATCATCTTATATTGGAAAAAAAAACTTTTTAAATTTTGCCGACGCGCACGGCTACGACGACGCGCCCGCATACCAGAAACCGGAGACTTTTTTGGGGGGCCTAATGGTCCCTACTGTGTGTGTGTGAGTAGGTTTATGGTGTAAACTGAGGACACACATGTGCAACATCATCGATGAATTGAGGACAGGAACCAAATCGAGGACGACCTCGATTAGAAAACATGTACAAAACCAATGAGAGCTGTTGCAACAAAGTTAGAGTATAAACAAAGGCAAAGGGAAGAGGAACAATAGAAGATCCTTGATTTATACCATAAATAAACGTGGGTGAACAAGTACATGTATTTCATATTCGCTGAGGCAGTTAGACATAGAGAGAACAACGAATTCATTGTTGTCCTCAAACGTACATCTTTTGTTGAGAACGGTCCGCAAACATACGTGTGTGTGCTTAGTCTTTGGGAGAGTAACAAAGGGAAACACAATGTCTTGTCCTCAGTCGTGATGGTAAAGTACGATTGTGTGCTCTGGATCGAGCATGTGTTGCATCTGCGACCAAACTTGTGTCTTCATCAGGTGGACACCTGGTGTACTTGTGCACTCTAGTCCATAATACCATTATCCTAGTTGTCTTTTCTTCTTTTTTTTGCTGAATTTGAAGAATTTGTGCTTGCTTGAGTTAACAAAATGTCTGACTAAAGACAAAGCAAAATGAAAAAAATATAATTTCTGGTCTGTTATGGGATTGACCCCCTTTACATGACCACCCACGTTTGTTTATGGTGTAAATCAAGGATTTTCTTTTGTTCCTCTTCCCTTTTCCTTTGTTTGTACTCTAACTGAACAGCTCTTATTAGTTTTGTTCACGTTTTCCAACTGAGGTGTCCTCCATTTGGTTTCTGTCCTCGATTCATCGATGATGCTGCACGTGTGTGTCCTCGATTTACACCATAAACATGTACATGTAGCTTAGTAGAGTGTTCTAACGAACACTGCAGTATCCAAATGTAGCCAAAAAACAAAGAACATGTACAATTTTGCTGGGCACAATACATATCATAGCATTAGAATTATTTGGTTAAAACATTTTACTCAGGCATCCATTTCATGATCTGGTAAGCAGAAAATCAGGGAAGAACCATTTTGGACTCACGAGTAGTATGCATCACATGATATTTTAGCTTGTTAGCAAATAGTGTTTTTGCTTAGCCATTGAACTTAGTAGATCCATGAAATTGGCGACTGTTTTCAGATGCAACTTGCACTTCTCATATCTTTCCTTTTTGGGGAGGTGTGGATGTTTTTTGGAGGGGTAGTATATATACAGTGAAATCTCGATAAGTCAAACCTCAAGGGAACAGGTTCAAAAATTTGACTTACATGTAAGCAGAGTTTTGAGTTAAGCAGGGCTGTATATCATTGTTATACTACTGGAGGCAATGGATCCTTTGTTTGACTTTAATGTTTTGAGTTATCAGAGTTTGACTTAAGTATCGAGATTTTACTGTATATAATTTTTTTAATTAAACTCCTCAGAATGGGTGTATAATGGTTATGTGACCCATTTTGTATCATTTTGAGGAGAGCATCATGTTAATATTTTGCATGTTTGTGAAAACTGATTATTTCTTTTCTTTTTCAATGATATTTCCACTTTGTATTCCTTTAATATGTGACCTGCCATAGCATAATGAGGAATAACCCCCACCTTTGACTTTTCAGGTTGTATACATCATGTTAAAACGCAAATCATTGGCTTTCCAATGATACCAAATTTATTTTTGTAGCTTAATTTATTCCAAAGATATGACGCAGGAACTTCGACAGTGTCCTGCCAAGTTTTGCTAACCTCATTTCGAGAAAAATGGCTTTAAAAAAAAGACACGCATTGCGCCACCAACGGCAGTGAAAAACGTTCTTCAGTTTTTCCACTTTTATGGGTATTTTTTCCCAACAAAAAATGCATAATATGAATCTTGGACACCCTAGCTACTCAAAAACACAAAACAATCAATATCAGTTCTGACTTCAGGCGTCGAGGCTTTGGGGGACATTCCTCATTTTGCTTCAGTAGGTCACATGTATTTGTCTCCTGGAACTGTTAACACACTGTATTTTTTGCATGTACGTTTCTTGCCTGTAATCTTTCTCATTTGTATCGTGTGTACTCTAATTTACTTTTTGTAGAATGTGACCACTGATAATTAATCAACCGAAGACATAATGACGTCACGCTTTGTTTACATGTGCGCTTTTCTACGGGAGCCAGGTGGGGAAGCCATCCAATCATCCCATCCGGCTCCCGTAGGAAAGCGCACATGTAAACAAAGCGTGATGTCATTATGTCTTAGGTCTATTTCTACAAAACATGTAAATCTTCAAGCAAACGAAAAAAATCATATTTTAATGTGATTGAAAATCACAAAATTCACAAATTCCTCCTTAATTTGTAGTAGCTGCTCGCATGCCTATTTCTTTTCATCTCGTTTTCTGATTTTGCTATATTATGTATAGGCCTATAATTCTATAATTTGTGGCTTTCTATAAAGTGTGACCTTTTTCCTGTGTCTGTTACCTTGGTACTTTGTAATGTGCCATCCAAGTATCATTAAGAACAACTTCACTTTTTTTTTTATTTGTTGAGTAGGTAGTTTGCTATTCATAATCACTTTAACCCTAACTCCCTAGGCCTTTTTGCTATAGGATGTAGCTTCAATCCTGCAAAATCCTCCAATTGGCCTCATGGAAAAATAGCATATAGCCTCAATCCTGCAAATTCCTCCATTATTTCTTGAATTGGTCCGTGGAGGGGTGACCACTGCCTGAATCCTGCAAAATCCCGCGGCAGTGACTGTCAATATGTTGAGGCTTGGCCAGTAACATCCTAGAGCAGTACGGAGGATTTCAAGCATAATCCAGGCCTATATTTATGCATGGCTGAGCAAAAACAACACAAGGTCCGGCCCAAGACCTAGACAAAGTGCATCCTACGAAATCAGTAACGCACTTTTGCCATGTAACCCCAATCCTCCAAATTCCTCCACTTTGGCAAAGAGGATTTTGAAGGATTCAGGGCGGTTAGGGATAAGGCGGAGTGCATAAGAAAGTACAAAATTGTAGATGTCAGATGTAACAGGGACAGGAAAACAGTGAACCCCAAATTTACGGAATGACCCATAACCATGACTGCCCTGCAACCTTTCTTGCATGTTTATCCTTGCTGTTACACAATTACAATTGCCAAAGTTAGTCAAAGTTAGTCAAAAATAGCAAAGAAAACAGAAATAAGTCAGCTTAAAATTTGAGAAAAAAAAATCCGGACCTGTCATTGCAACAAGTTCATATTTTTCCATTCGGAATAATTATGCCCTGGTTTATAAAAGGCTTTACATTCGTCGTACATGTATCAGTATTTGGTGATTGGACTGTTTCTTTGTTACTGAAATATCATTATATTTGCAACATTCGGAGCTACAGTATGCATTGTATTCATGCAAATTCATATTTTGGGGTAAAATATTGAAAACCTTGCAAAATTACAGTCGGTGCCATGTCAGATGCAGCATTGTTTATTTTTATTTATTTGTTTATATTGTTTTTAAATATTCATATATGACATTTTCCAATATCAAAATCAAAGTGTATTCAAATGTAGTAGTCTCATAATGAAGCCATTCGCTACATGTACACGTATGTATGTAGGCCATTCTTAAAATTTAGGATCCAAAGTGTGTTATTTTTCCTGTCCCTGTTACCTTGGTACTTTGTAATTTGCTATTCAAGTATCATGAAGAATGACTTCAAATGATATTTTAGTAGTTGGGTAGGTAGTTTGCTATTCCTAATCCCCCTTGGAGGACGACTGCATTAAGGAGTGTATCAGATTTATAAAACCATAGATGTCATCAGATGTAACAGGGACAGGAAAAATTTGACCCTAAATTTATAGAATGCACTTTTTTGGGGGAGTTTTCTACCTTTGTATGTATAACTTGAGAAAGCATCTTCAAGCGTGACTGCACATTTCAATTGAAGTTTGCAATTAATAATCATTGCCACTATTTCCCACTATTCCATTGTACTTGACACGCAATTTTTTTTTTCAGCATGTCATCTAATTTTGCATGAGTATGCATATTCATGCGCATGAACATTTTGTGTGTGTGTGCAGTTTGAAAGTCTTTAAGATTAGTATGTCGGTGAAGGGCAAAACCTAAATTTGATTGCTATCACCCCGACGCAAAATTCCATCATATAATGGTTTATGCGGTACCCGCTGCTATGAACATCAGATTCGAACCAGCCAACCGATCCCGTTAGCTCGGTGGTCGAGTGGTAAGACATCTGCACTAGAAAGCAGGAGGTCGTGGGTTCGAGTCCCACCCGAGTGATTTTTCCAACTTTCACTCGGGAGGTAACACACTGAGTATACAGTGTTTAAACGTCGGTGAAGGGCAAAACCTATAATTTGAAGATTATTATGCACACGCTTGTTGCATTTACAAGAAAATTTGAAGGGTTTTTTTCTCTCTACTTAGTACATTCACTAGCCCCACCCTGCATATGAGTGATTTGGAGGCGGGCAATAAGGCCGACGATGACATCATCATCAAGGCCGGACACAGTTATGCAGTGCCAATACACCTTGACGCACCGGGGATCATCTTATGCTGGGAATTTGCATCAGCTCCAAAGGTACTCAGACAAATTTAATAATAATAATGATAATAATCACTTGATTTATAATGTGAATTTGTTTAGGAATAAATGAGCGACTAAGGGTACGCAGAGAGTTGAGTCGATCAAGTCGAGTCGAGTCACAGTGTGTAGTAAATATTTAGCTCAAGTCAATTCGAGTCATGAATATTTGAACACTATATAACAATAAAGACGAGAGAAAGTTATTTGTATAAATAACAGTATAGTTAACAAGAAGTGAAACTCCGATCTTATAGGCTATCTGGTATTTTTTTTCTTATAGGCTATCAATTTTTTTTTGCTGATCGCTGACAATATCAAAACCAAATTGCATTATACAAAAATGTTTCTGATTATTGTATTTAAAAGTGGGCATGTATCTATTTAGTTTTTAAAACGAGGGAAAATTTTATTAGCTGGCATTTGAATCCAAGAGCTTAATAACAAATCACCCAAATCCAATGATGAAACCAAGAATTGGAAAATGTGTTTAAAGTCCGTTTCCCAGATAGTATTTTGTGCGTTCAAGAACCACAAGGTGGGAGTCTGTGACACGTTTGTTTGTCCTCGAAAAGCGGTACTGTACTGTACTGTACTCATAAAGTGACGTGAACATAAAAGTTGCACCATAAGTCATTGCAAATATTTTTAACATAGCTAGTGTTGCTTTTATTTTTGGGACTCAAGTCTTATTAGCCTTACTCGAGTTGAGTCAAGTCTTCTGATGAGGGACTCGAGTTAAGTCGAGTCATTTACCCATTGGGATTCGAGTCGAGTCGAATCACCAAAAATTGTGACTAAAGTCAGACTCGAGTCGAGTCATTGACTCGAGGCATTACAACTCTGGAATTGAGACGGGCCCTTGGGTTATGGCTGTGGTGGAGACCATTACGGCTGGGTGCTTTAAGGTTGAGTGAACCCGTTAGGTATTGAAGCATTGGGTTCAAAAGTGCTTTGTGCATGTACAGTGCTGATTTGAAGTTGTTGCATTTGTCTGACATTTGTCTCTCTGTTAGTGGGTATATTTCATGATTATTAATGTTTTATTAATTTCAGCTGCCATTTAAAAAAAAAAAGTGTTCTGCTTGGAAACCAACAGCGTAGTTGTCAAGTTCATCAAAAGTCAAATCACAAGAGAGTTTTCAAGTCGGGTCAAAGTAACGGTTGATGAACACAGTAGTTATGATTATACCTTGTGACTTGACTTGGGACTGGATGACTCGTTTATGGACTCAATGGCAACACTGGTCAGTCACAAGGCACTCTCATGTAAGGCCTCAAGAAACACAGGACAAACAACAACAAAGGAATACTTTGGTCATTGTCTTTGGTTACCTCTCTGCTTACAGACGGTGTCTTTCAGTGTGACCTACCAACCAGCCGACCCCCCATCGCCCACAGACGGGACCCAGGGTCAGCCAAGCCAGGTGGATGAGCTCATACCGCTCTGTAAATGCAACTCACACAGACACGCCGTGCAGGGGGAACTGATGGCTCGCAAAGCTGGCATCTACACACTGCTGTTTGATAATAGTTTCTCCAGGTAAATTAATTTGCCGTTGTGAACACTTATCCCACATCACAGCGGTCGACAATTGTTTCGTAATACCTCTGTCTTGGATTCTTTGGATTTTGATGTAAAAATCAGGAAAACAAACAGCAGTAAACCCCAACAATCATGACCATCAAACGCCAACTCACATGCATGTCGCGTGCTCGAAACGGTTAAGCCTCGAAACAGCTGATCATCTGCTAGTTCACTGCTCCCACTCATGTGTGAAAACATGGTGAAAATAGCGTGGGTACCAACGATATAAGCGTTTCACACCGTGCGTACCGTACGTACGTACAAACAAAGTCATAGCACACTGCCTGTGGGATATCACTTATGTGTCTATTTTTCATTCATTCGCAGATTCACTCAGAAGTCTGTGAAGTACAGCCTGCAGGTCAAGCGGCCCGAGGCGGCCTACTAGTCAAGTCCAGTTAGCCGGCTGAGAGCCACATAATACGCCAGGCACCCCCCCGACGAGCCATTTTCCAAGAACTGCCAGAGTCTGTAGGTGACATGGCCATTGTGGTCTACAGACTCCGGGCTCAAGAACCCCCTCAATGCTGGAGGGAGAGCCAGTTAAGGCCGGTTCCCGAATGCAAATGCGAACGTCATGAAACATTCCCTGCGAAATTTTGCACAAGTTGCAAGTTCACACGACAAAATGGCATTTGCCTTTGCTTTCGCATGGAGTATGAACTGGTCACGCAGATGTGGATGCGAAGCGAATTTGACGTCAGAGAACATTTTCAACTTTTGCGAATACTTGACGTGACATCACATATGCTTCGCATTTGCTTTTACGCTGAATAACAAACCGGTCTTTAGGCAATGCACTGCGAACGTACGCTTGACACTTATTTATGCAAAAAAATTGTATTCATACAGAAGAGTTGAGATTTTTTCACAGTATTGGACAAAATTGTAGAAACCAAAAAGGTTTTAATAATGGCAATGCTCAACTAGTGTTCATATGACCCAAGTCACATATAGCTGTGCAGGGAAGAAAATAATTTTTCTCGTGAAACAGAATACAGAACCAGAAATTAAGTTATATATTGTAATATAAGTGGTTACAGTTTCTGTGGATAGATCATGTTTAAAATATGAAAAAGGAAGTTTATGAATGCATGGTTACTTCGGCAGAGAGTGGAAAGAAATGATTTTGGGCAAGAATATCATAGAGATCTTGAAACTGGGGTTGATAGGAATATTCAGGAATTGTCCATGTAGTTATGCAGACCAAAAGTGTTGTTAGTTGTTCATTATCACCAATGTAGCAACATGCCTGTGATGAGCCTGTGATAACCCCAACGATCCCCAATCAGCCAAACTCCAACACCAGGGTTTGTTGGAATCTGTTAGGATGAGTACTGCACTACCGGTAGTAAACTTTATGACTGTGCTTCAGGTGGGATTAGGCATACCACAAATAAACAGAGTCTATGTGCACAGTTAACCATATGGTGATGGGATTTGCAAGGAGGGGAAGGTTCCTATAGGCATGCAACTTTTCCTTGGATCAGCTGATTTCCTCTTTTTTTTACTTCCCATGTGTGCCATTGAAAATAGAAAAACACTGTACAAAGTCTGGGGAAAATTTGAATTTCCTCTTTTTTTTGTGAATTCCCAGTTGCATGCCTGTTCCTAGTAAATCACCCTAGGGAGTTGGGGTTAAGGGGTAAATCTTGCCAGCTACCTTTCCGAAATAACCTGTTTATTAAAAAAAAACGTGATGGAAGTTCCAAAAAGACATCAACCTTTTCTGAATGTTAAAAAAAACCATGAGGGACCAATTTTAGCACACCAATTAGATACATGTATTTTAAAATTATCTAAAAAAATTGCTTTTTTGGACAAAATGCCAAGTCATGTAGCAGTTTAATTAGAGTTTTCAGCCCTATGCAAATGGTGGCGGTTCATGAAAGATTTGAAGTTTCTCTTTACTATATGTACTGTAAATATATGGTGGCTGACATAACTGCCTAACACATGTCAAATGTCCGCACGCAAAAACTGCCGTGCAGCAAAAAATGGTTAAATACAAGAAATTTTGAGTTGATGCATGTTTCACAGTGAAAGTTTTCTATTTTATGGGGTCCTTGCCATATGTAGTCTTCAGCATTATGGTACCAATGTACAATGTTAAACCAATCATGTACATGTACCGACATGGTGAATCAGTTGTTCTCAATTTTGCATCAGAATACCCCCCGACCTCAAAATTGATGTAGACGGACAGAGTTTTTGTTGTATACATTTAAGTAATATTATAAAAAAGCAATATAAATTGAGCGGTCTTAAAAGACAATTTTCGCTGATTTTTTTTTGTAAATATATTAATACAGCCATGAGTTCTTTTCAGTTTATATCTTTAAAACACTAATGAACTCTTAAGTAAGATAAGGCATCAGTAATTATTGTAAAACATCGCTTGCTGAATGCATGTCATTTGTTGTATGATGTAAAATTAATCTTTACAGCGCATTTTTTTGACTGGTTAAAAAGGTTGTTAGTTTTGAGCATGCATTAAATGAGGGGCAAAGTACTTAACTTCACTTTGGTGTACCACCCAGCTGCTGTGTATTAGACAGACACTCACTTCTTATTGGTTTACATTTTTGTAACGTGCTTGTTGGGAAAAGGGTCTTTTACATTCTCAGGATTTACTAGAACTTTGGGGGGTTCTTTTCATCATCAAGAAGCACAGGAAATTCTTTGTATATATACATTTTTATTATTCAAAACTCTGTGTATTTCAAAGTACCATTTTTCCAATGTTAAGAAATTATCTAAACCCGATTAGCACAGCTATTCAGCTACATGGCAAGACAATGCCGGAGTTTAACTGACTTTTCCATCATCTCAAATAAATCATCTCATATAAATAATCATATATGTATCTCTGTGTTAGTCATTATCATCCTTGCTTTAGTCTTATTGAAATAACTGATAGTATCCGCTTTTGTGGTTTGATTAAAAGTTACTTAACCTCCTGCTATTTAAGCAGTCACAGACAGTCAAAATTCACTTCCACATCCTCTGCTATACTTTTAACAAAGGCTAGTCACCAGCAGTCAGATCATATGTCAAGCAAGCACTGTGAGTAGTCAAACTGGGTCAACAGACAAAGCAGGCAAGTCGTGGTCACAGCTGTTTTACCACTCACCCGGAGTCAAAGCATAGCTGTATCAAGTTACTTAAACAGTCCCAGGCAGTCAATCCTGCTTTATGTGGGCTTTAAGGTTGAAAACAGTCACTTAAAGGGAAAATACAACATTTGCAAACATCAAAAAATAAAACTACCAAATCATTTTGAAATACCTTGCTGGACTGTTAGTGAATGACAGTGTAAAGCATCCTGTAAAATCATGGCACCTGGTATACTGTCATTTTCAAGAAAAGTGGTATTTTTGTTTCAATTTCCAACGCTGATCGGCCGATCAGCGTTGGAAAAAACTGGCTTTTTTTCAAATACTGGCCCCAGTTGACCATCGCACTTGTTTGCAATCGATTACACACCTATGAACGGGTACAAGCCAGCTAGACTGGTTCCCTGACCTTACAATTCCCCAATATATGTAAACTGCTCTGTTTCTTCTTAAATGGAGTCAGGGAACCAGACTACAGGAAAATGATTGTTTTTCTTGGTTTTTATAGCATTTTCGAACCCAAAACCTCAAAAAAGTCAGTGTAACTATATTTGCTATATATTTCCAACCCCCCAATTCCATCCATTTCTGAAAATTACAGCAAAAGCAAATGATGTATATTCCCTTTAATTGATTTTGACTGCAAGGACAAGATGGCACAGAATGTATGTTTGCATAGGAGGGTGAATATATATTTATATACAGATATTTAAGCGTCATAGAATCAGATACAAAATGCCAATTTGCAACAAGCGCGGGAACACTCACAAATCCCCATCAAGCTTATTGGCTTGATCAGCACATTTTGTATATTCCAATATTCGATCAAGTCCTAGTTAGAATAATCAAATACTTAATTATTCGAGAATGGAACTATATTCAATATTCCGCAAGCATAGAGTCTCTCTGTTTGGAGACAGTCGATGGCAGCATTGCTCAAGACAGCCCCATGGCCTTATCCAGGAAGTTTGAGAACTTGGACGTGTCGCCTGGTGGGAAGGGTTTCAGTTTAGCCGTATCCAACTCGCTGAGAACTTCTAACAGATTGCTGAATGTTATAAAAAGAGAGAAAAATACCTAAATGTTGATAAAATGGCAAATATATTCAATCGGCTGGAAGAAAAGTGACATATTAAACAAGTTTTTTAATAAATTTGATAAAAAAATTCAAACTTTTGGTACATTGTAGTTCAGTTCTAGACTGCATTTTTGTCTTGGGGAGTACCGAAAATTGAAAAATAATTACCATTTTTTTTATGGCAACCGTACACGGCACAGGTAGTGACCGAAAACTGACAATATTGTCATTTGATCAAGATTTTACCTTTTTTTTCACATGAAACAAAAGCTCTACTGTCTAGTTTACAACGCACAACTTGGAAGCTAACCAAAGCGTTTTTGTGTTATTCCTGTATTATGCGTGCGAGAAAATTTTGGGGTCCACTTTTGCGACCCCATAAATTTCGAGCTGTTTGGATGCTAATTGTGATTTCATTCGTAAAGTGTTCGCCTTTTGCGGACGTTGAAGAAACCACATTTTTGCATTGGTGATTGGTCACCGCTGTTCCCGAGACACACAACATGTATATCGCACACTGTATGAGAACGACACGAAAAACGTATTCGTACTCCATCTTGTCCAATGTAAACAATTGGGGATTTTTCCTCTTTTCTCGGGAACAGTAAGACATTAGGTTGGTTTCACTTTTTAACCACATGTTTGAAATGGGATAAATAAACAATCCAAAACATGAAATTTTCGGGGATTTCAGGACCTAGTGCCCCTTTAATACTAACTTAAATTCTCTGCGTTTTCACCACATGTTGTGTTTATATTACGTTAAAGAGGTTGAGGAATGCTGAAAGTCGTTTTGTTTTTTATATTTTTTTACTGTAGAGTAGACCCATATACATCACAATGACAAACTCCCATTCTTTTGAAATGTGCATTTATAAAACTGAAATTTATCGAGTAATTTGTTGGTCGGCGAGCGCATAATTGAAATCAACAGTCGTCGGGTTCTTCGTAAAATCAGAAAAATCGTGACGTAATAAACAGGACTCGTTTGTACTACACTGCATAGGGAGTCCTGTTTATTACGTCACGATTTACTATGTTATGTTTGCTCCCCCAACGATGACTTTTACACAAATTGCACGTTCGGGTCTTAACAGGACCTGAAAAACAGCTCTCAAAAGTACCTTTTGTACTCATTTCATGACAGAAACGATAGTCGTTTTTATTTCATCACACCTTAGGCTACATATACCCGAAAAATGACAGAAATGTCTTCGAGCATTCCACAACCTCTTTAAGATTATGTCATACCAGCATGTTGCATAGAGAAGGTGTCCATCTAAATACAGTTGATATGCTAACTCCATCTGGTGATTGCCCATGAGTAACTGATTGATGACGACAATTAATGGTTTACCGGCGCCTAGGGACTCCAAGACACTACCAGCTCCTGTAGAACAAAGGACATATTCAAATTGAGAGTTGTAGTGGAGCCAGTCACAAGTCAATCATAAGTCTGTCACAAGTCAATTACAAGTCTGTCACAAGTCAATCACAAACCTGTCATAAGTCTGTCACAAGTCAATCACAAGTCTGTCACAAGCCAATCACAAGTCTGTCACAAGTCAATCACAAGTCTGTCACAAGCCAATCACAAGTCTGTCCCAAGTCAAATCACAAGTCTGTCTCAAGTCAATCACAAGTCTGTCACAAGTCAATCACAAGTCTGTCACAAGCTAATCACAAGTCTGTCTCAAGTCAATCACAAGTCTGTCACAAGCCAATCACAAGTCTGTCACAAGCTAATCACAAGTCTGTCACAAGTCAATCACGAGTCTGTCCCAAGTCGAATCACATGTCGAATCACATGTCAATCATAGTCGATCATAAGTCAGTCACAAGTCAATAACAAGTAGGGCTGTGCACCGAGTACCCGAGTACTCGACCGTTTATGTCAGGAGCCGGTTCCAGATTATGGAATCAAGTACCCGTAACCAACTTTACAAATTACTTTAGTTACTTCTCAGACAATGAAAGAGAAAGGTTTGGAAGTCATTTTTGGGGAATTTTCGAAATGAAACCCAGGCCACACAGGAAAACAAAACATATTTCACGTTTATGACGTTCGCGAAATCTGCAGTTTGCACCGTAAAGCTATAAAGCTCACTGCGCACACTTGTATCTTGCTGTATTGATGCCCCGATGTGGTAGTATTATCGCGCAGATTTTTGTGAACAATCTCAACAGCAACTTCCGAGGATTAAATTTTGGCATGTTTGGTGTTGGGTTGCTTTAACAAAGATAGCATTGGACCAACAGACTATACACAAATTTAACTTGTCCACTAAAATTGTTGTACATGTGTTTGCTTGTGCTTACGATGGCTTGGATGGTTAAACATATTTCATTTGATTTTGATTATTTTCTTTCTATTATCCTTTTTTTTTGGAGGATGGAGTGTAGGGTAGAGTACCCCAACTCTCCTTATCCATACAACCAAACTAGACACAGGCTGGTTCATTCTCGGTGAAAATGAACTCAAAGAAATTTGTGCCTTCATGACATGTTTGCATGCTGTGAACTCAAAATGGTACACATTCTAACTCTGGCAAAGTTTGGAGACCGAAAATTCCCTTCACATTTTCATTCACTTGAAGTATGAACCAGTCATAACTTTATAAGCTCTTCCAGGAGCTTCTACATGTCACTTCCTGGTCGGTCGGTTGGTCGGTTGGTCCCCTAAGTTTCCCAACAAATATAACTACCAATTGACCAAAAATTGACCAAATGCAATGCCGTCATCAGTAAATGCACTCTTGGCGAAAGTTCTTGGAGCACGCCCTTTGTCTCCATCGATGCGCATGCGCATGGGCGTCTATTTTGCATATGAAGCGAGACATTTTGGAACCGGGCCAGAGCTTACTGTGCACTCGCGCTTGTTTTGGTGGAATCTCTCTCTATACCTTCCTACCTGCATGGCTGATGATTAGCGAGGCATTCTTGATGTCCTCTGCTATGGAGTCTTTGTAGCGATAGTACTCCACCGTAAACCCTCGTTTGGATACCGGCTCAGGCTCGTAGACACCTCTGCCGATCTGCAGCAACACCTTGGAATAGCCCAACGCTTGGAATTGCTGCAAGACATCAAGCAGAAATGAAACACATGGTTGTTTCATGTAGGCAGAGGCGGATGACGGAAGTATTGGATTGACCCACCAGGAAGTTTCAATGAGTTGCAAAGATACCTGTACTTGGCACTTGGTTGGTTCTTCTCCTAAGGACTTTCACAAGGGAGTATAACTAGGAGGCCAGAAACACCGGGGCAAACCCCTTCTCTTAGCGATAAGTGTTACTGGGTTCTTTTGCGTGCCTTAGGCCGTATACAACACACAGGACCTCCGGCTTAACGTCCCATCGGAAGGACGAAGCAATAATGGTTAAGGGCCTTGCTTAAGGGCACAAGTGTCCGGGCCTGGGCTCGAACCCACGCCACTGTTGCCTCTGAAACACCAGAGCATGAGTCCGGTGCTCTTAACCGCTAGGCCATGACACACCACTGTACAAGGCAGTGGCACTATTAATTCTGATGCAACATATAATGTCCTCCGAAGATACCAATAATGTGATAAATAGTTTGGAAACTGTTTCTTAAAGTCATCAATAAAAAATCCTTTATCTAAATACAATGTATCACTTTGTTTTTATTTGAGAAATGTCTTTAGAGAAAAGATATTCATGTTAGGCCGATTAAAAAAAAGGAAGTAATTTCTCATCTGGCTGTTTCAAAAAAAAAAGGCGGACACTGTTTTGCCCAAAGGTGGCAGATTTTCCAAGATGGCAGATGGGTTCTTCCATTTTCTGTACTATTTTGCGGAAGCAAAATTTTGTCTTAAGGAGCCTCAACCCTTTCTACATAGCTAGAATTTTGATGAAAACAATAGATAGACAATTTACTGACAGTATCTGTCCAAAAAATATTGCAAATGTATGAATTGGAAAGAAAGAAAAAGGGAGGCTGTAGGGAAAAAAGGGAAGCGGACGGGGACAAGAAATTTTGGAAAGATTTCCATATAAGAAGTTCACTAATTTTCCTCTGTAGGCCTATTGACTAACAAGCCCCCAGATAGCAATTTCATGTCATCAAAGTCAATTTGAGCAGTGAGAAAATACAAGCATTTTCTTAGAAAACACTTAGAATTTTTCAGTCCACTCTCATAGGGTTTGTACACAGGGTGTTGAGTGAACTTCTTATATGGAAATCTTTCCGAATTTTTTTTTTTTCTTGGCCTCATATCATCTCATTTTCCTCAATTGAAGAAAACAACATTCGTTTTTAACCCATCAGTAACTAACTATACTACATTGCATTTCATTGTGTTTATTCACTAAAAACCATTGAGTGCTCAGGCAATTCCAGGCGTTACAGGAGTTATATGCAGGGTGGTTAAATTTGGTCGCCACAGTGACCAATGGGTGAAAAGTACCTGACATAGTTGCCGAGACGATGCAACCTGTACCAGGGCATCAAAGCTGGTCGTTCCAACAGTCACAAACACCGTTTTCTTGGGCTTCATTTTGATGACTTTTTCGGAATTTCTGGAAGTAACAGCAAAATACTATTAAAAGCAACAATTCACATTGGCCCACGCTTTGTTTAATCTCATCTAAAGTCAAGACTGTCTCAGATTTTGGGTAGGCCTACATGTTCCAAGTGTGGCCTTTATTTACGGAGGTGGTCTAGTAAATCGGCCACATTTATGGGGCTAGGTTCACTTTCGTAACCCCTAAAAATCGGGCTGTTCATGCTAGTTGTGATTCCAGCCGTAAACTTTATTGTCTTCGCCTTCTGCGGACATGTACCTCTGTACCCTCTTACATATGCTCTATAATCTATTTCAGCATTGCCACTTGGTCATGTATCGAACATTCAATGAAAACGATAGGGAAAAACCTTTTTAAAATAGTGTAAGTAAACAATCTAAAACATGAAATTTTCGGGGATTTTTGGTCGTATATAGCCCCATAAATGTGGCCTATTTACTGGACTGCCTCCGTAAACATAGGCCACACATCCACATGTACAAAAACGTGTCGACTTTGCCAAATTTTGATTTTCACATTTAGGCTTACTTTGTAGAATTTTTTTGCTTTAGAAGCATTCTCACCCTCTTTAGCTAATCAGAAAGTGCTGCCTTTTTCAGATGTCTAATTTTTGAGAAATTTCATGTTGAAATTTTGATACGCAAACGTGTGCAAATGTATCTGGGAATTTCACGAAAAATGGACATCTGAAAAAGGCAGCACTTTCTGATTAGCCTATATAGAGGGCGAGAATGCTTCCAAAGCAAAAAAAATCTACAAAGTAAGCATGGTAAGCCTAAATGTGAAAATCAAAATTTGGCAAAGTCGACACGTTTTTGTACATGTGGATGTGTGGCCTATGTTTACGGAGGCAGTCCAGTAAATAGGCCACATTTATGGGGCTAGGTCGTATACTATATTACACTACAGGCTAGTGCCCTTTTTAAGTGCGCCATTCCCTCCCCCCGATTATGTGCCCAATTTCCGGACGGATCAACATGATCAAAACGGTCAATTGCATTGACTGATGTTCATCGAAAAAGCAAACGTTATCACAGTTGACGATACATGTGCACACCAAATTAAACTTGGTCAGTTAATTCTGTTGAGTTACTTTTTAGGGGAAAATAACGACATAGTAGTAGCACTCACCTAACACGTGCAGAAGAAACAGATGAAAATTTGTTGACAATTTCCCACCTGACAATGGAGGGCGCCGTTCATTTCTCTGACTCGCCAGAACATCGACGACGCTCGCGATCGCACGTACGACAACTGAAGCGACGCAGCATAGTGAGCATACATCCAGACTGTCGATTCAAAACCCTATCTGAGTCTCATTGTCTCAAACTCATTTACACTGGTGGTCTACGCCCTAAGATAAAAAGTATACAAGGTGCCCCCCCCCGAAAAAAGCCAGCCCTCGAAGCATCATATAGCTTTTTTTTATCTATTTCTTCTTCGGTCTTAATAATTATGCATGTACAAATGTAGATTTGATGTGAGGGTAAATTTGCTATTTTAATTTTAAAAACTTTCTCTGTTTGGTTCTTTTGCTTTGTACTTTTTTGTCGGCAACTTAATGGTAAGTTATCTTTTTGGAAGATGATAGAACAGACGTTAGACGAGGCGGTGCGTGCCGGGGGAGTCAATCGACGCAGTCGTAGCCTGACACGCAATTCAGAATTTCAAGAGGTGCGAAACTTTTCAAAGTAGTAAAGTAGAAGTACATATTTCTCAGTCCTAATTATGCACCGAGAGACCAACATATCAGTCAAACTAAAACAAAAAATCATAGGCTGCAAATTCTGATCACATTCTTGAAGCTTTTATTCACCATAGGGGGTGATATCTCAAAACGTATAGGCTTACGACTAACGAAGCTGCCGTATATATTTTTCCAAACATAACAAAATAATGAAAACAGTTGGCTCATTGCTGCCCCAAGTATCAACTGCTGTTCGTCCATGGAGCTAGATAAAACAAATGCACTCAACAATGGTAATGTTTCTCCGCCTATTTAAACAAATCGTTTTTGAGCAGAATTCTAAGAAAGCCGTTTGGCCTAGTGGTTAGATTCGTCGGCTACGAATCGCGGAGCCCGGGTTCGAATCCCGTCGGTGTCTTTTTGCTTTTCAACGCAGGCATTCAGTCATTATAAGATGTTTAATTTCCCATCGTAAATCACCAACAGTACCTTAGCTTAATCGGTAAGCACTGCTGCTGGTACTGTCCGCGAGTTCCAGGTTGGCGCCTTCGTACAGGTTCAGGGCATGTGGTCCACTCGGAGGATCAGGGCTTAGGGGCCGCCCTGTTCCTCCCTTAGCTCTTTGCTTTTACATGGTGCCTGGCCCTCGGGTTACATGGATGGACAGGGAAGGAAGTGTGTATTGGCCGGGACACCCGAGAGCCCAGAAGAGAACTAAGGGATCGGCTGGGGCATTGTTATGGCTCAGACCGATCCCTGAAAGCTTGGCCAGCACATAACTTTTTGATTTTTATTTAGTCCTCCTTTTTTTTTTTACTTTGGTTAAGTTTGATATTTACATCTGCTCGGCAGGTCTCCGGTAGTATTAAAAACGAAACAAAGGTCTATGTCATAAATTAATGAACATTTAATAATGAACCATAATCAAAATTAAGTTTCGCTCGATCAATGACTACTATTATTAATGGCGAAAATTCCAATTGACGTAAGAAACGCCATAGGCCTAATAACGGGTTTTTTTTTAATATTGTGAACATTCCTAACAAATATAATAATTCGCGAAATAGGAAAAACGAAAATAAACTAAGCCCCTCACCCTTAAAACTTGAAATACAAAATTGCAAAACAAGTCAAGCGCAACACAAGAATGTACATTAAGGATTGAATTCTAAAATGCCATTAAATTGGGCTGAATAGAATTAACTGTCATTGACATGCAGGCGCGGATCCAGAGGGTTTTTTTTGGGGGGGGTCGAACCCCTCCCCTGCTCTTACAAAGCAAAGCAAAGCTAATCTGCAGCGGTTATTATGCGTCCCCTAGCTGACGGGCCTGAATCTGACGAGTCTGAGCCCCCTCCCCCCACCCCCCGGCAGAAGTTCCTATAGATCCGTCTCTGACGTAAGTTGGTAAACATAATTATGAATTGTGATATCGATTTGGCGATTTTTCATTGTTGATCACCGTGGGACGACCGCACCGGTGGTCAAAAGACCACCAAGGCGGGAGCTTGACCGATGGTGGGGGTGGGGGGGGGGTCCGACGCGGCAGTCGGCGCGGATAAACCGATCTTCGCGGTCTATTCGAGACCTAGCTCGGGCATCCCCGGGCCCCGAGTTCTGTGGGCGACCCGCTCCGGCCGCGCCGTCTCCCTCACGCAGGGCACTGGCACCACAGCACTTGGCGGCGCTTTCAAAACCCTGGCGTGGGACACTCCCGCCTACACCCGGAAGACAACACGGCTGGCCCCGCTGGAGCGGGGGCCGGCCGGGGACAACCAAACCTCGGCCCCTTGGACGGCCGGGTTTTTCTCTCTCTCTCTCTCTCTCTCTCTGATCGGTAATACGGAACAGAGGCGCTCCCGGGGGCACCCTCGGGGGGCTTGTGCCCCCCCCCCCCCAAGAGGTTGTCAATTTTTTTTGGGGGGGGGATTTTTTTTAATCCCACGATTTTACCAAAAATCCAATTTTTTTACTGCGGCCACAAATTTTGGGCTACATTTTTTGGAAAAAAAAATGTGAGCCACCCCCCCCCCCCAAAAAAAAAACTCCTGGGTGCGCCACTGCAGTGACCGCCCAAATGCGGCATACAGCCCCGTGAAAATAGTTTGATTGTCGTGCGGCGATCCCTCCTAAAGATCGCAACCAGCTTAATATATGTTTAGGCGATACCCCAGGATAAATTATCCGTATTGTCCCCCCCCCCCCCCGTGAGCTCAGTACCAATGGGGTAGTTTGGAAGCTACACGTGAGTATTACAGAAATCTTTAGTCTAATTACTAAGAATAATGAAAAATCTTCTTTGTAGACAAATCATGCACCAGCTTTTTTAGGGGCTAGGTCTTCGCCTGCGATTGGCAGTCATAGCACGGGCATTGTTTGGATATTGCCATTGTTGCCGCTGCTGTTGTTGTTGTTGTTGTTGTGGCGGTTGTGGTGGTTGTTCTTGTTGTCGTCGTTGTTCTTGTCGTCGTTGTTCTTGTCCTTGTTGTTGTCTGTAGCGATGCCTGTGTCGTCTGTGCGTCTGCGGAATGTCGTACCCAGCCCGGATTGCAGCGCCCTCAGAGGCCGCCTTCAACTCCGACGGATCGTGAGCTACTTCATCGGCAAAGTCCACGTCGTCTTCCATACCATTAGCTGTGATAAAATGAAAAGCCCAGAATAATACAGATCTCAAATAGACCTTTCTCAGTGTACGCCATCTTGAAAATCGAAGTGAGGCAAATAGTAACAATTCACCGATAGCCTTAATGTAGTTCCTACCAACTAAATGCAATAATTCAGCTCAGAACCGCCACGGACGGGAAAAGTGAAAATAGAAAGTCTGACGTTTGACGGCGGCGCTGCGGCGCTTAACTATAACACTCCAGTTACGGATATTTACGGATATACAGGGTGAGTAAAAAAAAAAAGGGAAACCCAAATGTCGGGACAATTGTTTTAGTGAAGTTCTTCATGTTTCTGTCTTTCTACTTTCTTTTAGTACAAGAATCATTCAAATCACTCATGTACTTAATACTTTTCAAATTTTAAACACAACCACCATTTTAAAGTTCTGTCCAGGGATCACAAAAAAAGTGTGCGTTCTTTCAGCAAATCCCTTTGTGATGTGTTTTCGTTTTGCTGAAAGAACACTTACCTTCTTGTATTCCGTGCACAGAACTTTAAAACGGTGGTTGTGTTTAAAATTCCGTAACTTAAAAAGTACATAAATGATTTGAATGATTCTTGTACTAAAAGAAAGCTTATGAATTGGGCTTTTCAGGCGCGGATCCAGGGGGGTGTTTGGGGGTCAAACCCCCCCCCCAGCTCTGTAAAAAAAAAAAATTCATACAATTTCCTAAAAGATAAGTCGAACCCCCCCCCCCCCTCCCCCTGTTGTGACACCCTCCAAAAATTATACTGGTATAATGTCTGCCTGTTCAAAATACGGTACACCATTCTGTAATCTAGTGTTAATAATCGTCGGATTTGAACAGCGCCCCCTATTGAAATATGGTACCATTGATTTTGATTCGCTCTGTGGTTGCTGGGTTTTGGGTTTTTTGGGGTTTTTTTTCTCAAAAAGAAAAACTTATTCAGATTCATCAACATTATTATTTATTATTCAAAAAGAAGTTCCTGAAGTACTATAAAATGTTCTACACACACACACACATTTTGTGTCATTGCAGAAAATTGTACCTACCGACGTAACTAGAACTGTGCAAACTATCTCCACCACCGCTCCTTGTCTTGTCCCCCGGAAGGACACTGCCTGACAGACGGCCGTGGGCTCCCGGCAGATGCCCTCGCTGACCGTACCCCCGGTGGGGACGTGAAACAGATTGATGTCGTTGTCGTTGTTCAGCCTAAAAGTCTCGCCCCAGTTGTCGTCGTCGACGTCAAACTTGAAGGCCGGGGTAGCGATTTCTGGCCGCGGGGCTCGGGTGGTGTGGATCTTGCTATGCCGGTTGTGGATCAGCCTCTGCAGCCCTGGAGCCTCCTCGCGTCTTCTTGTCGACCCTAGATGGTGTTTTAAGGCATAATGCATAAATATCCCAAAAGTAACCGTATACTGAATTATTATCAACACGCTTACTTGGATTGAAGATCCAGTGGCGCACCCAAGGGGATGGGGGTTCGTGGGGCTTGAGCCTCCCCCCCCCCGCCCGAAATTTTTTTTTTTTTTTTTTTTTAATTATTTTTTTTGGTTTTTTTTTTTTAATGTTTGGCCCACCATTTTGCCTTGGTGATATGAATGTGGCCTACGGTTTTCGAGTCGTATAATAGGAGCGTAAGTGGCACCACCAACGTCAAAATAAGCCGCCCCTAAAAAACAAAATAACTTCTGCGGCCAAACATTTTGGGAAAAATATTTTGGAAAAAAAAATTAACTCCTAGCAAATTTGTTGTAAAAAAAAAAAAAAAAAAAAAAAAAAATTACCCCCAAAACAAATCCTGGGTGCGCCACTGTGAAGATCGTATTTGTTCTAAACAGTAAACAGCCACATGACACTGTTTCGTCTGGCTTGCTGTCATTTATAGGAGATATCAAAAAATATAGGGGCTATCCAATGATCAGTCAATTGACTGATTTTGGCAATAATGAGTGATATTGACGAAATCTTGTTTCGTGATCAAAAGTTTGTACATGTTTTTTTTCACTGGTTTCTCGAGCTGGGGGAGTGAGTGTATTATATCCTTATCCACTGAGCTGAAACCCTTCAACAGGTAAGGTTTTGAACACTCTTTTCTTATGATTGTAATTGAAAATGAAAAAATGAAGCAAATGATACTATACAGGGCGATCCAAAAAAAGTTGCACTTTTTCATAGGCAGATTTCTCAAAATTGAAGAAACATTCCTATAGGTTCAGTGTGCCAAAACCTCCCCAAGACTAGTTGATAGGATCCTCTCCAGCTGCGAGGGTTTGACCGCGCTTGTCAGAGCCCGGCGGCTAAATTAAGGGGGAAAATCAAATCCAGTCTTGTGTACCAAGACTAGGTAGCCTACCTGGGGGCGCTGGTCCTATCACTGGCACCGGTCCGTCGTGGCGGTTTGGCAGGACATCCGGGATTTCCCGCGGCGGTCCTTCGATCGGCGGGCCGTTGATGCCTCCTGTCGGGAACTCGTCCGCTCGCTCGGGAAATTGTGCGGGAGGAGGCATGCCGATTTTATCCGAGGTTTGAAGTTGCACGTTTTGCCCGGGATCGGTTCCCTCGTCGTAACTTCGTTTGATTCGCCAACGGTGTCCGATATGCAGATTTCCAACGCCTCTTATTGGCTTCTGTGGGAAGGCCTGGATGGAACAAAAAAATTATCCCGTTTGCACACACACAAAAAAATCCTAGCTAAAATCTTATTCCATGAGTGGTGGTATAGGAGGTAAAACGTAAAGGGTTCGGCTTCAAGCTATAAAAAATGTAATATAGAGATATGGGAATTTGTATTTAAAAATTCTCATAAGATTTTCTGTTCACAAGGCACGACACGAAATCCATATAGATGACACCGACACGATCGTTGTCAGTCGTTCTTTTTCGAAACCGTCAAAGATATTTGTTACAGCTATTGTTTTACATCAAAACTCATGGGTAGGCAACTCACGAAACGGCATCGTCCAGTGGGCTCATCAGCCCATGTTGACCAGTAACACTTCTGCGCCACCAGGCAGTCTTTGTCCGCTAAACATGGCGCTTCACCCTTGAATGAGGAGAAGACGAATGGTTTTGATATCATAGGCAACATCCCGCCACAACGATGTTCACTGGTATGTTATCCAACATTGTTATACCTCTGTCTTGAATACTGTATTTTCATTGGCCTAGAACGATCACGTGTTAAGTTTATAAAAAAAAAAGTCATGGCACACTCCCTGTGGGGTATGTGTATTCCCACAGGGAGTGTGCTTTGACTTTGTACGCACGCGTACGGTGTGAAACGCTTATATCGTTGGTACCCACGCTATTTTCACCATGTTTTCACACTTGAGTGGGAGCAGCGAACTAACAGACGATCAGCTGTTTCGATCGAGCACGCGACATGCATGTGAGTTGGCGTTTGATTGTCATGATTGTTGTGTTCACTGCTGTATTTTTTCGTGATTTTTACATCAAAATCCAAAGAATCCAAGACGTGTATAACATTCGCCTCGGGTGCTATGCGCCCCTTCGGGTGTTCAAAACGTCATATCCCACATCACAGCGGTCAACAATATTGTTTAATGACATAACACGTTATCACACATTTACCCCGTTAGTATTTCATTAAAAGGGTATTATGTCATTTTTCAATTTCTGCATTCCTTGGTGATATAAATGATTCTTGGCAAGTGTTTTGTTTATCGTTCCAAAATTGCTTGTGCACCCTTAACAACTTTTTAAAAGGACCTTTTAACCTTGTTAAATCTTAACAACCTTTTTTTTTTTTTTTTTTTTTTTTTTTTTTTTTTAGTAATCTTGAATGGTACCATTTGGTAGAGATGTTGCCACGTAAATTTAACTATTTATTTATTTATTTCTTATTTATCCTGGGTGATCCATTCAGTGAGAAAACTCACTGATCTGCCAAGGATCCCAGCTCACACAAAACTACTTTTAAAATACAATTAAAATATTAAGAGTATGAAAGAATGTTTCTGCATTCATGAGGTGTCGTGGTGACCGCGATCTTTATTTTCGTGCCACATCTTTTCATCTTCATTGTCGTATTACTCCAAAATTTCCCTCAAAAAATACCCCAAATCCTGTGCCTCCAACTGCAACTTTATGTTGGTTTGAATACATTTAGTTCGTATAGGCCTAAACTAGTTGGATGTTTTATGAGTCCAATGACCAAGAGTGGATTTTCATTCTCTTATCCGAAAGGGGCCCGCCACTACAAAGGAGTTGTTGACTTGTCCCTGGAAGTCTGGACGAAGATACCAATCGGTCCTGTCCAGTATTTACTTATAGGTACACAATCGCCGAAAATACATTAGGCCTACATTTTGTAATAATCAGTTTGATTGAGCTAGTTTTCGAAAAGCAATACATCTCCCGCATGCGCAGCAAAAAAAAAATCTGTATCATATCTAGGAAATAGTAATAAGTAGGGCCCAGGGGCCTAGTGGTTAGGGTTTGTGACTCATGATCAGAGGGTCAGGGGTTCGAATACAGCTCCTGCTCATAATGCTGTGTCCTTGGGCAAGCCACTTCACCCCCACTTGCCATGCTTGCCTCTGTCCACCCAGAAGTATAAATGGGTGCCGGCATTTAGCTGGGGAGTAACCTGTGATGGACTAGCATCCCATCCAGGGGGGATAGAAATGTTCTCAATCGTTTCATGCTACTGAAACCGGAGATATACGCCGGCCTGCTAAGCCACATTGGCTCGTGACAGACTTTACTCTATTTAACAAACACACTTATTGGGACATCCTAAATAAATCTGTAACTTACACTTCTCTTGACGAGTTGCGCACAGCACGTGAAGTGGATCAGCGATAGCAGGAAGAAAAAAAGTATCGTGACATCAGCAAACCGACTCATGGTTTCTGAAACTGAACAGCAGAGAAAGTATTGTGTTTATTTCTTCCAACAGTTCCCACACGTTTCCTAACTTGAGGCTAACACTGAAACCAGCCTCTGTGTTCAAAATAGGGGCCTACCTCTATTGTGCGGCCATTAAGACGACTACTTTTATTACGTTCTAACATCACATCAATGTATGACATTCTAATTTAAATATCGCTGAAAAGAAAGTCTTACACGTGTTGCGTGGATATCCTCCCAGTATGCATCAGCTTCAATGGTCCATGCAGTCTATCTGTTCATCTTTCTAGCATAGATAAGTTGGGCTTTTAGCATTGCACGATTTACAAGGTCGATTCTTTTCAAACAGTAATGAGGCGTCGCGTATCATACGCCTTTGCGTCGTATGTTTAGCGCAGAAACGCGGCACGCAACGCGAGTGCGTGCGAACTGCGTTCAGCACGCAATACGCTCGATTGGTAGCTCATCATGTCGTCACCAGCATAGAGGACAACTTAGGATGGCTCTCAGGCAGCCTAAACTTAACTTCCTCAGGTTGTTGGGCGATGTATCAGTTCTTGTGGAGGAGCCGCCCTTATAATTTTACAATCGCATGTCATATAATCATTGGAAACGCGTCCGTGCTTCGGTAATCGGGTCAACTTGCCAACACTTCTTCGCGTTTCCGTTCAAAATTGTATCAGCTTTTACTAACAGCAGATATGATTGATCAGCTCATTGGAAAGAAGTGATTACGAAACGCTTCGAGGGTATACGTTTAAGACGAGGAGTGGAAGGGACAAGTGGTATTATAAGGGGGTGTAATAAAGAATGAAAATAACTATGAATATCGTGAAATTTATATTTGCAGCTGTATTTAAAACTGGGATTTAGTAGAAAGTTTTGTGTCAAACGTTTCTAGCTTAAATCCAAATCAAATTAAACATTCATTTAAACAAGAAATGGAGACTTTGCCCTAAATCATACCAAAAAAAACGAATAACTTACGATCTTTACCTATGACCCGCTCATGTCCTAGGCAGACGAACCGTGAACACGGTATCAAACACAAAGAAGCAAGGAACATTTTCTCATCGAGTAACTTTTACTTTATCTTGTCTGGGTATTTGAAAGCAATATGCTTCGGCTTTATAATAACCTATCATCTTTGGCAGATTATAATACAAATATTACTGATATCAATTTCAACTTAAAGCATGCTTGAATAATAACGTCACTAATTCACAAAAAGGTCTGAGCTTAACGCGGCATCATTCTATATTTAGTAAATTGCTACTTTATATACATGGAAAATAAATATATTATATACAATAAAATAACAATGTTGAACTATATATATGCAAATCACTTTGTTGCAACTAGACATTTTAGAAAACGTCGTGTAAAGTACCGGTAATCCTTGGGTGTTAATTTCTTTCTCGAAGGGTTTACTTTGAATTGTATGTGTGCATGGGTTTGTTTATGGTGTAAATCGAGGACACACATGTGAAACATCCTGGTGTAATTCAGGACAGGAGTCAAATCGAGGACGTCCTCGATCAGGAAACGTGTACAAAACCAATGGGAGCTGTGTGAACAAAATCAGAGTAGACTGGTATTAATGTGTAATTAACTAATTAATTTCACTGCTTTCATTTCTGTTCGCAAGCTCCAAAAAAGAAGATTTTACCTCGCTTTGAATTGAACATGGCCGACTCGTGAATAAACCCTATAGGAAGTCCTCGACTTACATCATAAACAAACGTGTATATTTGTGTGTGTTCACTAAATGATCGTTCACCAGATGATCGTTCAGGAGTTGATCACCCGCGAAGCAGGGTGGCACGCAGGCGACAGGCGGGGAGCTGCCTCCCGCCTCTCCCGAAGCCGAATAACTTCATGAAGTCATTTAGTTCATTCAGTCTTTAACGTTGACTGACTTTGAGACTTCGCCAAAAATAACTGAGAAAAAATATATCTCATAGGGTCGACATTACGAGTGAAGTTCATGACAGAAAATGGGAGGTCTCACCGTGAAAATATCGAGTTTGCAATCGGCTTTAGATTTTATCTATGATAAAAAATGTAAATACTCAATTATATGGCTAGGCTGACCAAGATATGACCTCTCAAGTTTAACTCAATCAAGTCACATGGATACACTCCGTTGTCTAGTCAGCATGGCGAACCGTCCCTTCTTCTTAGATCGTTCGCGTAAGCCCCTAAACATGCTGGGCTTTGTCGTCGCCGTCATCACCGTCCGGACCTCCCGGGACAGAGCCGAGAAAAGCCCCACGACGTCCTCGTAGCTCTCCCGGACCGAGACCTCGAAGAACGGTAGGCTGAGGAGTGTGGCCAGATCCAGGCCCTCGTTGTAAGTCACCACACGGGACTGCACCAGGTCCACCTTGTTGCCCACTAAGATGGCTACCACCGGAGGGGCTTTGGATCGCCGGACCTGGTCGATAGCGGCTTTGATGTGAGGTACGGCGCGGAGGCTCTTGGCGTCGGTTACGTCGTAAACGATGATGAAGGCGTCGGCCCATTTCACCGTGCGCTCGAACGAGGCGTCGACCTCCAAACAGTCCTGAAAGTCAAAGATGCATATTTTCCTTCAAATCAAAACAACTGGTTCCACTAGCAACTTAACTGACTGTCGTGATCCTTTTTCTGTTGTGACATAAAGAGTATTCACAAGTTAAAGGGCAATGTCCGATGAAAATTTAATTAATAGTTACCTGCCCTAGCACTCTGCGTTTGTAACTCAACAAACGCAAATCTCTAGTTTAATTGGTTTAATTTTACAACATCCACAATAATTGTCGGTTTCTTTCTTAACCATGCAGTCGGGTCAAACACAAAAAAATGACTACATCACGCTATCGCATCCTTACATCTTTACATCTCTATCCACAATTGCATTGCACGAAGCCATTGAAGTGTAAAATAATCCTTAAATCAATGAAATACATTCCAAAAAACAAACACACAAATTTTGCCCTGATATTGAGTGGCGTAACTAGGACCGTCATTGCAGAGGCACTTAGGATCCCACGTTGGCGGGGGGGGGGGGGGGGGGGGGGAGCACTTACTGTGTTACTGAAAAGCTCATTTGCATTCCCTACATTTTCAGCCGGGGCACATGTGGACATGGGGGAAAGGCCTCGATCGGGGGGGGGGGGGGGGGGGCGTACCCCTATCCTCCCCTTCATCACGTCTCTGCCGATATCGCAAGGCTAAAATATACATGTATACAAAAGGCCTCTATTTACATTGACCCATACTGAACAGGTCAGTAATGGAAAAACATAGTCAAAAGAAAATGCAGTTTGCTGAGAAATCATATTCAATTCAGTGTTTCCTTTCCATGAAATTGATTGCTTCACATCAATGGATAATATATCCAATTATGATATCTATATATAGCTATGACGCCGCACATACCTGGATGTCTAGTCTGGTATCCAATATTTCCAGGTTGATCCACGCTCCGTCTATATCAACATCCTGCTGGTACGTGTTCTCTGTAGTATCAACCCAAAACCACAGGGTTATGTAAGAAGGAATGTATCATGATATACCCAATGATATACACTGATATCAATCTACTGGAAGCCGCGGGACAATCCGCAGCTACTGTTTTATCATGTAAAGCGACAACGACGACTATTTTTGTCCTTATTATTAAAAAGGGTGATGGGGAAGTCCCATTTGAGTTTTGTGCAATTTCATAGAGTAGGGGGAATCCCCCTTGAATCCAACAGTGTGTTAAGATATCTGGAATTGATGACGACATTAATGGGGAAAACCCAATGTATCGTTTTAATGAGATTTTATACGAGGTTTTTAAAGATTATACAGGATTTGCTTTTAATGCATTTGGTTTGTTTCCAATGATAACACCATTCAAAATCCAAACAAGAACATTCAGAAGCTAATTTGAAGCTTTAGCTCAGTGGGTATTACACTTTTTCGGGGAAAACAGCGTAAAACTTTGCCAGCTCTTTGATTTTTAATCTTTAAACCAACGCGTTTCAACCCTAGTAAACTTTTTGATTATTCGGTAGGTTGCTTTTGCGATAATTGCAAATGTTGTTATATACATTTAACTCATAGTAGCTAAAGTTTTTTATGTTGAACTTAATGGTAACCGATCTTCCGACCGATTTGTTTTCATGTGGTAGCAAATGCATTATTTTTATTATTGATAAATGACTATCAAATCAAATTATTTCACAAAAAGTGTTGAATCTTTGTTCCGATAGAAAACGAAATTATTTAAGGCGGAAAAGGGGGAACTATACAAACAGCAAAATACTCCAGACAGAATTTTTTTCATGTTGTAGCAAATGCATTATTTTTATTATTGATAAATGACTTTCAAATTAAATTATGAAATAAAATGAAATTATTTAAGGCGGTAAAGGGGGCAACTTGAACAGCCTGGCGGATCAGAAACTTACTTTCGTAGGTTTTCATATTTTTTTTCTGAATGTTTCCTACCTTTGTTCCTTTCGTAATCACCAATGAATCGTCTCGTCAGAAACCGTACAGTAAGAGCTGAAAAGAACACAAAAATGCAGTTGAACATTAGCAAGCCACAACGCAGTTGAAAACAACGAACGTTTCAATGTCTGGGCAATTGTTACCTATTTTCAATGTCAAGTTTCTATGAAAACCGAAGTGGCACAGAAATTCCACTGATCGTTGTTCGGACAAGTTCAACATTAAGGAGCTACAGCGGGCACGTTGTGTAAGTTTGAGAGTGTTTAGAAAGTTGACATTTCGCTTTTTAAAAGAGGCTATTAAATGTAAAATATCTATGTTACCATGGTGATCTTCGACCACTCCAAAAACCTCACAAGGTCCCAGTTTTCATAAGATGCAATTTTTGTCGGGGTGAGTGGCTAGAGAAAAATTGTGACTATGACTTTGATTCGAGCTTGATCTAATTGGCTCACGATAGTAGTTAAAGAAATTGTGCAGTGGCATTTTTCGCACACATAGTTCGTCTACATACTGGTGGAAAACCATTCACCAAGCAGGCCTATATTTCCAACTGCCATGCATAGTACACTACCGGCATTAATAGTTTTCCAGTCATTATTTTTCTTCACATCTCTGCCTCTTTTAAATGTTCAATTCCCGTCAGATGTGGTTGTTTGGAAAGCCAGATAAGATTTTCAGATAATTACCGGACGACGACACAACGGCCTGTGATAGAAGTCTTTCCGCATCCCAAAACATAAAATGGCAGGACCCTATAGCCTACAGAAGGCTGAAGTTTATACCAATCTGCCTGCGTTTTCTGTCAGATTATATGGACCCATAAAAAATCTTTGTCGAAAGATTGTACTTACCGGTCTTCCCAGAACCCGACCGTCCCAAGACCGCCACTTTCAACCGGTCCAATTTCTTCTTACTTCCGCTTGACATGTTCCAAAACCCGCGCAGAGACTTCTTCACAACATTCAACGGGAACATGGATGCCGACTTGAACTTTACTACAGGGAGGGTATGTTTTATGGCAATCATAAAAGATATCGAGCAGGCTAGTGTTATAGTCGGTATCAATAGAACAGTGTTGGATCGGACAATTGGCAGCTTGAGCAAAGACCAACTGCTCTTGTGGGACCTAATTGTTGGGTTCAGTCGGGTAGTCTGGTGGTAAATAAACACCCTCTTGTTTGCACTCCACTCAAAAGCGGTCCGGTAACCGACCCTGGTGGACCCAGTTTTAGTTTGTATTTCTTTCTAATCGCACAGACACGCGGACGTGCGATAGCGGTATTGACTGTGAAGTCATCAGGGCAAAGACCTCGATAATCGTTGGCAAATATCAGCTAGTGGATTTATATCTATTCCTCCATGATTGTATAAAAAGTCACGTGGTATACCTGAACTCAAAACCTATAATTGGACGCCAAAGATAACTAAGGTCACGTTTGCTTTATTTGACATCCTATATATGAGCTGTTTAATCATTCTGTTCTTCGTATGTAGTCGAGAAAAAAAAAATACCGCGGGACTATAAGTGATAAAGTTAAGCCAAAATTTACACAAATTAGCTTCCAACATACCAAGCATTTTAAATTTTCTGAATTTTTAAAATATTAACATCATTTACTAATCTCTGCAATGAGTTATCACGCTGTTTTCTATCCAAGAATAATTATGTTCTTTGTTATTAAATCTATATAGGCACAACCTCGTCCCAGGGTGTCGAGCAGTACGCTCCCACCAATAGCTGCTCTCTCACCCTGGTATTGGATCATTTGCATATCCAAAATGTTTAGATACGTATGCAATGAGGAATAGTCTGGTGTCTGAATGTGCTTTACCTCAGCGTTTGTTTTTGTATGTGGTGTCTTGGGTAAGAATAAGAAAAAGAAAAAGCAATATTCGTTGCGGCGTAACTCTACAAAACACGATTTTTGTTTTTCAAAGTTAAAATGTTACAATCTTATCCAGCAAATATGCAGTATCACATTTCATACTAATATCAGCAAATTGGAAAAGAAAGGATTATTTTTTAGAAGGTGTGGACGTAATAGTTACAATGAACTTGAAAACACGTAATACATGTTTGAAATAACAACACCAAGTACAAGATATAAATCAATTACCTGCTAGTTTCTCATCCCAGGACTTACTATTGGAAATGAGGTTGAAAATAAAGTAAGCCCTGGGGACAAGGTTGATGTAGTTGATATTGTCATCAGTAAGGCTATAAATAACTGCAGATATTCGTGAAACTTTTGGTGAAATTGTGCCGTTGATGATAGAAGCATGACTTTGTTATTGCCAAGACTTTATTATTGGTACGTGGTAATAGTAAATATTTATTAGGAATTTTGGCCATAGAGCCATCTCAGATTTGCCATGTGACAAAATTTTCAGAAATGGCCATCGTTGGCATTGATAATTATGGTACATCAAAACCACTGTAGTGGGAAGAGTCGTTTAACGTTTTAGATACCCACATTGGTAGACACCATACAACATTTCATTTTAGTGCGCAGTTGCCATGTTTACTTGAGGAATCGATTTTAAAACACAAGTAATAATAAAATTTAATTTTGCATTAAGAAATAATGGAAGTTTTTTGTGAGTCAAAAACCATGCTTTACAGCCCACACGCTTGATCACAAACTGGGGGTCCCATACGGGTCATTCCGTGTCAAATCAACACGCTTTTGGACCCGACCCTCACAGATTGAAACGATATTTGGTGTGATGATTGGCCTATATGAGAAACCCCCAGAACTGAATTTTTTTGTAAATTGACTCGTTAGTTTTTGAGATACGGGTCAACGAACTTTTGACTAATTAGCATGACCTCCGAACTTTAAATACTTGTATCTCAAAAACTATAGCGCCTACAAAGCCAAGTTGTACATCATATTAAAGCTCTTTGAATGGCCTCCATTTCATAAAATAAAACCAAAATCGTAGCATGAAGTGCAGAGAAAATGCGTAACAAAATGACCTTTGACCTCGAATTACGAAAAACAATATGCTTCAAATTTTGTAATTTTTTTTCAAATGTTAGTTTATGATGTCAGCAACAATCTTAAAAAAAAATTGGGATGGGCGCTCTTAAAGTTTTTAGGTTATGATTTTTTGAGAAAGCCTGTCCATGAAAAAGTATGCATAATATTAAATGTACATGTATGTACATGTACATGTACATGTACATGTATACTTGTACTGTGTACATATGTACATGTGCACATTTTACTTGTGCATCATGTTTGCCCTTTACAACCATATAGTCTCAACTCAAAGGGCAGAACAAAATTACTTATAAAAAATATGTTATACCGGTCTATGTTACTTTCATTTTTTGCTCAACCAAAGTCTGTGTTGCAGTGTTCATCTCCTCGGCGGAGATCTTGTATACGCGTCCTGTTTCAGTGAACGGTTCCACTGCTGTTAGTACATCCTTGCCATGAATTACAAGTGTGTCTGGTCGATAGGGGAACTTGAAAGATGGAGATGGCCCATGGGGATGAAGGAAACTCAGTTCCACTTCTTGGGATGCTGGAAGGATCTCCTGAACACATGCTAGCCACCAGTAACAGTCATACATCACTGTAACATACCCCTTGATATCTGCAAAATCAATACATGCAGTTTGTCCATGGACTTGGAGACAAACTGGTTCCTCCCTTGAGTCTGAGGAGGAGGAAAAATCACGCACCTTAATTTTGTCTTTAGACATCAGACAAAAACAGTGCAGCTTTTGTGTTCCTGGAATGGTACGTGCAATTTGGAATCTTTGCCTGAGAATATCCGCTTCATTCTTGTATTGGTCTGTTGTTGCAAAAGCGAAGTCAATACTGACTGAGAAGTAGCAACTTCATACAGCTGCCAAGGGGTCATAATCTGCTGATCCAAAGGTCGCTGGAGACTAGCTCTTGCTGCAAGGCGTTTAACAGTTCCTCCAATTCCATCAGATGGGCCTTTCCCGTGGGAGATTGCAAAAAAAATGCCAATCTGCTGGTACACCAAAATCCTCTTCGTGATGGCACAAGTTGATGAAATTCTTGAGGTTCTTGTACTGAGCAGCACAACCATCTGAGAAGTACAATATCTTCTTGAAACTTCCAATCTTATTAGTGAGAAATTGAAGGAGCAATTTCTGGAACAGATGTACTGTTACAGTATCATGGGTATTACAGTCTGAGATGACGACAAAGCTTAGGTGCTCATCAAGTTTGCCTTCTTGTTGGAAGTAGCACACCTAGGGGTGAATTGTAGCCTGTAGATTGTTCCAGTGGAATGACTGGGCAGCATCCTGAACTACAAAACTGTAATTTTCTGCAAAATCTGCAATGACCAAGATTTCGCTTGGTTCCATGTTGTCTTTAGTGTGCTGGAGAAAGTGACTCTGCTGTTTGGCAATAAAGTCATGATGTACATGTAGTAACTTGCGGAGAGTAGCCATGAAGGAATCCAAAAAATCATCCACTGTATGAATTTTGGTTTCAAGTGTTAAACTGTTAAACGCCTTGCAGCAAGAGCTAGTCTCAAACGACCTTTGGATCAGCAGATTATGACCCCTTGGCAGCTGTATGAATTTGCTACTTCTCAGAGAAAGAGTACTGACTTCGCTTTTGCAATAACAGAGCAATATAAGAATGAAGCGGATATTCTCAGGCAAAGATTCCAAATTGCACGTACCATTCCAGGAACACAAAAGCTGCACTGTTTTTGTCCGATGTCTAAAGACAAAATTAAGGTGCATGATTTTTCCTCCTCCTCAGACTCAAGGGAGGAACCAGTTTGTCTCCAAGTCCATGGACAAACTGCATGTATTGATTTTGCAGATATCAAGGGGTATGTTACAGTGATGTATGACTGTTACTGGTGGCTAGCATGTGTTCAGGAGATCCTTCCAGCATCCCAAGAAGTGGAACTGAGTTTCCTTCATCCCCATGGGCCATCTCCATCTTTCAAGTTCCCCTATCGACCAGACACACTTGTAATTCATGGCAAGGATGTACTATAACAGCAGTGGAACCGTTCACTGAAACAGGACGCGTATACAAGATCTCCGCCGAGGAGATGAACACTGCAACACAGACTTTGGTTGAGCAAAAAATGAAAGTAACGTAGACCGGTATAACATATTTTTTATAAGTAATTTTGTTCTGCCCTTAATATATATGAGTTGAGACTATATGGTTGTAAAGGGCAAACATGATGCACAGGTAAAATGTACACATGTACATGTACACAGTACAAGTATACATGTACATGTACACTGTACATGTACATTTAATATTATGCATACTTTTTCATGGACAGGCTTTCTTCAAAAAATCATAACTTAAAAACTTTAAGAGCGCCCATCCCAATTTTTTTTTAAGATTGTTGCTGACATCATTAACTAACATTTGAAAAAAAATTACAAAATTTGAAGCATATAGTTTTTCGTAATTCGAGGTCAAAGGTCATTTTGTTACGCATTTTCTCTGCACTTCATGCTACGATGTTGGTTTTATTTTATGAAATGGAGGCCATTCAAAGAACTTTAATATGATGTACAACTTGGCTTTGTAGGCGCTATAGTTTTTGAGATACAAGTATTTAAAGTTCGGAGGTCATGCTAATTAGTCAAAAGTTCGTTGACCCGTATCTCAAAAACTAACGAGTCAATTTACAAAAAAAATCAGTTCTGGGGGTTTCTCATATAGGCCAATCATCACACCAAATATCGTTTCAATCTGTGAGGGTCGGGTCCAAAAGCGTGTTGATTTGACACGGAATGACCCATACCTAAGAGTGTACCCCGTTGGTCTTATATTCTCATTCAGGGGAACAGTTTTGTGTTTGGACGGGGGAATCAACTGTGACTGCCGCCCCCAATCTATCACGGTGCTTGTAGGTATTTCCTCATCGTGAGTTGCCCGTATGCCTGCAGCCTCATCTCATCCTCAGAGACTATCGGGCCATCCTCGTATGCTGACTCCCAGCCAATAGCAGGCTTGTTGCCATACCAACTGACCCGGTCAAAGGTCAGGAGCAAGTTGGCGCCGACCGTTTCCAACGTCAGGATCGGGAACTCCTCGTACGACAAGCGTCGGTAGAAGTCTCCCACCGGTGCCAGGCATATCAGGAATGCCTGCTCGTACCCGAGTTCCTCCGCCATGTACTGCTCGGTTAGCTGCATGAGTTTCTTGCCGAGCCCTGAGCCTTGAAAAGATCTCTTGACGCAGACCCCTTCTATGAACGCGCTCTTGGGTGTTTCCGGATGGGACACTTTCACCAACCGTACGTGTCCGATCACCTCATCGGGCGAACCTGCCCGATGTTCGATGAGAACTAGAGAGCACGGCAGACCAATGCATTCTTCGCTCTCAAGTCGATACAACCGCTCCGTTGCAGAGTGCGGCCAGATGCTTTTCAAGAGTTCTTCGCAAGAACGAAGTAGATCCCGGCGGGTATGCAAGCATTGCAGTGAACACGATGCTGTTGATGCCGCCATGTTGTTTTAACCTTCAATTGCAAAAATATACGTGGCGATCGGCGATCATCCAACTTTGCCACGCATATGTGCAGAAAATCAAAGCCCTGCATGCTCTGCGGTCACACACAACGGTGCATTGACCCGGCGACCTGCACAGCCCCACTGCGTTGACCGGACTATACATAAACAGCAGGTCGATCCTCAGAACAAAAGCGATGTCTGATTTGACAAGAAAAGTGCCCCTGGTTCTTCTCAACCAATCAAAACGGTTGTTACATGAATGGAAAGCTTATTGTGTTATCTTTCAGAAACCGCGCGAGGTAATTGTATGCGACCGAATTCACACGTGTGCTGTTCGAAGAAGTAAACCCGCACCCTCAAAAACCGGGGAAATGTGCCGTGACCTCCATAGGAAACGCGAAATTTTCACTGAGTTACCCGTTTTTCAATGAAAAAGTGCACATAATTATTCGCCTTTAACCATGAAGAAATTATATTCATTTGAAAGAGGAAAACCTATATTTTATGATGCGATGCGAGGAAGTAAGTTTAACCATCACACTTACCGCATACTAACGAAAGTTTGCTCAGAGCGCCTAGACATGAGCCAGTCTTCCCACGTAAACAGAGCTGCACTAGTGGCGAGTGAGCAAATGCTCCCTAGTTCTCCATATATCACTTTGAACTTCTCTTATCGAAGGGCAAGTCCAATATTCAGACCGGGTCAAGTGTAGTGACACACAGTAGGCCTATATCATAACTATACATAGAGGACTGCAGTGTCAACAAGTGTTTTTCATTGCTATTAATATAATTTCTTCTTCGCGGTTTTCTTTTCATACGCATAAAAACCCACTGCCATGAATAATCTTATATAAGCCTAATCAACGTTTTTAAACTCTACAATACTGATATCTTTGCAAAGTGGTAATCTAACCTAAAATAATAATATGCAGTAGTATTTTAACTTTTTGGTGCATAAAAAGCTGCAGTATGAACGTTAAACAGGGCCATAGATTTAACATAATCAGACAAACAAATGCACAAAGGCCTTTTACAACCATAAAGCCCGGTGCATACTCGGCGCGAAAGCGAAAGCGAATCTGTGACGTCATGGCAAGTATTCGCGCTGCGAATTCGCAAAAGTTGAACACATTTCAACTCGGGCGAATTTCCCAGCGAATGTTTCATGACGTCCAATTCGCTTCGCATTCGCATTCGCATGAAGTATGAACCGGGCTTAAAACAACCAATAAACATGATTTTCTTATACGACACGCTGGTGTTAACGATAGCCTATCTACAGGAACTGCATCTATATCAACGGTGGTGAATTACAATAAAACATACTTATAAACACACAATATTGGGATTTTTGTCGGATTTCTTTCTTTTACTCATTTGGAGATTGTCTCCTGGTTCGATTCATACTTCGCGACCCACTCAATATTGAGATGGGCTTGCATCACGGCAGTGTCGTAAGCCTGCTGCGCTCGACCAAAGTTACGTCCGTTCCCGAAATCTAGTAACTGTTGAAATGAAAAGATGAAATCGATTGATCTTATAGTGGATCTTAGTCTTACAAATAAAACAAAAACTGTGGAAAGAGTTGGGATTAAAATGTTGCTTCCGTTATGTTTGTGACCATCATTTTATTAGATTTGTCTGCCTATTAAAGAGGTTTTGTGGAGAGAAAAATTACCTCTTGAAGTTTATCGGTAGTGCTGAAAGATGCTGCGGTGGAAAGAAGAAGATTGGAGGCGGATTGGAAGGATTCACTGCGGAGACAAACACAGCGATAATCAATTGGCGATGGAGGTCTATACATTACTCGACGAAGATTTTACATGTTGCTTCAGTGGTGGTTTAAGTATAATCAAGGAAACGAGAGTGACTGTGTATGGAAATGCTGTTGAGAAATAATTATGGCGCGACAACAACCTGCTTTCTTGCTTTATTTCATCACAGATCAATAATTCATCACGTTGTGGTATTGAACAGGGGCGTAAATTATGGGGGAGATACGGAGGATATATCCCCCACCCATTTTATGGATGGAAAAAAAATGCCTATTTTGAGGTTATCTTGTAAATTTCCGACCGTACCAATTTAAGAAATAGGTTTGAGAGAGAAAAAATGGAGAACAGTACAAAAGTTTTAAATGCACTTTTTTATGTAATAAAGGACGACAGTGCGCAAGTTTGCATTTATTTGCACATTTGTATTCTGAACAGCGCCCCTAGAATCACATGTTTTCCGTCCCCCACCCCCCTCCCCCACTTGCCGACACGGAGTTACGAACTGGTATTCAAGGAGCCTACATATTTCATGATGCTGCTGAACAATATGCGGGAAAATGTCCCGTTCTCGGGATTTCCCTATTTCAAGCAAAGCTTTTACCTTTGATGATAGCGTGTTCTTTGCCGTGCTTACTGCATACGGTCTCCGTAAAGTTGATAGAGACACATTTTGTTTTCATTCTCACGATGTCATTCTGGCATCTCTGTCCATCTTAGGAACGTTATAACAAATCGTATAAGCAAAGCACCTTACTCGGTGCCTTGCAATTGGGCCCAGTTCGTACGACGCCAATTTGGATTTGGGATTCGCCTTTTTGGCAAAGTTTCTCCTCTAGCATATCCAGATAATCATGCCGTTTATTTCCTTTTATCCCTGACTGCTGTTGCCTATTTTCATGGAATATAAATGTATCGCCTACCTCAACAACCACTCCCAGTTCTTCTGGAGGTAGATCCAGGCCATGTCCGTACCAATAGGATTGTCTGCCAATGCGGAGATGATTTTAAATACATTCTGGTCACGCGATGAGCCATCCAGGGTATCGATATAGCTATAAAAACAACAACAACAACAACAACATAATTAAAAAAAACCTCCGTAAAGTATGTAGTAGGCCTATAAACTATGTTGAAAAGAGAACTATACATGTAGGCCTGCTAGAAATATTCAAGCCTAACTTGACAAAACGCCCAGATTATGATCTAAAGATAATTATGAGGTAAAGAACATAATTACTTTGTCTGGCCTCTGTTTCTCAAATCAATAAAACTTCTTGAGAGATTCTAGTTTTTAAAATTATTTTTCTTTTTAAATTGTATAAGCACCAAATAATTTAAATTAGATAATTTAAATTGTATTTAGCACCAAATCCACCAATGATGCGAACACTGTGTTAAAAATTCTGGTACACGATTTCAGACGAGCCTAATAGGGTTTCTCACCGCGTGAGGGCGGTCGGGCTGACGGAGCATGTAAGCGCAACTGCCCATCGTGTCTTCTCACGATCCACGCTAGTGTTTAGTAGCTGACCCCACGCGAAGTCCCACTCAACCTGGCCGCCATACCGAATGCCGTTACAATACACTAGATACCGAAACGCAGGCTTGGCACTGCAGGGGAAAAAATGAAAAAAATTAAAACAGCCCTTTGCAACCAAACAGCATATACTTGTGTAATACTCCATTCTAACTCGATTGATATTATTATGTGTTGACCTAAACATTTAAACCTAACTTTGTCATATCTTAAAGTTTAAGAGCCGTTTCATAACCCTTGTCTCGCTGTTTTACCCAGAGATATCCAGCGGTCAAGGTTTGACAACGACACCATGAAAATGCATGCAGACACACTGTATCGACAATAGGACTGTAATGCTGATTTCGCATGTGACTGTAATAGCTTTATTATCTATTGTTAATGACCAAAGGGTAACCAAATGTATGTTAATTAATGCGCCTGTCAAATTCCCCCCCCCCCCAGCCCCAGGGTGGGGATTTTCGATTTTGGTCACTCAAAAACATTAACATTGGCGTACTACATGGAAAGTCATTCACTTGTGCGCCCATATGTATGTCGGAGATTGTCACTTAAATTTTGCACGAGGGGTGGAAATTTTGTCACTTCAAAAGTGACAATCGACACGTCTTGGGTGGGGCAGCCCAGGGAAGGGGTAGGGGAAACAACTGAAAGACGCATAATTATATATTCAAATTAGATTTCGTCCAATCGGTGTCCGCCCGATAGTCCGAAGGTTCGATAGTCTGAAGGTTCTTTAGTCCGAAAGTTCGATAGTCCGAATGCACAAAATTCCCATAAGAGAGAGTTCGTAAGGCCGAAAATGAAATAATGTTCGTTAATCCGAACATTTGAGGCAATAGTCCGAAGGTTCATTAGTCCGAAGGTTGATTAGTCTGAAGGTTGATTAGTCCGAAGGTTCATTAGTCCGAAGGTTATTAATCCGAAGGTTTGGTAGTCCCCGTTTAGTATATTTGGTTCACTAGTCCGAAGGTTCATTATTCCGAATTGAAAATAAGGTCCGATAGTCCGAATCGACAATAAGGTACGATAGTCCGACTTGACAATAAGGTCCGATAGCCCATATCGACAATAAGATCCTATTGTCAATTCGGACTATCGAACCTTAATGCCCTTTAGGACTATCGAACCTCATCGTCCATTTCGACTATCGGACCTTATTGTCGAGTCGGACTATCGAAGCCCATCGTCTTGTTGGACTATAGAACCTTCGGACTATTTAACCTTCTTCTGTTTTCGGACTAATGGGCCCTTTGGACTGTCGAACCTTCGGACCATTGAACCTGCGGACTATTGAACCTTCGGGCTATCGAACCTTCGGACTAACGAACCTTCGGACTATGAAACCTTTGGACTATCGGGCTGTAATCGTCCAATCAAGTTTGTTTGTTTGTTTGTTGGGGTGTTTGTTTGTTTGTTTGTTTTATTTCCATTCATACTTCAAACATACAATGAATAAAGATTAATGATCGAAACAAAGTGTATCAAAATAGAAAAAGCAGAACAATACAGCATGAATGGTGCAGCTTTCATGGAGGCAAAGGCTTTGTAAACGTTCCAGAATGTCCCATAGGGTACAAGTGAATGTCTAACCTATACAAACCTGTTTATCAGTGGGTTGTCCATTAACTCCTTGAAGAGTGTAGTCGCTTGGTTGACGCAATCACTGTTGCCATGGAAACACGCCAATGAAGTAATGTCTAAGCGAGGCTTCTCACCTATCCGTCTGATACGATGGAATGGGGACATTGAAGATATCACGTCAACAAATTGAAATGTAAAATGGGCATTATGAGAACAATAGCTTATTATCACACTTATGGATTTGGAACAAAAGTAATACAAATATCTATGAAAGTATCACATTTGGTTGATAAAAATATTTTCATTTTTGTCAGGAGTTTGGGCTCATATCGTATACATTACCTTGATGTAGATGGGTCTGTGGTAGTAGCTTCTCGCCATCCGATCTCACTGTACAGACGATTGATGTTATCCAAAACGCGTCGCTATAAAACGGAAAACGGATATTTATACTCCATGTTGCGAACAGTACCATATTTTGATGTCCAGATAGCAGCGCAGCCCAGACGATGACTTTAACTGCGCTTTATATTTGTAACGTGTCTGTGACAGAACCAGCCGATGCCTTAGCTATCACGACATGCCCCAATAAGCGTCGGCTTTATCAAATCACTGCCTCCGTCTGATTGCGTGACTCCTTGTCCGCATGTTCGCTTTATATGTTTGCTTTTGGTAGAAATAAACGTTTCTTGAAAAAAAAATCTAACTGATCAAAGTACACACAGAATGATCCCTGTAAAACAAAGACATGTATTAAACATCGCATGGGGGCATTTTTCATGTTTAAATATCGGCTTCGTCCCGGCTGTGTCTTTATTTCTGGCATCAGAATAATTTGGAAGCTGAATGTCCATGTCAAACGGAAATACCATTAATGTTCTCGCCATCCCAAGTCAGGGGTCTAATACCTTCTGAAGTCGAAACTGGTGTCCAAACTTTAGGTTTGGAGAAAAACCGTTGCTACTTCCAAAGGAACTAAGGGGGGAAACATTTAGTACCTCGATGACCTTGCGTGACCTCTGACCTCTGAGTAGGCTCAGATCCAACATGTCATCTTCAAGAGCAGCCTTCCTTGTGCCTTGCGAGGACTTGCTCAAGGCTTCGATCAAAGAGTCAGATATGTTGTAGGGGACGATACCAGCTCTCGCAAGGAGCCTGACCTGGTGCATCATACCAATCTGATTCAGGTGTGAAAAGACCTGAAAATGACAAAAAGAAGTTTAAGCAAAGAGGTAACTAAAAAAATTGATTCGTTCTTTTGCACTGAAAGAAATGTAGTTCTCATCAAAGATATTTTTATGCACAAGTAGCATCTGTTCAAAGATGATTTTTTAAAGGCATCTGTAATACATTTTTTTCCGCTGAATAGGTCACCTTCAAGACGTTCGGAGCATGGACAAGACAAATTGATACCAATAAACCACGTAATTAAATTGGGGGAAAAGGTTGTCCTTACATTGGGGTCTTTCTGTGCCTGGTCGACAATTCGTTGCCAATTCTGGAGATCGTAGGTGACGAAGTAGTATCCGGTCTGCAAGAAGTTGGCTAGGTACCAATCGTCTTGAGATGCTCCCTCAAGATTCACGATCGCTTCGGACCAAGCAAAGAAAGCTAGGTTTAGCCTAGATCTTCTTGGTGTTATTTTTATCCAACACTATACAACACCTGAATAAATCCCCGTCATCTGATTGGTGGATTGTTGATCACATGTCATTGAATTATTCGTACCAACGCACGGCGCGCGCGTGGCGCGCAGCGCACAGTGCAATGGAAGTTTTATTGCACGGTTAATAGAACTTCCATTGCACGGTGTCACTGCTGCCGGCGATGGCGCTGTTTTAAATCGAGATAAATTGAATACGCTTGTTCTCAGCCTGTTAAACAGTTTGCAATATTAATATAAATATGATGAACTTGTCGAACTTTTAAACTGTTTTCAACCTGAATAAATTGGCTATTAAAAGTCAATCAATCAGATGACAAGGATTTATTCAGGTGTTATATAAAACAAGTAATGAATGTTTCACGTTCGTGCAATGGAAAGAATAATTTCATTCGGTGACAGATGAAATATTCCATTCCACTTGGCTTCATCTCGTGGAATGGAACATTTATCTGTCACCTCATGAAATTATTCTTAACACTGCACTCACAAACATTCATTGTTTGTATACTAAAAATTATTTAAAATTGCAACAGTGGCATAAAAAGTAATTCGAAGAGAAACTTGTCTTACTCAATGCCAGTACTCCCCGTGCCCTAAAACCCACTGAGTTTGAAGCCACTGGCGAGAAAGACATCACAACCTTTCCTGTTGATGAACTATAACCCACCACCTCCTACTTAATACTAGAATTCAATCTAACAAGTTGGAATACACAGCCATGTATACCTGACACCTACTTTCTGCGGTAGCTGGCTCCATGAAGACTGTCATTGAGTTGTTCGGATCCGACTTGTGGACGTATGTGAGGGGGATGTAATAACGCTCGCTGCCGAATTAAATTAGGAAAGAACTAAAATGTTGTAAGACAGTTAGGGTGCGATGGAACGAAAACTTGTTTTTTTTTCAACACTGCAAAAACTGTGTTTAGCAATTAAACACTTTTCTAAACACTTTCTTGCTATCAGTTTTTAAGCATGTTAAGTACTAAACATGTTTAGCGTAAGGACGGATAGTGTTTAGCTAGTGAACACTAATGTTTAGGAATTGGACACATAATGTTTAGCTTCTAAACATGTTTACAAAGTGATAGCAAGATAGTGTTTAATTGCTAAACACAGTTTTTAGAGTGTACCAAAATTAAAATCACAGTATCAATTTTAATTTGAGAGTGGGTGCTGGGATGGCCGGGAAAAAAATCCACTACACCACTGGTTTGGGGCTTACATCATACATGAAAGGTAAGTGTATCACATAGTGAAGTCGCGCCCCGCAATTTCGATTTAAAATAATGCAATGAGTCCTTAGTAATGAGCAATGAAGCAAATGTGTGCAAAACACTGGAAGATTATTTTTCAAAAGCAGTGCGAAATGTGGTTGAAGTCTACACCGGACGAACGAAACAGGAGCATGTTGTGTGAATTATTCGACTTATTGTAGGCCTTCGACAAAAATGCCAATAAGTGAGAGTTGTCCATTACCTAAAGGGATCTGGGTGATGCGGGAAACCAGTATACAATCTTTCCTGCGTTGCTACGATAGTGTCACCAGTTCTATTTAGGGTTACCAGCGGGGCGCCACGCTGCAGAGTCCACGTGTCCATGATCTTCTTCATGTCGTGTTTCCCGACGTCTTGGTCGGCCTTAATACAATATTGCAAATAGTATAAATAACTACAGACGGGGGAATGGACGATGTAGAGCTCTACAATGCTGGTGGATAGGGAAAACCATCAAGCCAACCATTCGAAATGTACGTTCTACTTAAGGCAATACACTAACGATAATTACAGTGTAATTTCTTATGAGGGTATGCTTTCATTTTGGAGGGCCTGAGACGACAAGCTCTAAAATGTCAGGATTGTTTGAACGAATTGATCGACTCAAATATGTTTTCCAATTTCAGACATTACTTTGAGAAACACAAAAATTTGATCTGAAAATACAAAAAAAATCTAGGAGGTGTATGTACTGTATGAAAAATGTGTTTGTGGTAAGGTTGTTCTGCTTAAAGTAAGGTTCTTCTGCTGGCCATAAAGTAACAACTGCACATCAAGACGAAAATTATGTGAGGAAATAAGCCAACACAAACAAACTTACGTAGGTCAGTTCCTCCCAAAGATCGTCGACATTAGCATTCTTATAGGCGCGCTCTTTCAAGTAGTTACGGATTCCCTTCTCGAACACTCCGTCGGACAAGAAATGTTTCATCATGAATGTGATGGAGCCACCCTGTCAATAAGAACATGACTATTAAGACACGAACCATGTCCTCAATCGAGCACCGTAGCTACCAGCACCTCTCTTAAAGACAATTACCGTCAGTCTGGGACGTTGACTTAAAGGTAGTATGCATATACAACATTTGCTTTCGCTGTAATTTTCAGAAATTGATGGATTTGGGGGTTAGTATTTTTATAGTAAATATTGTTATGTTGACCTGTTTAAAGTTTTGTGTTCGTCGATGCTGGAAAACCAAGACAAATTGCTGTTTTTGCAGTCTGGTTCCCTGACCCTACTTCAGACGAAACGGAGAATTGTCAGGTCAGGGAAAACAGACTAGCTGGCTAACATCCGTTCACGGGTGTGTAACCGATTGCAAACAAATGTGGACTGACTGAATATGATAAATTGGGGACAGTATTTGAAAAAGTCCATTTTTTTTTCAAACGATGGTCGGCCGACCATCTTTGAAAATGGATAGAATTTTTTTTTGTTTAACATGACAGCACACCAGGTTCCATGATTTCACAGGATGCTTAAGACAATTAATCTTACAGTCAAGTGACGTATTTCATAATAATTGGGTAGTTTTGTTTATGTTTGCAACTGTTGTATACGCAACCTTTATTTCGTTTTGATTCAATTAACAAACACAACTCAAAAAGTACAGATTTGCCGTGGATCAAACAAGAACATTACAAAGAAATTGTTTTCTAGTCTGCCCCAAAGAACGCCAGGAAAACGATAACATATTAGACATATTACATGAAGCATTTTGTTTAACTGATAAATGTCGGGTGAAAACCCCAAATTCACGAAACCATGGGCCACTCTCAGCTTCTTTACCTTGACATAGGTGAAGGTCACAATTTTGCCATCGATATCGTCAACGTTGCTTGAGACTGGATCCTTCAAGGCCGAGACCACCAGATATTTGATGTCCATTTCAAGGGCTCCCGACATTGTCATCTGATAAAAATTCTCATACTACCAAAAGAGGGAAAAACGATAAATACTTGGTCTACTTAGAACACCAAACTCTATAAAATAGAAAGAACAGGAAAAGAAGGGAGGAAAATGAAAAATGAATCTGATATTTCACCTATTCCTGTTAAAGTTGACCCTGTGACGTGGCACAACTTCATCTCCTATGCTCATACACTCTCAGTGCGAAATCATTGCCCACCCCACCCCCTAAAAACAAAGGCTATTGTAAAAAAAAAAAAATCATTTAATAAAGACAGGAGTGAGGACGACTGTTGTTCATCGTTTATTACTTATCCCATTTTCATCCACGATTCTGTGCAAAATTATATAAGAAAAAAGGGGAAGGAGCGCCCCCTATAGTCAAAATGACATGTCCAGGTTTTTGGGGGTCCAGGGATTGGGTTTTCTTTTATAGAAATGAAAATTTCCCCAGTCAGTGCTGGTTGTGGACTGAGTGCTAACGCTTTCATTTCCTAAAAAAAGTATGTAAACTACTTCTGAATGAAGAGAACTTGCAGCTTTATTCCTCAGTACGTTTGTGCTCGTAGTAAAGGTTATTATTTTTTCAGATTTCTTTGCGATAATTGTGTAAAACGTACCTCTTGCTGTCCCGAGTCCAGATAGTCCATCCCAATATGCTGGTGGTAGTTGGCGAATCCCTCGTTCAGCCATATGTCGTCCCACCATTCGGGAGTCACTAGGTTGCCAAACCACTAAGAGGGAGGAAGCACACAAACCAAACTCATCCAAATGGAATAAAACAGCCACTGCTATACCTCTCATCTTATATGTTTCTTTTTTGAATCACTCGTCTGGTACCATATCACATCAAATTTTGTACAAAATGTGTGGCCTTTAGATTCGTGTGCGTGGTACTGACCCGGTGACTCTGTATGTCTTATCACCCACCAAATCAAACCACACAGGTCAATGGACTAGACCATTTTATACAATGGGGGAGTGGAGAGTTGACCAACACAGGCAATGTGCACTAAAATATGCATGTCCAGTGGATATGCAAGCATTTCTTTTGGGTGGACATGCACTGACAATATGGAGGGAAATTCTTTAGCATTAGCGGAGGTTTGTGCTCTCTGGGTGCTTTTTTGTTGTTAGTATAACTTCTCTTTGATCCAGTTTATTTCTTTGCACTGACATGTATTTGTAAAACCGATGGACATCATTTTGCTGTGCGGGTTGAAGTAAATAAAATTGATAGGTTTACACCTAGCGACTAACCTAAATGTGGTTTGACGAATTTGAATGAATAGAGTTTTAAAAGTCCACTGCAGAATGATACCGTTTAAACAATGACGTTGCTTTAAATATTCGGGGGGGATATAATTGAGCATTTGACTTATCAAAAATGAGTGTTGATTTCCGGTATTTTGTTTCGTACCTGATGGGACACCTCGTGTGTAATTGTCAGATCATCAGCTTCGTCAATCAGCAGGTTTTCGTCATAAGTGACTAGACCCCAGTTCTCCATTGCTCCATACATCTTCTTAATTCCAATGTGGTCTGTTGAATCATTCAAAAGAAAGCAGTAATTACCTTGAGTGATGTTCGAGTTCAGTTTCGTGATAATTAAGCATTTTTGGTAGACCAAAAACGCTGAGTTGGGGTTTCAGAGAGTCATAAAATGTTACCTTAGACTTAGTATAACAGAGTTTCAATTATTGTAATGAAAGCGAGGGCTTCAGTGTCCTTTCTTATGGTGACGATTAGAAAAGAAAAGATGTCAAACAAAATGCAATGGTTTTGCACTGACAGCCTCGGTTTGGCTTCTTGTTTGAAATTTGTCTTTAACGCCGGCAGAATGCAGCAAGTTCGGGCAAAGACCATTAGTCGACTAGTGCTTGATCTACGCCTGCGAACTGATAGCAGCGTGCGAACGTCTGTAGTCAAACGCTGGTCAATATAATGCCATCGCAAAACTCCTGGCCTTCTGGCTCCCTGCTGTATCAACCATCGTCAACTAGACAGAGTTCGGGCTAACTTTAGTCGAACTATGGTTAACCATTGGTCAACAATAGTTCTTGCGCGAACTTGCCCACTTGTTATAGCTCTATAATAACAGTGCTTCACAAGTTTCTCCTAACGCTGGAGTTGCAGAGTTGTACTGTTTGTGTATAAGGCCATATTCGGTATCTGGTCAGACCAAAGTTCCGGAATTGACGCGGCGACGCGGCTTTTTTTTTTCTTTTTTTCTTTTTTCCTTTTTCTTTTTTTCTCTTCAAGCTTGAATTGTACAGACAAGGTGGGGTACTATTTTGCTTTTTTGGTGTCCTCATGTACATTGCTGTCCTCCATAATTTGTCTTGGTGCTCTCGATCATTTGCCTTGGTGCAATTTCCCATTCCTTGGTGCTCTTTGGTAAAAAAAAAATTGAGGAGGTGCGGCAATAGAGGGCGCTGTTGGAGCTACCGCGGAACATTTTGGGAAAAAAAAAAGATTGACGCGCCTGATTAAAATTGACGCGCGCGCTGACCAGAGATCGACTTATTTTCTTTTGGCCTAAACATAATTAAGACAAAATGAGCGGACAAGAAACATTCTCAGTACTGCTTGTACTTGTCTGGTTTTCATTTTGAGTGTAACTTACCAAGCTTCTCAAGTGGATACTTCATGTCGAGGAAGGAATTAAAGAATGTCTGGATCCTAATTGCGTAGTCCAAAGCTGTGGAAACGTTTAGAATGTACTCAGGCTGTATCCACACTCGAACCTGCAACAAGGGTATTATTTTGGCAAAATTGAAACAAAGAGGGGGTCTGTGTGGTTGTACTTTCAAGATATATGAACAAAGATATTTACAAGCAACTAAAGAAACTACACTGGTTGTGGTGTCATCTCGCCTTATCACAATACAATTGTCATAATGCCAAACGAATCTTCATCTTTATATACATGTATGAAAAAGGCCGGCAATAACGACGTCAATTTTATTCACATTCAGATACATAAACTAAGAAATTATTCCAGTTCATGTAATTGCAATCAGAAACAGAATCAATTTTATTTTTTAAGCCATCTCTCCAGTTTCGCTTTATCTTTTTTTTTTTTTTGGTAAATGGCTTTGATTCTAAAATTACATTAAAAGAAAAAAAAAGATCAATTTCTGGCCTTATTTAAATGCAACCAAAACGTTTTAGGTATGCCCAACCACAAAATTAAGATACGAAAGACAACAGGTGTAATGACTCCAATACATGAAGAACAAAAGAAGAAACCATAGGTTAATGAGTAGTCTTTCTCACCAGACAGCCGTCTTCTGTCGTACCGCTGACATTCTGAAAGTCGTGCACAACCATAGCCAGGAGATAGGTTGGCATGTCCCCGACACGCTTGAAATACGTCCTAGACCAGTGATTGTCCAGCTGTATTGTGCTAGTCTCCATTCCATTCGACAGGGCGATCATGTCGCTTCGATGTTCTATCTGGACGTCGAAAGACGCCTTGAAAGACGGCTCGTCGAAGCAGGGCAAGACGCGGCGGGCGTGTGGTCCCTCCATTTGAGTTGTGGCTGTGAGTCTAAAATAAACGAAGGTGGTAATTACTCCGGATTTATTTTAAAAACCATACATCAAGTTGAATAGGATTATTTTCAATATGAATAAAACAAACCTTAACAAAGGACTGTCAGGACTGTTCTTATCAGAACTAAAAACTACTTGTTTAATAAAAAGTTGATAAAAAGCAGGACAAGTTCTTAGAACTAAATATCTGCTGAGCAACAGTAGTTATTACCACATGGTGTTACCGCAAACCGAAACGAGACTGTCATGAAATTTTAATCTGCCGGGCTTTTCTAAAGATGATGGTCTTCAGAGCTTACCTAAATAGTGGTTCTGAATGAAGATGTATAGCCCCACACTACAATCCCCGCCACCCCCCCCCCCCCCGAAAAAAAGTTATGTGAGATTTTTAAATGAATGTTTAAATAAAGGTATAGCTATTTGTTTTGTTCTTATCAACCAATGGCGTATCCCAAACAATTTCGTCACTGGTGGGGGCCCGGGGAGGGGGAATCAGTATTTCATGGGGGGGGGGGGGGGGGGGCATCGAAGGCGGGCCCTGACAAACGTTTTCCAAAATTTTCATAGTGCTGCGGGTTAATAAATCCGTAGGTTTAAGGAATAGGAATCGAGTAAAATACTTGTCATCTATATACATTCCTCTTATGGTTTATTTAAAAAGGACACTTCCTTGAAGAGGGGCAAATTTCGTGGTCTTTTTCTTTCTTTTTTTTCTTGGGGGGCAACTAGGGGGTCTTTCTTCACCGATTACAATTAGGTAAAACCGGAGTTTTGTTTAGATAAAAATCAATTGTGTGAAGCTCACCTTTTCGCGCCTTCATTCGTGTAATATTCGCTGACATAAAACCCCGCAACATCTTGTTTGTCTAGCAGCCCAGTAAACTCAATGCTGATTTCATAATTCTTTCGCGGCTGGAGGCTTTCTTTCAACTTCAGAACCAGGAACATGTTGTCCTTGTCAAACGTGAAATGGTCCAGCAGTTGGCCGGAGTCTCCATAGTCCGAGCCCGTAACGTTCGGCGCACCGTGCACGGTGAGTGCGTACGAGTGGAGTACGATCTCGTCCGTCGGGACTACGCACTCGACTTTGATCCGCACCCATCCGTCGAAGGTGTACGAGCTGTTGAGCGGCCCATCGTTCTCGTAGAGGTACGGCCGGACGTTGAGGAGATACCTACGAGGTAGTACAGTGCGGGGTAGCCGGCCCACCATCAGGGGGTCTTCAGTTGGCAGTTCTGCCGTGGTTTGACCTGCGGTCGATCTAGCTGGTACGGTGGGAGTCGAGTCGGGCAGTGTTGTTTGCCGAGGATGGGACTCCGTGGTGTACACAGTCGTGGTGCGTTTGGGTTCTTCAATCGGCGCTTTGGTACCTATTATACCCGAGCGGTCCGGGATGTAGTACACCATGAGTGCCACAGCCGTGGTGACAACACAGAACCCAAGTATGACAAACGCCAGATGAGCCACACTGCACTCGACCACGTTCCGTTTGCGACTGCCGGTGGAACCGTCGTCTGAGGCATTTTCTTTCACTTCAAATTGCGAACGCGCCATTTAAATTCCGTTGGCAATTTCTAAAAACTGAACAATTTGGGAGGAACAGGAGTTATTTAAGGCAGTAAAAATAGTATTGGGGTGAGTCAATATGACCCTTGCATAATAAATTCTGAATTCGAGAAGCCGATTTTTCTCTGACTAATGTGTGATTTTTGCAACGGAAGAAATGAATGAACAGAAATCTTGCGGAACACTGTGAAACTGCGCCGATAAGTACTCCAAATTTTCAAAGCAGACAATACGTCATGGGTAAGAATTGTAAGAGCACCAAACGTTCCGTTCCCCTATGTGATTTCGTTGTTTTTTAGAAAACTGGTGTAACGATGGGCTTAAACACCAAAAAAATGCTTTAAAAACAAAAGGAACGGAGACCTTACCTAGTTTCCGACTTGTGCCTGGTACCGAGCTCTGCATGTTATAGTGCAAGAACCAGAAGCTGAAGGAACGGACTTTATAACCTTAGAGGGTGGTAAGTGCCAATTAAATTATTATTTGCACCAAAGTAAATATTATTCCTGAACGATAAGAATCTTTCCATAGTTCAATCAGCTATACGGTGCAGATTTGTTTGTACCATTCTGCTACGTGAACTTGAAGCTCCAAATATGAGCTTAATATAGACCTTGTGCATAGCAGGCATTCCAGAGGGTGTTCTTTGTTATGCTAATTTAGTAACAATGAATGCACAAAACCATTGCCCTCTGACTCCGCCTTAACGCGCAATGGATCCATGGCGTATTAATTCTTTCATGCCCCTCGGGTTTTCGAAATCATGGTTCTGACTCCGGCTCCGGCTCCATCTTTGGCTTTATGATCACTCTAAGGCAAACCAAAGGAAAAACACAGAGACGAAAAACTGCAAGGAAGGCAATCGTGTCTAAGCGACTGCTTGGTGGCGCCCTGTATATGATGCATTAAAAAAAACTTGAATGGGGTCACACAAACTGTCAGATTTGTTGCTAAGGTAAGGATATGACATTTATTCGTCAGGATGCCTAGAACAACCAAATATTTACGGCAGTCTTGTAACAGGTTTTCAAAAGGTCAAGTCGACTAAGCGTATACGATTTCTGTGATTGTGTATAATTAAAGTTGGCTCTCATCATTTTGTTGCCTTTTTCTTCGATTTTTCGCCTCAAAAACTGGTTGGATTTTGGATATATCTAGATTTTGCTTCGCGTAGAGAACTATTCCAATATCCCAAATGAATACCTATATAATAAGAATGTGCCATTCTAAGAAAAACAGACGCATTTTTAGTCAGCTTGGTTTTGGTTCTCGTTCTGGTTCTGGTTGAGTCGGTAAAATTCACTCAATAATATCACACCAACTTTGAACTTATGGTTTTTTGGTTTGTGAAAGGTGGAATATATTTAAGGTAAATGCTAAAGCTTTTACTGAATATAACAATCTGATGCATATTCGTCCCTGACCACGAGATTACGTGGGGGCTTTTTTGGACAAAAATGATCCATCTGATGGACTACAGTCAATGCGCACATAGTAACGTAGCCTCTGTAAGGCCCAAAAAAAAATAATAAGTCTCCGGTTTCTGGTATGGAGCTTGTCCAAAAAAGTGGTGCGGCGACGCGGCTTTTTTTTTTTTTTTTACCTGACTTTTTTGCTTCAAATGTCGGCTGATGACTGCAAATGGTGCCCGACTAAACTTAGTGCAAAAAGTCCAGAGAGGCCACATAAAGCTTACTCTCGATCATAACCCCATCTAAAAACACGTTAAAATTGTGCAGTAGCAGGATTCCAGTCAAACCAGTGAGTTTGGCGGTTTTGAGACATCATCTTTCATTGAAAAAAAAACTTTTTCATTTTGCCGACACGCATGGCTACGGCGACGCGCGCGCATACCAGAAACCGGAGCCTTTTTTTTTTGCCTAAACGTGTATTGTTTGGCGGGACGCCTACGCAAAATACGTGGGGTGCCATCGATTTTATTAAAGGCTCTGTGATTGTTACTTGATACAATTGTTTGGTGGGAGGCCTACGCAAAATACGTGGGGGGCAATCGACTTTATTAAAGGCTCTGTGATTGTTACTTGATAATGTAGTTAGCGACTGGAGCATGAATAATCCCGTCTACTTATGCTGTAACCGTACAACTATTCACTACGGCACGATGCGAGGGCATTCGACCATCATACAGCTAAAAAAAACATATGAATGACTATAATACTGAGAACCACAGTGAAAGGAAACCACTAGTAAGTTCAGTGTAGCTATAGTCAGTCAAGAGCAAACTGTGTCGAGCACATATATCTCCACAGTTTCATCGCTGGCAGTTCACCTAGCTTGTTCGTACTTCTTGCAAGAGGCAGGTATTATACATGTCATTGTTAGTAGGGGCATCTATTCCTACCCCATTGTAGGGACCACTATATATTAATGGTACGCGAACGGGATACGTATGCGACTAAGAAAAACTATCATTTTATCACCATTTTGTGTGGTTATTTCACAAAACCCACACAACTCCATCTTTACATTTTGCTGTAGAATGCAGATTGGCCTTTGTGTGCCTGAAACATCAGTACAAAAAGGTGGTTTCAGGCATTTTTTTGCCCGATCCGCATACGTATCCATTACGCGAAGTAGGGTCCCTGTATTGTCCAAATGCCTAACTCAAACCACCACGACATAGTGTAGCATGTCCCTTATAGCCCCATAAATGTGGCCAATTTACTGGACTACCTCCGTAAATAAAGGCCACACTTCCACCATGTACAAATAAATGTCGAACTTTGTCAAATTTTTATTTTCACATTTAGACTTAGTTTGTAGTTGAGTGGTCGGGTACAACCCGACCACTCTTTGGATTTGTTGCGATTAATCTTTATTTCTTTCTTTCTTTTTTTTCTGCATAGCACGTTTCCGCGGGTTTTCTCCTAAACGGTATATGATATGAACTTGTACCTTTGAACATATATTGACCCTCATTCTGGGTGGTGCATATTACACTGACGTCACTATGACGTCATCGGGTGGCAAATTACAAGCGATTTTCGTTGAAAAAATGACGATCTTCTTTCATCTATAACTCTTCAACAAAATGATCAAGTATGTTCCAACCTTGTAATCAGATAAACCATAAATTGATAAACATTTTTTGTTGTGTAGTTGAACTCGCTTGACCTTTACTTCCGGGTCTACCGGAAGGTCAAATTTAGGTGAATTCAAAATGAAGACATTAGCCTGAAATCGAAACAAAGCACAATTTCTTCCAAACGGTTTACGGTATGATCATAAAACCTACTGTGAACCTGCACCATGTTACGAAGATGTTATTACTGTTGTTACGTCATCAAAACGTCATCAGGTATCAAATTACAAGCGATTTGATTGCACGATTTGACAAAATACTTTGACCTATATCTCTTGAACTAAATAGGGTATCGTGTTCGTTTTTTCGTGAGGTTGTAGACAGTGCCTTGAGCAACATTTCTTATTCCCGGGCACAAAACTGCTTGACCTTTACTTCCGGTGTTACCGGAAGTGCAATAGAAACTGAATCTAACTCTAAAACGGAAGCATTTTCGTACAGACAAATACATTATTGAAGTGTTAAGTGAGGAATGCCAATCACAAAAACATTATTTTGACGTCATCCAAGAAAGGGCGCCCTCCAGCGGCACATGGAAAACAGTTTAATCTTTTAAAATGTTAAAACCCTTAATCAATTTTTTATGATATAATTGCCCCTATATATCCCGTGAGCAACCACAAATGAATTTGCAAGGTTTCATAATCATGACGTCATCAGACTGGAAGTTACTGTAGGGAGAATTCAACAATGACCATTTTATTTTTAAAGTCATCATTTGATCCTTGTCTCATGACTTTGTTTTTTGCCCCCCCAATGACATCTGTTACACTTAATATTGACCTTTTGCTTCCAAATACTGTGACGTCATCAAACTGGAAGTTAGCTGTTATTATTACATACACTTAATTTCCATATTTCCATGCGTTATTTTTACTTAATGATAAAAAAGTGTCCTCCCTTCCCTGTTTTGACTGATGACGCCATCAAACCGGAAATAACTTGTACTCAAACTGTTTAATGAAATTTATCATACCTTAAAAGACGCATTATTTTTGTGAAAAATAATTGGAACTGGAAATGTTGAAGTTCTTGGTCCGTTTTTTCTGACATAAACATATTCATAACTTAATTGGACAATGTCTAATGAAATGGTTGTCTACCCGACCACTCTGCGTTTGTAACAACAAACGCGAACCTCTAGTTGAGTTTTGCTTTAGAAGCATACTCACCCTCTTTAAAGGCTAATCAGAAAGTGCTGCCTTTTACAGATGTCAAATTTTCTTGAAATTTCATTTCTGGAAATTTCACGAAAAATAGACATCTGAAAAAGGCAGCACTTTCTGATTAGCCTATAAAGAGGGTGAGTATGGCTTCTAAAGCAAAAATCAACTACAAATTAAGCCTAAATGTGAAAATCAAAATTTGACAAAGTTCGACATGTTTTTGTACATGATGGAAGTGTGGCCTTTATTTACGGAGGTAGTCCAGTAAATTGGCCACATTTATGGGGCTAGCATGTCCCATGCCTTGGAGCCATTTTCATGTATATGGTTGAAGTAAGTACAATTTGCTCTTTTCACGCTCCGCCCTAGGGCATGCACAGCCTCGACCTGGCAACTTCACTCAAAAAAATAGCCGGTTCAGTGATCTGAACCCCGACGCGGGAATCACTGAACCGGCTATATTCATTGTGTAAAGTTGCCAGATCGAGGCACTGCATGCCCATGGCGGAAGTGTGAAAAGAGAGCGAATCGTGTATACAGGTGGGTGCGATCCGGGATTTTTTTTACATTGGCTTTATCTAGCTCCCATACCTATGTTCTTGAAACTCAATGGTTCTTGAGTCTGGAGTGCTGAATGGTAACACATAGCAACCGAAAAAAAACTGGTGTGGAAATGAATAAATGTTTTCATCACCTGAATTCACTCCGCCCGATCTATCGTGCAGTTATATTCGTAGTACCAGCGAATTCCGAAGTGTTTGGCAGGGTTGGTTTTTTTTGTGTGTGTACCACTTTCATATTGGTTCTGTAATCATAATTCGAGTCTAAAAAATTAGCGTATAGGCCCATGTGCCGAACCGTGATATTTCCTAAAGTAATCATGCATAAACCTTATCACATTGCTGGTTCTTTTAAAAAAAAAACATGTTTTGAAAATAGTCGAGCTGGACAACACAGTTTCGGACATTTTACGGTTGTCATGCTTGGACAATTTTCAGGAAAAATGGCTGATTGAATGAAACTGCATTTGTTTTCAGTTTTGATTTTGGCGAAGATCAAGTGAAAAAAAAAGTAGTCCAGAAAAAGAACTTTCAGGAAATTTAGCAAAGTGATGTATCGCTGTGTGACTCTGCATATGGACGTAGCTAGTATTTTAGACATACATTTTGTGGGTCAACTTGAAAGGGAACGTGGAAGTTCGTGTCCGAGAAGATTTTTGAAATTATTTATTAGGACCTAAATGTACATAGGCCTACACATGAACAATTCTTGCATGGAGCTCCCTCACGTGGACAGTTTTTGTTGATAGCAACAATGAAAGTACAAAGTGTCTACTGCACTCTAAAATGTCTCGGGTGGCAGAGTCGAACCGTAATCCGGGTCAGGTTTGAACTGACACTCTCTTGGGTCAAAATGAGCTAGGCCCCTATAGCAGTGTGCTACCTTACGTCGTCAATAACTTCCGATTCGAGCTTGCTTATATCCCCCAAATGGCGTCCGTCACACCGCCCTCGTTCGATCAAGAATAAGGCCCTTTCATCATTTTGACCCAGAAATGTGTCAGGTCACACAATAGCTCTTGCGGCGCCACGGAGGAACAAAGACCTAGCCTCGACCCTCAGATAGGATATCTGATACAAAAAGACTGTTGACTAGACCTCCACTACTTTTTACCAGAATGAATGGGGGATCATTCGTATGCGTATTATATACCTTTTATAAGAAACTGTTAAACCGATGACTAGTAGCAACCGTACGTTGTACACGGAGGTTTGTTTGTATCACGAAGTGTTTCTGAACTAAGAAGTAATATAAGTTTTGTGTGATTTATTAACCATGTGCCCCTTGACATGGACCAAGTGCCCTTTGACGTCATGCCGACCAGGCATCGTTTCCGTGTTTGGTCCACATTAAACTGTATTATGTACACACTTTTTAAACCATTCATACTTAAAGAGACATGCAGTGCAGAAGAGAACAATTTGCTGTAAGTTGGCATCACGTGACCACAACATTCACTGTTGTAAACAAATTTCACATGGTCTATATATGTCACTGACCGGTACTGGAAAGTCAACGACGCCATTGTAGTAGGCGAAGATCGTATAGCGCCGCGCGCAGTATAGGTAGCGGGCAAGCCTTCAAAGTCGCCGATGGATGGCAACAACTGAGAAAACGTGGAGCCAAAACCAACTGTGCATTTATTTTACGTGAAAATAAGCTTCTAGTTTACAACGGCACGATGTTGCTAACCAAACGCTTGCTACTGCAATCGTGGCCGATCGCGGGGAAACCGGATGGTCACGCAGCATTTGACGTCATACTATCGGATCACATTATTGCAACTTGCCATTTTCCGTTCCACTATAGTCAGTTGGTATTTTGGTCTACTGTATATAGCAAAGATTCATAGCTCTACTAAAGTAGTTTACCATGGGTCTTCCTCGTAAACGGGGGGGGGGGGGGGGAATTTGTCATTTCAGGCGTGAAGAGAAATTTGGAGTAATCCTTTCAAAGGAATCTCCCTTTTGAAATATATTTTCCTCACCATCATCAGGCTGTGGTCATCCATTGTTGGATGTAGCCCCCCCCCCCCCCCTCGAGCAGGTTCCATCCACTTGTGTCACTTGTCATTCTACTCCATGTTGCCGTGTTCATGTATGTGGTGATTTCATCTCTCCATCTCCAGTTTTGTCTACCCCTTCTTCTGCCTGTCCTTGTTTGCCATTCTATGAGTCTCTTGGCCCATTGTTTTCTTGCCAAGTGCCCTGCCCATCTCCATTTCATTTCCTTGCTCTTCTCTGTGATAATCTTTGACCTTTGTGTTTTTGTGTTGTGAAGGTATGTCTGATTTTGTCCAGTAGGCCTAATGATAGAGCATTCTCCTTCCCATTTCTCTCTAATATATTTTAGATCGTTATAAATATTAACGAAACAAGTGCGAGTGCAGAATAAGCTCTGGTCGTTGTTGCAAGAAGTCTTGCATAAAAGTCTTGCATGAAATCAATCAAAATGATCCCTGCCAGAGCTTAGAAACTTCAAAGGGACCTCTTTGAATTTGCAACCCTGGGATGGCAGAAGTACGGAGTTCTCAACATGACACCTCTTTTATTCGTTCAGTACCCTTTTATTATGGGAGTTTAGCAACTTAAGTGAATATATGTTAAGGGTTTTCCCTATTCTTGATGACTTGTTTTTGTAATTGGCTTTTATTGGTTGACCATAGGTGTTGAATGCCACCAAATTCAGGGATCATGGCATCTGTGTGCGCTATCGTCATCGCCTGCTCCCTCCTGGTTGTAACGGCGCCCTCATCGTCTCAAGCGTTTGAGTTTCCTGGCTCTTCGTACGATGGCTCGCTTGTTATTGGCGCCTTCAACATACAGGTGTTTGGGCTTTCAAAAGTCGGCAAACCGGATGTGGTTGAAACACTTGTCAAAGTAAGTAGATGTACATAAATGATCCATGGTGCATGTCGGCGAGTGCGCGAAAAATGCTCGTCGCTTAAGACGAGGTGTCGGATAATACGAGGTAATGTCATAAGTCCCAAGGACCTCGTAGTAACGAGAGTCGACTGAACACACTCACGCATTTACTGCATAGACCGAGTTGTTATATGAACATCTCGTTCAATCTAATACCACACAGTGTAAAATTATAGCCCACAGTTCAACATACTGTTGCCCTTCCAAAAATCCCGATTCTTTTCCGGACTCGGCGCATGTAATGTTTTGAAGGTGACTTATTTCGTTAGAGGACAACAAAAATATATAATAACCTTAAAGTCGGCGATCACCAAAAAACTACATCATTTGTTACTCATGTTATTACCATCATATTTACACATGTACTCACCGTTATACTGTGTTGTTTACGTTTTGGGAATTAATTTTCCGAAGATTTTGCGGCGATATGATCTGGTTTTGATTCAAGAAATCCGAGATAGTTCCCAGACCGCCGTTCCAACGCTTCTGAAGCTTGTGAACGCGTAAGTATAATATGTAGGAATACGTTTTTTTCAAAAGACGGAAGGATTTTCGAAACATCACGACATAATGAATGACATCTTTCTGACTCGCAACAAATTCTGCTGCTTGTTTCATTGGGCAGGATATTTTACTGCAACAATTCTGAAGTCAAATCAGAAAAAAATGTCTTATAATAAATAAGACAAATGAAGAGAAATAGTTCATCTTACTGCAAAGAGCAGCCTCGTTGCCTGCAGCATGAATTGTCAGTGAAGGGCAAAACCTAATTTGATTTATATCACCCCGACGCAAAATTCCATCTTATAATAAAGAAAGACTTTATTTGAAATTTCGTCTGTATGCAGAAATCTGGAAGATAAATATGACGTCATCGTGAGCGAACGCCTTGGGAGGACATCCAGCAAGGAGCAGTATGCGTTCCTTTACAAGTAAGAAGATTACATTTTTTAAACCAAGAAAATTTAATCGATGTTGTCGGCGGCGATATCTCAACAAAATGACGGGGAGTTGGTTGGAGGTGGACCCAATCTAACTATAGGTGGCGCTGCTCATTTTACAACTCTCTGTAGAAATTCTAAAGCAAGTTCGATCGGGAAGTATAGTTTATAACCATAGTTCGACTCACTGATCGAATGCTGGATGGTCAACGACAGTTGGACTGGTACATGTATAAGCGATTATTTGTTGAGACCAGCCTTATGATGTTGGTTATGTCGCTGGTGACAATGGCTGCGCACATCAGTACACAGCTGTAGGGGGAGCCACGACCACGAAGTTTCGTGATGACGTTTTGAACATCGTTTGACCATCGTTATTAATAGTGCGCAGGCGTAAGTTACGTCACAAGTCACGCAGAAATCGACCAGTGGTCCTTGATCGAACTTGCTCCAAGATGGCGTCGTTCACGGTAGAAACTCTAAATTTTCATTGTAACAATCTTGTCAACAAAAGTAAACACAATTCCGGAGGGCCTACGTTCCCGTGTACATGTATTGCAAAATAAGTTTCAAAAGTAAAAGCCCTCTGTCCGTCCTATCATCCTTCATTCTGCACTGACCATTGTTGCAATATTTTATTCCCGTTTTAATTCCACTCAGGCCGAGTCGGTTAACCGTGCTGTGGAGTTACGTTTACGAGGACGACACTCACGACCGATTTGAGCGGGAGCCCTTCGTTGTTTACTTCGAGTCGCCTACCACAGGTTAGGACATTGTGACATCATATAGTTTGGTTGTACTTGGTAATGTTGGGAAACCGTTCAATAAAAACCCTTAAGGGTACAAGGGCGGATCCGGGGGGGGGGGGGCAACGGGGCTATGCCCCCCCCCCAAAAAAAACCCAAACTCATGTTTATTTTAAGTGACGTCGTCATCAATGCAGGCACTGCGTACACCACCATCTTTTCCTCACAAAAAATGGTTAAAGTGGTCAGAAATTGCTGCAAAACGCACCACAGAGCATCTAGAATCCAAACAACTTTCGGGGCCCTTGAACGGGCCCCGAACCCCACGCGGTAAGGTTTTTTTCGGGAAACCAACTTGTTTTGGCCCCCGAAAGATTGTGTTCTGGATCCGCCCTTGAAAGGGTAAATTCCTTATCTAAACACAACTTCTGGACAACTGACCATTATGCTCTTGTTTCATGGGACTCATTCTTTAGCTCATGGGTTTCCAGTACAGAAATAAACCTGAAGTCACATTTTTTTTGGGGGGGGACCATACATTTCATCCTTTAATGTGCAAATTTTATAACAATTTTTTTAGAACAATTTTTATCTGTAGGTGGGTTCAATTGTTTTTCAAATGTAACTTGTAACACAAGTTTATCAAATTCGTGGACAAATTTAATGAAGAATCTGCACTGCTATCAAAACAAATTGTATGTTGCGCTTGTTGTTGGGAAATGTCTCCTCATTGAAGAAGTAAGGTATGCGGTTATGGGGGTTAGACTAATGGGGGTGTACCGGTTATCACTAGCAATGCATCAGAAAACGAAAAACATGTACAAACATCTTCACTGCAAGTGAACCATTTCTAGAATCAAAAATGTATTTTTTTTTTTACAGCTGTGGATCGTTTTGCAATGATCGGCATTCATATCAAGCCGAGCGAGGCAGTGGAAGAAATCAACCACCTTGTCCACGTGTATGAAGACTTCGTAGCAAGATCCGGCAACAAGGTACACGTACATGTTTTAATATTAAAAAAGTAATCCACCATTTCGGACAAAAAGGCCTATATTGTCGTTCCAAAGAATTCCGACCTATCTTTAAAAAAATAAATTGGAAGTGAAGAAGAACATTGGAGATTGATACTTTAGGTATCCTCTATAACGACGAGAACAAGCAAAAACTTGACGTAGAATAAACATCTTAACAAGGGGTTAACCTGACGATGATGCTGTTCCGAAATAGTGTGCTCCGCCTTTCCTGGAACGAAATTAAAGTATCTTTCCAATGGAGCGGAATGATACGAGTAAAGTACCGAGAAAACAACTATTTAACCTACTTGATTTTATTTTGTGTAATCGTGAATATTTTATCTTTAAACGGCGTAGAATGCCATCATTGCTGGAGATTTCAACGCAGACTGTGGATATGTCTCCAAGACATCTCTGTACAAATCCGCCTTGCGAACGGATCAGAGGTTCAGCTGGATTATCTCAGATGATCAGGATACCACCGTGGCTAAATCTGACTGCGCTTATGATCGGTATTAAAAATCCACTTTTGTATTTTCAATCCCTTCACTCAATTAGCAAATGAACTCGAGTCCGAGTTTCTCTCCGAGTTCTAACGACAAAACCTAGATAGGTTTTCGTAGTTTCATTATTTTTAATCATGGCTTGAGATTTAAGAAAATGTATCATTTCCTCAAATCTGTCGACGAAATTTGCATAATTGGAAACATTGTCGAAACCACCATGTGGAATCGAAAGTGAGGTTGCCAAGTTATTACGTATGATAACATTAGAATTGCTAATCGTGCATCTAAAGCCACGGTTTCAAAGTCCAACGGTACCGTCATAACCTTTCAGAGGAAAAGCCGATTTTCAAGCTTAAAAATGACATTTCTGTAGTTAGTCAAAAACTGTTAACCCAAAACAAATCGCCTGAAGGATTGTTTTGTTTATTTAAACTCGTCCCCTGGCATGTTTTGTAATATTTTAGTTTTATTTGTGAAGGTTTGTGATCGCTGGGGATGAATTGTCTGACAACATTCATCCGGACAGAACCGGAACGTTTTACTTCGACAAGCATTATGGCCTGGACATAGAAACGGTGAGTAAACTCGGAGACGTTATTGTTCTTCCTCTGACAACTTCAATTAGTTTCTGAGCAGAACAAGCATTTTGTAAAATTGTGCAGTTGGAAGTTTGAATGTTTACCTTTCTCGTACTCGGAGAGCATGGAAGCACTCGAGCCATTTTGGGTTATCTATTTGCTAAGTTAACACAAATAATAAGCACAGAACAAGTCGCAAGCAAAGCAAACTTAACACTAAATGTTGACCGGTAACCCGAGTTGGCCTAGAAGTTATTTCCTGTGCTTAATGGCAGCTTCCTGGAAACTAAGGGTTTTACAACTGATAATGTAGTAACCAACGGATAATGTATCACCAACCGATAATGTCACACAAATTGACCGATACTGTATCACTAACCGATAATGTAACAGAAATTGACCGAAAGTGTAGTAAAAATGTACTACACTATCAGTCAATTGTTGTTACATTATCGGTGTTAATCGATAATGCAACAAATATTGACCGATAGTGTAGTAACATTTACTACACTATCAGTCAATTTCTGTTACATTATCGGTTAGTGATGCAATATCGGTCAATTTGTGTGACATTATGGGTTGGTGATACATTATCAGTTGGTCACTACATTATCAGTTGTAACAAAGGGGATTACGATTCCATAAAAAAAAATGCACATAATAATGTTCACCGTGGAATTATACGGATAAAAAAGTTATTACGTTATAAAATAACAGTTTTTTCATTGAAGCTAAATTGACTGAATAAAATATCATTATTCCACAGACGGAAGATGTCAGTGATCACTACCCGATCGAAATGGTCATCCAAGGAAATCTTCAGTAAGTTCATGGTGTTGGTATTAATAAAACAATTATTGGATTATGAATACAAAATCGCCAGTCTTTTCTGCAATCAATAAAACCCTCCCTTGTGTCAGGGCGCCATCTAGTGACAATCGTGTTGACGTTTTCTGGCAAAATTAAAAACGTGAGGCGTCGTAGCCTTTGCGCAGGCGCAGTGTTCTGTATACTGCAGCATCGTCACATAGACCCTTTGCATTGAGATGCCATGCTTGAGATGCTTTTGTTAATATCTTATTTCAGTAACAAGGAATGCACAAGAGTTCTACCAATGCATATCCCTGTGCATCAAAAGCACACGCCTCAACGATGGCTGCGATGCAAAAGCTCTATAGATCATGTTGCGGCAATTTTTGACTTTTTTCAAATCAACGTAACCGAAGCGAGGCTGGAATGGAAAATAGTCTGGTTCCTTTTTGCACAAAAACATTATCATTCAGTACTGTTATTGGATACAGGGAGCATGACTGAAATGGTTGCAGCATGATAAAATGTCTATTGTAAACGCGTGCTGGTATAAAGCTACTGGTACAGCAATCAATTAGTTTGTCTCATTAACAGTGATTTTTTTTTCAAAATTAATAAAAATCTTATACGATCCTTTAAAACAAAATTCTCCATTTAAAGTTTGTGTATTTTTGTTAACCAAACCCACACATATTTTAAAAGCTCGCTCTTTTTTTTTATTCATGTACATTTCGATGGTTATTATTTTACAGCCTTGTGGTTTTTGAAAATTATCACATTTTTGAAAATTAGCACAATTGACTATCCCTCCATTCCCTCCGTTTCTTGTCGGATTGAGAACCGAAAGATTAACTGATGTTTTTTTTTTTTTTAAATTAACAAATCTCAATCTTTGTAATACTCATGCAGGCCGATTCAGCCGATGTCAACTACAACTCCCGATAGCATCAGTTGCTCTGGTAGCTTCCGTACCGTGGTGTGGATGTGTCAGCTCGTCGTGGGTCAAGAAGACGATATGCCCGTGTGCATCCACAAAGTCGTCCAGTCATTAGTCGGTTACATCGACAGGTGCACGGACGACTGGATCAGGCTCTTCATGAATTACCCAAAGATTTAATTCTCATGAGTCTTTGCTCGGACCCCGCGCCCGATGCAAGGGCATAGCTGGTCCGAATGGAACGTCAATGCCGTCTTCAATGATTCATTATATCACTTTCTTCGCCAGGGTGACTTATTATTCTATTCGGCAAAATCATCATTCCATTCAGCGAATACATCATTTTATTCGGCATAGCCTTCATTCCATCCCTACAAAGTAACGGAACGAAGAACTTGCCAAATAAATTAATTGATTAATGAGCCAAATTGTGATTTTGCCCAAATGGAACTTGGCAAATGGAATGATGAATTTGCCGAACGGAATGATAAATCTGCCGAACAAAATGATAAATTTGCCGAACGAAATGATAAATCTGGCGAACGAAATTTCCAATCTTCTGAACGGAATGATGAATTTGCCGAATGCAATGAGAAATTTTTCGAACGGCAGCTTTGGCGTTCCGTGGGTATGTTCCCAGTTATTTTCATTTTAGAACAAAACAATGTAGTATGTAGGCCATAATATACTGTTAGAAATACTAAGCTTAGCGAACGAATACTATAGTAAAATCGCCGAGTAAAAAAAAAATGCTGGGCACTATACACCTGTTAATGGTACCTTATTGAGACATTTTGTTACCATAAATTATACCTTAGGGAGACACCGGACATTAGGCAACATTTCAATGTCTCCCTCATGTCACAGCTCCTAGTTAGTATTAAGAGGCAACACTTTGTCGCAAATAGGCTAGATCGATTGCTCGTGGTCCTTAAACCGAAATTCACGAAGGAAGGAGAAGGTAAAATTGGGGTTGGGTGACATTAAAGTCGGAAAACGAATTTTGCACAAGTCTATGGGAATGTCTCCCAAGTGACCCATTATCGGTAATTACTAACAATTTCAGTGTTATGACTATTTTATTAAAACTTAATTTGTTCTGTTTTATTTAAACTTAGGCTAATTGTTTATGCACAGGGGCCTGGCCATGTACAAGCTTCGGCTCTCTGCCAGCCTCCACCGTTCATTATCTGATTGCTGTATATATGCCGTTAATTTGAATTATTATAATTGTGAATTTTGGAAATAATCAAATCAAGTCACATCAAAGCAACTGGACTGATTGACAATGCCTGAAGCGCCCGAAGCAGTTGTTCGGCATTTTGGGTTTCGAGTTATGTGCGGTGAAAATAAGAATTGTATTTGTCTGACCGGCATTTGAGAAATTAACAGTCCTGTGCCTAGGATTGGTCAACATTTAAACAAACATGTATTATTGTGGGAGTCCCGATATGATAGGCCGTTGTGTATGGTGTGTTTGTCTTGAGGGATTTCCCCCTATGACACCACTATTGCCCGCGGAGGGACTTTCCCTCAATGAGGAATAATTTTTCGTAGAGTGGACGATGAGAAATTCGGACACATGCATGAGAATACGCCAATGTCCGGGACTCGGGAGTGACAACCATGCATCATGAAATGGGACGGAATAGTAGAATTTTTGGAGATCAAAGTTCCAGGAAGTGAGTGAGCAAGGATTATATAGATCCATATCAGACAATCTTACAGCTTCCTTTGATCATTGTATTAGTGTAAACTTTGCAGACACGTGATGTACAAAATAAAGCTTTCTGCGTACATGTACTTGTGTGTAACCATGTGTAGTTGTTTTTCACAATGCAGAAGGTACAGTCACCACTCCATGTACATGAGACATCAATGAGCATTTAGGTTTAACTGACCCTGGGGTAAGGTTTTCGTTTATATTTTTTTATTATTTCTGAAGACGATTATTGAACTAAAAGTGTGTCTAGAACCCAGATATGATTATCAAGCTTTGTGTATATTTATGTAGTAAAAAGGTACTACTTATTTTTCGTTTCAGGGTTTGTCTTTGGTTTTCTATATGACCTACCAACATAATAAACAATGAGAAGTGACTGATTGATGTCGGACTCCAGCTTCATCCCTGTTTAAGTATGTGGACGGACCCCAACCCTAGAATAAGAGTAGGGTAGACCACCACATAATATTAAGCGTATAGCAGCCAGTCCAGTTAATTTAGGGCTCTCTCACGACCGGGCCTTCAATCCGGCTAGTATCAGAAAGTCAGCATCGCTATATTAGGCCATATCCGACATTCGACAATTTGGCAGGAATGCTGGTGGGATAGTAATTTACGATATCCCATCATTAGATTGCATTTAGATAAAAAAGACTGCTTTTTTAATCGTTTGCACATTTTTGATAAAAAAACGTATTTTTGGAATATTTTCTCAATTTTTCATTCAAATGCCTTCAAATAATTATGCTACATCATTTTTAGGTCAGTGAGTACGTGACTGCTTTCAAGTCGGCATATTTCCATGCAATAGTTTCAGAAAGACAGAAAATATTAGAGAAAAACAACGAAATACTCCGTCAACGTGGTCGATCTTGCTGCTTTTCGATGGCGTCGGCGCGTCGGCACGTCGGCGGCCAAGCTTAGTGAGGAAAGTGGTTGTCATTAATTTTACAGTTGCGTGATGGAACATGTAGAACGATTGGGAGTGGTTATTTTGTATGCAGGGTGAATGTTATCTGCAGCCACCTTGACTTTTCAGCAACCTTGATAAGGCCACAAAAAAAAATATTCGGTCTCTGGTCAGACCAAAGTTCCGGAATTGACGCGGCCACGCGGTTTTTTTTTTTTTTTTGCTATTTTTTTTCTTCAAGCTTGGATTGTACAGACAAGGTGGGGTACTATTTTGCTTTTTCGGTGTCCTCATGTACATTGATGTCCTCCATAATTTTTCTTGGTGCTCTCGATCATTTGCCTTGGTGCATATTTCCCATTCCTTGGTGCTCTTTGGTTAAAAAAATTGAGGAGGTGCGGAAATAGAGGGCGCTGTTGGAGCTACCGCGGAACATTTTGGAAAAAAAAAGATCGACGCGCATGATTAAAATCGACGCACGCGCTGACCAGAGACTGACTTATATTTTTTTTTTGGCCTAAAAGTAAAAATATTTTCAGGGAATTTTGGAAATTTCTCAGGAAAATACCACTCGGAGAGGATTCAGGCAATTTTGTTTCTTAGTGTTACGAACGCCGTAAAAAGTCAACTTATTACGTGCTAAGTATACCCACATTTTACTCAACTCAAAGCAACATATTTATTGGATCGTACATGTACATGTTGTTTTTTTAATTCATGATGAAAGGAAAAGCACCACGTTAAAAGATGAAGATGTTTTTTGGATCATAGAGCTGTATTATACAGCTGTATGATTTTGAAGCATCCAGATTGCTAGGCGTTTTCTTCACAATATTGTGCAAGAGATAAGTCATCACCAGCGCCCCGTACGACGAGCGAAACATGGGGCTCAAAGACTTCCAGTCGGGAATGTATACAACATTCAAACATGAATGACTATACGTCATGGATTTCGATTTCAGTTTTCGAAAGTATCGAATTTTAATCTCTTATTATTCTACAAGTTTAACACTAAGTTGAAAACAAATCGTCACCGACACCACAAAGTAGCACTCGACGTGTAAAACCATATTTTTTTTCGGTTTTCAAGTTTTGTTTTACATTTTTAAACATTATTCATCAAGGTCTACCATTGCCTGAGGTTTCAAAGCTTCAACAGCTAAACAGATCAACTGCCATGTCAATTGTAGCAACGTATCTCAGATCTGGCAGACGGAAAAACACGCCGATAATTATTGAATGATCACTTAAACCAAATGACAAAACTTCAATTTAGGATGTGATAAACATGAAAATGTCAGGTCTTATAACGAATTCGAACGCCTGAAATCTAATACGAACCACGGGAATGTCAGAAGGGCGCTACTTCGCTTCAAATTGGCCACTATCAAGATTATTTCGAATGCTATTTTTGCTAAATTGGCCGGGAATACCTATATTACAGTCCAAAGTAACATTCAACTACCTAAAAACCACACATTGGGCGACCACCCCGGGCTCCTTATGACTTCGGGCTCGAGAAAAGTGATATTTTGTCATAGATGTCGACCACCTTGAAATTTGGTGTTTTACATGAATTTTAAAAACAAACTCCAGAAGGCTTGAAGGCTAACAGGGAGCGTCATGCCGATACCAGTGCTTTTATCCGCTCAGTAACGGTAAATTGAACACTTGACTATATAGTGGTAGCCGCTTAGGAGTTTTTTTTTTTGTTGGCTTAACGCATCAGTGGAAGCAGGCAATTAATAGTTGCGCGTCCTTTTGTGCATTTCCCCCAGAGTTGCTCGATTATAAATGAAGCGGCTCGCATTATGGTCTTATTTATTATACATGTAACGGAAAATTACATCATTATGACAATGGGCAAGGCAAATTTAAAAAAAAAAAAGTCAAATTGCTGTTAATTTAAAGTTAAATTGATTGAGAAAAGATGAATTTGATCTCTGAATTCTGCCATTCCGCAACAGTCTAGTTGAATTTGATTTGATGACCTGGTGACTAAAAAGGGTGACCAATCTTTGAAATTGAACGGTAAATGACTACAAGCGTGTTAATTTTGTTCTCGGACGAAATGGAATGTTAGCTTTGGTGGCTTTGAATGAAAAAAACTTTTAAAATGGCCAATAATACCTATAGTGACTGAAAAAACATCTTTCGAAAAAGTCCGCCAGGGGTAAGATGCCCACTCACCGACCCCCAATCCCACCCCGCCCGTCGCCACCGGATTACCAATATCAACAATATAACTTTAATTAAAATAAACAAAAGGAAAGAAAAGTCTTCAAATAAACAACAGGATATCAAATGCCACGAATGTCGAAAGCTTTGCCTCCTTACCTGCTTGAGCAAAATAACTGTGGTCTTATTTCTCGTTCATTTTTATTTTACTAAAAGTTTTTCTTTGGTCTTTCTGTTTAGGGGGACAATTATTGTCCGTGTTTCTTTGTTGATTCAAAACGTAACTGCCGCTGAGAAATATTTAATGAACTGTTACAAGAAAAAAATGAAGTTGTGGGTATTTGCACACAAAAACATATATTTAGCGTGAAATTTGTTTCAAAACCCGACTAAATATTAAATCAATAGAAATAATTGCAAGAGTAGTCGCGTTTGAGGCTTGCCCCCTCCGCTTCGTGGTGGTTGATGTCATTCAACTGGCAGATTCGATCTCCTTGGCTTACCTGTCGCAGATTGAAGGAGCGGCATCGAGTCTCTTTCAAGCACGCCGAGCCGCACGCGACGGCACCCTTGATGGTGTAGAACTCCTTGATGACGTGGCCGGTCAGGCAGTGGGCTGAGACGCGTTTGTAGTCGTTGGCTTGATGACGCGGCAGAAAGGGGGTTTTACAAATCGGATAGTTCTGAACGTGGCATCCTTGGTCATCCATGAGACCGTCTCCAGGACGCCACAGCGCAATGCATTCAGATCCCAACGGCTCGCCCGGTGCCCAGTTCAAGTAGGTGCACAGCGCGCCGTCCTTGTCAGCTCGCACCCACTCACCCGATACCTTCTTGCAGCCGATCCAGGCATTACGAGTCGAAACCTGCCTGGTGAACATGTCCCAGAAGTACTGATGCTCGTCCCAGGAGTCAGGAACTGCCAAGCTACCGCCCATTCGAGCGCAGGCTGCGTAACCCTCATCCCATGACATCGTCGCATCGGTCAGCACTTGGTAGCAAGAACCGGCAAAAATCTCTTGGCCGGGCCGGCAAGGCTGGCCATGAATCCAGGCGACCGCGGTGAACCAAAGAGTCAACAAAGCTAGCTTCATGGTGCAACTTGTTCACTGATTCTTTTATTCTTTTCAGTTAATACAAAAATTGTTCACCGAAGAAGCGCCGCTTATGTTTGTATAGATTTCAGAAGTGCATGAACCAACAAACACCACTTCTCGTGCAATAATGTAGGCTAACTTAGAACGGTCGCATTCCAGTTGTTGGGAAATTTACAAAGTCGATTTGGAATTTCAATTAATGGCACAATTCACAGCAAATGGCATTTTGTCGGAGTGACTGCATCTGTCCATCCTGCTCACTGATGTCGTAGGGTCTGCTCACCCATATAATGATAGTCGCTGGTCGCTGTCTAATTCACCCCACCAATATTATACCAACCAACGAGGTAATTTCAGTGAAAAGCGACACTGCCTCACACGTCTTTAATGACAAATCGATCAATTTAATCTTGCGAGTCGTTTCCTTTTAATATCTGCTTCGCGCCTCCTACTTCAAGAACATGCTTGACTTGCAAGCCCCGCCACTTGCAGGCCGTCCATTGTTCTCTCCGAATGGAGTAGGTCCTATGTTTTTAACAAGCGTCTGTCAGTATGATGTGAGCAAGAAAAGTCAACTTGTCTATAGGTGTCTACATGAAGATCACATCTATGCACGCTTATCATAAAGGGTGCGGGTCTGTAAATAGGCCCAAATTTGCCTACGCCGACCAAATCACGATTTGTATGCCCTCAATTTGTCTGCTATTAGAGCATTTTGTGGGCCATAAAATTGGGCTTTAAAAAAAAAAATACGTGGAAGCCGTGAACTGGACTGCGAGCTCGTATCTCTGTGAAATTCGGAAGAAATTGGGCCCTAAACTCGCGTTATTTTGCAACAGAGCGTAGGCATATTTTTTTTTCAAAATGACGACGGGATTCAGGACTACTTTCAGGGGGCAGTGGTTTTTATCTGCAGCACACATCGTCTATGAATCATGATTATTCAGCTAGTTGATGTTTATTCATACGAAAAAACAATGACGTCACACCATTGCTATCACTCAGTCATACATATACATTAAAGCATTTCAAGGAACGGCTTTCGTCAAGCTGCCACAGTGGCCTAGTGGATAGTGGAATGAACTATGGATCGCATGATCTGTGGTTCATGCCAATTTTCATCAAATATTTGTGTTGGTTGTGATAGGTTTAATTGAAGGGAAAACACTACGAGAAACTAAGTGTCTTCCATCCAC